GTTTCGCGAGTTGCGAAATACAGCGAAACAGAGGAACGATAGGTGGGTGCGGACTTACCTGAGAAGCTGTTACCCTATCAGGTTGAGTTTAGGGGATGGAACGTTCTTTGACAAGATGACGTCGCTTAAGATTTGGCAGTTCTGCATGGATAAATTAGTCGCTGTATTGCTATTGTAGAAAATTAGTTAAATAAGTAAGTTGTCTAGTTTCCTGTAAATTAATTTAGTTTTGCGATATTGTAAATTACGTACAGTACGGTGCATTGAATCGGTAACATGGACATGGTGTACCTGATGCAGTAAGTCAAGAATTATTAACTAACGAAGTAATTAATTAACGAATTACTACATACTGTATAGTTTCATATTTTTAATTTTAAAGTTGTAGGTTTTCTGAGTACAAATCTGATTTCTTGGATTTAGACAATACTTTTGAAGGACACATTATCGTCATCTTTTCGAGTGATTCGTCCAATTTTAGATACTGTATATTAAAGAAACTAATTCATAATAAATTTTAAGCATAAGGGCATGAGTTTGCGCCACCAATTGCCTCTTCAGCATTAAAAACTCGATAACCCCGTGGTATTTAATTTGGGAATCTGTCAATTTTTTCGTTGACCTGCTAACCGGTTAACTCTTGGAATTTACTGTAAAGTCAATTCTTCACAGATCGACCTGAAAGAAATCAAAGTTACCTTAATATATCTAAATTTATTGTAAGTAAAAAACTTTTTGGTCAGAACAATGTCCTGCATGGTTACCAAAGTACCACCCTAGTACAAATATCCCACAGTTAATTTGTCCTTGGTTATATAGTTTCCTTCATCAAATTTATGTAACTTGGAGTAATAAAGAAGCATCCAACTTAATAAATAAAAGCAAGTGATTGATTTTGATGTTGAAATTAATTAACTTTCTAAACTATAAAGTTTTGCAAATAAGTAATTTCTTCCAACTTTCTTACAAATTCGAATATGACTCAAAAGTCGTTTAATATTATGTTATTGCTAGAAATTAATCCTATGATCATTAATCCTTATGCTATCATTATGCTATCTGGTGAATCGTAATATTAATTTAGATTCCATGAAAATAAATTGTTATATGTTTACCTAATATTTTAAGCATTCCTTTAATTAACACGAGTTTATAAATTGTTTAATTACTGCTAGAGAATATAAGCATGACAACTTTCAAGACTGATTATTATTATTAGAAGAATCAAAATTGGAAGTCAGTACAGGACGGTAATTACTGGACCTGTAATTTTCCTATAATCGAAATATGTTTACAAAATCTAGAAATAAATACCATAAGCTTAGATTGCCACGTGCCTAATTAAATCTTGTCATTCAGGACATTGACTCAATGTCATTGAGGTCAAATATCACGTTCCTTGAAAGGTCTTTATGTGTCGCAAATTCATCACTACTATCTCAACGGGTGGACAGAACGCGTTAAAATTTAATTTGATCCGACATGTCATACAACACTCAGTTTATCCACCAGCTTAAATTTCACTTAAAAGTGTGTCACTTTCTAGAATGCGTACGGTACGAGTATGACCCCATATCGGAGAAATTAGTAACCTTGAAAAATTCCAAGATTACCAAAATTTCTAATTTGCAAGCAATCTTGTCCATGTTGTATAGTTGCGTTTTGTTCCTTAACCTTTGCTTCGGGCCGTTCGGAACGAGGGATAAGTTACAAGGTGCCGTCTTCTTTCTACTTGTCCTAGTAGCATCAGTGATGAGATGGAATCAAGGTTTGGAGGATAATCAATCAATTCAAGTGATCAATTCGTTCCTACACTTTGAACGTAACCGATTAAAAGGTAAAATCTGTGAAGATATTTGTTTAAAGTATGCATCACGACCTGCATCACAAAAATACTTATCTTTGAAACTTTTGTGGTGATAAAAGTATCGTAAATTTCAAATTATAACTAGATTTAGATTTCCTTGAAGTTTGCAAATAACTATGTTTTTTTATAAATACACAGATCTTGGATTACCAGAAATTCCAAAATCTCGTATCGTCCTAGCAACCAAGGCGTTCATCTGGCTTGTCGAGGCATCCATTCCTGCCGTATGTCTCCTCCACTTCGTTCTTCTCACCGTCGCCCCATGCACGCCACCCTTCCTTCTCTCCATGTCGCCAACTTGTAATAAAATCCAATCTGCCAGTATCAGCCATAACATCGTGACACGAATCGTCATCCACCTCTTTGAATCCTGGATTCTGATGCATACAATATATGCGGCGGATTATTCGATCCTCTTTGTCTTATTTGCTGGAATGGTGTCTGCCTTGACGTACTATCAGATACTGGAAAGGTAATTGTTTTTCTTAGTGATTCTTGCATTAAGGGGTTGTCCATAAATATAGTAACGCATATATAATGTATAATACACACATATATATCTACACATAGAGGTACATATATAAATACACATATGTAGTGTTCTTCAAAATAGCAAAAAAACATGGAACGATGCAATGCTAAATTGCTTTCTGTATGCTATTTTGCTGTTTTCCTCCTACTTTTTTGCTGTTATGCTGTTTTGCTACTGCTTTTATGCTGTTTTAACAGTCGCCACCTAGCAGCATACTAGGCATACTATACAACTACCTGTGTTAAAAGCTTCAATGAAGCAAGACAACAGAAAAGAATCCGATTTTGATAATCAAAAAAGCTATTTTTCAGCAAAAAAAGCATTTTTCAAAAAAGCGCTTTTTTCCTTTGGCCAACACTGCATGCGTCTTTAGAATATATTTTTTTGAATCCCTATGTCCCTATTCAAATTCAATATTATTTGAAATTTTAAACTCTGCAGGAAAATTGAAACTCTTACCTTATCTAACATCGCGTCATTTATCCATCTCTACAGAAGTATCCACATCTTGGAAAAATTTCTCAATGACTTCCTCATGCATAGAATTCTCCCCGCGTTCCTACTCTGTGGGCCGGGTATTCAAATAATTGCACAATTCATAACGATCAAACATCACAAAGATATTGCGATGCCGGAATTTTTGGTGTTTCCCATTCTCACAGGAGATACCGTCACCGCAAACATGCTCCTTCTCACGTTAGCATCATACGTCAACAAGGATTCTAGGAGAATACTTCACAAATTGATGTCCAGATGGGTGGAACGAGCTGGTAGGAAACCGTGTCGAAGTGCTCGAAAAGAATTGAAATCTCTGACAGAAATGAAAATCAAGTTCGGATCTAACTTCATTGACCGCACGACTCCTCTGATTGTCCAGACTTTCTGCATTAATCAGACGATATCACTAACTTTGATAAAGTAGAAGTAAATAAATTTGATATATCAATGATTAAGTAGTGGTGAAAATATTTGAATTGTAAAACTATATAATTGTACAGAATCAATAAAAACTTTATGTGATATAAAACTTGTAAATTATGTATTTTTTTAAATTAAATACATATTACATCATCTGATGAATATTTATTATGTAATTAGGATTATCATGTTTGGTACATAATGTGTGATTTGATCGCTTTTTCCGATTGTTTCGACCAACTAAATTTTTTTTCAAATTTGTAAAAAAAAACAGTTTAGAATTTAGCTAGCATGCCGTTAATAATTTATAATTTGTCTGAATTTGTATTTTACACCATGTACTATTTTATTATGAAAGTATGCAGTTTCAGCATGATATTACATACAATGAAAATCATACAAGTAAGAAGAACGATGTTGCAAGATGAAGATGTTTCATTATTATTTACACTCGTAATTAATATGTACATACTTCGTAATTTCTTCTGAAGACTTGATTATAAGTTATTGTGAATGTTAGAGAATACTACCACAATCTACGCATTTGTCCAAATGTTGGAGAAATTTCAATTAATTTGCTTTCTAGAATCAATTAATAAATTGTGCCGAAGTTTTAATTAAAAACTTAATAAATTCATAGCATTCAGTAAATATATTCACTAACGCATATTTAATTTCGCCTCCATTAACAACTCAAAGTTTGAAATATTACAAAAATCTATTCATTTTACTGTCAGTTCAATTGAGACGATTGGGTATACCTAAAAAATTAATAAAATTAAAATTAAAATATTCACGCAAAACATTGTTATTTTATTAGTTAGAATTTATTACTTTCGGAAAATATTGCAACTATAAGTTTATTTGGTGTGTACTTATATTTATATGTAAATAAGTACAACTATAACTGTAAGAACTATAAGTTTATACCGTATCATTTCCAATGCAATCATCAAGCATCAAATTGAAATCCAAAATGATTGAAAGCAAATTAATTATTTATATGTGTACTTTATTGCTTCGAAGAACCTATCGCATTTTTTCGTACACTACTAAACTAAACAAAAATGATTAGACTTTCCATTATATTGGTTCAATAAACTTTAGTCAATTCATTTCATAAGGTATATTAATATTTAAATAGTATGACACACTATACCAATCATAGTATTGTTAAAAATTAAATCTTTATTGGTTCATAAAGTTTGCATGATTATTATACTATGTACATATAAAAATATTAAGAAAAAGCTGACTACGCAGGGGATAAAAATTAATAATTAAAATCGGTACAAAAACCAATCGTATCAGCGTAACAGTTACCAGTGTGAATTTGATAGGTAATTCTAAGTCTTTAAAATGTCTAAAAAACGCGAAGTGTCTCAGAAACTTATACATTTTCTTAAAATTGGACCCATACCTGGAACCTATACCGGTGGATTGATTCCCTATTTCAATCAAGGTTCAACTTTATAATTGCCCATATAAAATTGACACTTATCACGAAACCATTTCCCCTCGGTATTGATACCAAGGGCAAAATTCCAAAATTAGTGCTACGTTCCAATGATTGGAAATACATGGCGAAATGGTGCTCGGATCTGGCCAATTTATTTTTCAACTTCGCCATCACCATGACATGGTTGTGGAACGAGACGTGTCTCTTCCCAATTTTAATATTTTAATGCAAATAACGTACCTTGCTTTAAATACAAAGCCTTTATTGAAGAAATATAAGTGGTATACATTATTATAAATATTGAGCATATTAATATCTGAATTTAAAACAATAATAAATTTTTCACACTTATAAATTATAATTGAGCTATGATTTTTCCTCTCCGTTATTCACAACCTTCTCCCAATCCCCACCTCCGTTCAACAATTCCTCATGACTTTCAATCTTTGCCCTAATATCTTTACATATATCTTCCACCTGTCCACACAGCTTGGGTTCTTTCCTCCAACAGTCGACAATCGTTTTGATATCGAGCGCGATGAAGACCACGCCAAGTCCCACCATGAAAGTCCTCGCCCCTAATTTAAGCCCGATAAGGGCCAGCCCCTTGTTCAGTTGCGGTCTCACGACACCAACTAACAACCCACCGAGCTGTTCTTGCGCACACATTGACGCCGTTAACCCACTAATTCCATAAATGTCGCGATTTATGTAGAGAAATTGATAAATTTTGGCAAACGAGATAACCTGGGCGGCATTTGCGGTCGCGGACACACCCATCGATGCGATATCTAACGCTTTGCTGATTTGCTTCCCGGTAAATTCGTACTGTTTTAGGCGGATTTCGAGAAGAGCTTCGAGCTCTTTTACGGTCCTCTTGTGTAAAATGGATTTCGTGACATCGGTACCAATCGTGGTGCCGACGCCGGCAACGGTGGTGGCGATACCTGCAAGCATTCAATAAATTTCTGATTGGTATTTGTTGCAAATTATGCGTAAAATGGTAGAGTATAGAGAAAGGCTATCTGCATAAAAATTAGTTTCCTAAATTTACTATCGTAAAATCAATAGATCATTTTAAAATTCAATTTTAATTTAATTTAAAATTTTAAGGTATCATAACTCTTTGCACTCATCGCGACTCTAAGTTTTCCTAACAATTGGGAGTGAAGTAATTTCATGCACAAATAGTTAAGTCATTCGTGTTTAAATGCACAAATTTCAAAATTTTAGATGATTTTTTTGGAATTTGTGTCGTCTATAAAATTTGTACTGTTATCACGAAGGTGATGTGAGTACCCCTAATAATTAGATTATAATATTTTTTTCGTTGCGTACACCGTGTACCCAAGTGAAAAATAATTCGCAATTTTTCCTCGCCGAATTAGTAGTAATCCAATTACCTGCCGCTGTCGCTGTGAGAGACAACCCTGCCGTAAAAGGTGCCAATAAAACGCCCGAAATCGTCAACACCGATCCCACAATGGACGCCGAACTACTCGCAGTTTTCGATATGGCACAATTTTTATGCCGTTTTCTTAATATGACACATATTTCGGTGAGCTTGGCCAGTAACTCGGTTTCAGACTTGATCAGGTCGACGATACATTGTTCCATGGAGATGGGGGATGAGGCTGATAGTTTGGGATCGTTGGGGTGTAGCTCGGGATAGATATTTGTGGGAGGTGGTGGAATTTCTGGGTATAATTTGATATAATCTATAATCTCTTCGCCTTCTTGGTTAGACCCCATTGTAGGAGATGAATTTCGGATTTTGCACAGATTTTCTGCAAGAATGAAAATGAAAATGAAAATGTATAATAAGATGCTTGGCAATCCAATGGTATGGACATTAAAGTTAAACACAATTATGGTTCAGCGTATAAACTTTGAAGATCAAAATCTCCGCTATCTCTAGGTCGATTTTCAAAATTGAGAATGTGTTTGCAAGCTATTGACCCGTGCTGTATTAAAAATTTTTAATTTTGAAAATCGGCCTAGAAATGGCGGAGATTTTGAACTTCAAAATTTACACGCTGAACCAAAATTATGTTCAATTTTAATATACGAACCACAAGAAATATCATAATTCATCCAGATTTTTTTTATTTACAACGTTTACCTCAGTTTACGACGCTGACGTGAATACCCCCATTATATATAAACTCATTTTAAATTTTATGATTTACCCAAGAGTTTACTTACATGTTTTTTCCTTATTTCAATAATTTACCCCTAGTTGATAATTCGTTATTGTAAAGTGCGTAGTTATCACCGCAGATAAAAGGATATCTGACATAACGTTGTGCTATAACTATACACTACCAAAATTAAATTGCAAACTAGTAAACTAGTAAAATAAATTTCATCTTAAATACTTAAATAATCACCGTATTTAATTAAATTTCAAAACAAATAATAAAACAAATCCGATAGTAAATACTTATCCGATTTTTAAGTAGTTTCGCAGCTGAGCAGATCCATTCAATGATGAATGAGTGACTGCATTGTCCGTTAACAGTTGGAAGAATTAGTGTGAAAGTATGTAGTACATGTAAATGCTGACATCATCATGGGACAGATCATCGCGTATCTATCTACTCTTGTTCAGTTGTTACTTGGCAAATGTCCATCTCACTCGTATTTCTGTGTCTCATGAAATCTGCATGACTTGCTTTTGTTCCCATCCCTACAGTGGGGGAAAAGGATTGTACTTTGTTCAGTATATATGTATTTCAGTCGTTATCATGGTACATTATGCATGCTAAATATGTCGGAGCATTATTACGAGATCAAATTCTTACTGATAGGTTTGCTGGTGGAGATTTGCAATTACTATTTGCTAGGACCTTAAGACTATGATAAGACATTTACATGAAAATGTTGCTAAATAGGGCAAAAATGTAACGCTTGATGATTTTAGTGATGAATTAAATATTTATCACACGTATTTATTTTTCATATTTTAAACTAATTTTATAACGAGGCAATTCAACTCCCCCTACTCCCCTTTGTAATAGTTTAGGAAAAATTTTACAAAATTAATTTTTCCTAGAAATGTTTACAGTGTTTACGAAAGAGTATGTTAATTGCCACGATATGTACGCAAATAAAGGTAAGATATACGTATCAACATTAAAAATATATATCAATCTGTCATTGTCAATAACTTATTCAGATATACGTACATATTTTGTATATGAAATTGGAGAAAATGTGAAATTAAGTTAATTTTTACCACAAATTTAGATATTTGCATTTAAACTTAATCTCCGAAATAGATCCAGAAGAGGCATCCTTTCATTTCACATAAATAAGGAGATAAATTATCAAAAAATTCCGTGGGCAAAAAACAACTAAGAACGTCTAAACAAAGACTAACCCCCTAATAAATCCCCCTTTCTCATCATCATATGAATATCATCCTCCAAAAAGCCATACTTTCTCCCCATTCTAACAAACTCTTCCACCCCTCTTGTCCTCTCTTCCCTCCACTTCTTGTCCAACACGTGATACCCCAGGTTCGGAAAAGTGGTGCGGACCCGCTCAAAAAACTCGGCCGTATCCTTCCACTCCCAGTAGTCACTTTTAGCGTCATCCTCATTATTACAGGCGTCACTTAAGCTGATACACTTCGCAACCCTAAACTTCACCCCAGCCGGGAAAGGGATATCTAACCGTTTCAACGTTCCACACGGCGTGGTACCCTCTGCCATAAAACTATTGTATAAAAATGGAACCAGTGCTTCAAAATAGGTGCCATCACTTAGCAAATCTTGACCCTCAAACTTCCCCTCGCTCCAATCCTTCTCAACGATAATGGACTCCAAAGCGGGAAATTGTACCGCGTAGTTCAAAACTTGACTCTCATACGTTAACGTAATTTGAGGTATTTTACCACTCCATCTCTCCTCCCCATAGGGAACTCTTGATAGTTTGAAGACCTTTAATTTCGGCAATATTGGCATCATCATGGCAAAAACGTATTCCTTGGGACAATCCCGGATCGAAACGATGTTCAAATGGACCAATGTATGGGCTAGCTTTGTCCCAAGGTTGGAACAAAGGAGTGGTTGCCAAACACTTGAAATGGGGGAAATCACAAGCCTCGTAATGTTTAAGGTGACCAAATCAATTATCGGGATGGGTGGATTTAGCTGAACGTATCGGATAGAATTTTTCACAGAAAACCCTGTCAGCGCAGGCGCAAAAGATCGCCACCACGCGGCATATTCCTTCGTCATTGTCCACCCCAGAGGACGTTGCCCACCCCAAGATGTGTAATGTGGGGGAAATGAGACACTATTCTGGGAATGAGATCTCTAACCAGTGCCTGGATATTAGGATACTCAACCCCGTGTTTGCCGATTCTCGGTTGCACGTTAATCACCAACTTTTTAACTTTCGGGAGTGAAAAGTTCAACGGGATGAGGTCAACGTAGTCATCCGATTGGAGTGATGGGGCATCCCGACCACGTCCTTGGTGCAAGAGGGGACACAACTCTAGAGATGTTAGGTTCGTAAATTTTTGTAAACTTTCAAAAAAGGAATTGTTCTCGTATCTTTCCGCATTCAAATGCCAGTCAATGTCAAGGTGGGTGACGAATGTTGCATTTTCCATGGCAAAAAAGTTAACTTGCATGGGTAGATTTCTCAAGTCTTCCTGTCTAATGAAGTAGAGGTTGACCATTTTGTGACAGTGGGACCGATACCGCATCAGGGTTACATAACGATGTAAGTTGGACGTAGTTATGGTAACTGGACGTCGGGAGAGGAGATGTTTTCGAACTTCCGACTCCCACTTGGAATTTACTTGAGTGCAAGAAATGAGGTCTCGACTAGGGAGGAAGGTTGCAATTTGATGAATAATCTGAAAGAGTGTGAGAAATTTCTAGGAATTAAATTGATTGATTATTTGGAAGGTTGCGTGTAAATGAGTAGTATGTAGTATCTTACCAAATGATTTGACCCGATTTCCCCAACTTCACTATATGTATCATTGTTGCTCATCATTTTTGCAGTATTTCTAAGAAATATAGAAATTATCTGTAAGGAAGGATTCACTAAAATTGTACAACATGGGGTTTAAATATTTACTTGTATTTCACCTCGTGTTTTTTTGCGAAGGAAAATTATTCGCACTTTGAAAAGTGTTGTGCTTTGTATTTAGAGTACACGAAACCAATGCGTTTTCCAAAATGACAAAACCGTTCCCTGCCCTGTTAATAACGGACTGTCCAACATTCACTAAAATAAACTAAAAATAGAAAGGTTTCCTGACTACTTTCTTTAAACACCAAAATAGAAAGGGACACACATTCTAATCAACCAACGGTTTCATTTTGGGTCAGTTGGGTCAGTAATGACCCAATTTACCCTTACTCAACTAATCCCTTCGACCAGTGTTCCGGATGGCATAAATTCCAGTGGTAATAACTGGTTTTAACCGGCCAGTTTGGCCAGTCAAAATGCATATCGTTGACGGTCAAAATTGGCTAAAATTAAATTTTTGTTTTGAATTTTCTAATTTCTAAGAATATATATAATAATACCCATGGTATATCGATAATTCCAAATCTAACGCAATTAACATGCTCGTCTTATAAAATCCAAATCTTCTACAGTATCAGAAATGTAATCGTATCAAAGTCAAGGGGAGAATACAAAAAAATAAATAACTCTCCACTTTCGTGATGTATTTTTATTCGTTGAGATGAAAGTAATTTACATAATTTTGCATTTCGACGAAGTTTTGGCAGTATATAAGCTTCCACTAATTTTGACCACTTCTAGCCGGCCACTGGTCAAAATGACTTGGCCGGTAGAGATGGAACACTGTCTTCGACCATTCGAAGAACTATTTTACGCAACCTTTTTCCAATACGAATCTCTATGGTTTCGTTCGAGCTGGTACCCAGTACTAAAGCTTATTTCAAATTTGCTCAGTTTCCCACAAAAAACGGGAGTATGGGGATTTTTCACCTGGGTGGGTACGTTGCTTCATCATCCCCGTTTTTGTTTTTTACTCAGGTGAAAAATCTCCATACTCACCATTTTTTGTGGGAAACTTGAAATAAGCAAATTTGAAATAAGCTTTAGTACTGGGTACCAGCTTGGTTTTGTTAATACTTTGCCCAGAATAAAAATATTTTTGTGCTAATCACATTTCCACATGATTGTGAACATTTTTTTTCTAAAACCAACCCACAGCATTCATCGCACTTCGGTAGTATTTACATACATATGATGCTAACAATACTTACGTATATGTATATATTCACATATATATTTAGATAAAATGGATGGTATTCACAAAGAATACTTTTTTTAATGCTTTGTTGTATAAAATTCTTTTAAAAAATACTCTCATAAATATATTACTAGAAGCAAAAATCAATGTGTTTCAAATTTATGCGATAGATATAAATATTACTTAACATTGATAAAGTTTAATATACAAGTAGAAACTAAATATTTGAGAAATGTGTTTCAAATCGGGTAGCAAAAAGTGTTTCATGTTATGGTTCGTACATTAAAATTAAAGACAATTTGGTTCAGGTTGTAAAATTTGAAGTTCAAAATCTCCGTCATTTCTAAGCCGATTTTCAAAATTAAAAAGGTTTTATGCACCATGGGGCAATAGGTTTTATAACCATTTAGAAAATCGGTCTACAAATAGCGGAGATTTTGAACTTCAAGCTGAACCAAACTTGTGTTAACTCTAATTTACATACATGGTTTATATTTATAACATTATACATTTTTACACCCAATAAGTAAATTCGCATGTCTCATCATCATGTGGATGTCGTCCTCCAAACATCCCAACTCTCTCCCCATTTTAACAAACTCTTCCATCCGTTTCACCCTCCCTTCCACCCACGCCTTTTCCAACACGTGATACCCCAAATTTGGAAACGTGGTGCGAATCCGCTCAAAAAATTCTGCCGAATCTCTCCACTCCCATCCATCGTCAGCATCACGCCCCACCCTGAACTTTAACCCCACCGGAAACGGGATATCTAACCGCCTCAACGTTACACACGGCGATGTACCTTCCGCCATAAAACTTTTGTACAGTAATGGAACCATTGTTTCAAAAAAGGCGCTGTTCGGCATCTCACAATTCGGTCCATTATTCCTTCCCCATTCTTTCTCGAAAATCAAGGCCTCCAAGGAGGGAAATTGGACCGCGTAGTTCAAAACTTCATTCCCAAACTTGAACATGACTTCGGGTACTTTGCCATGCCAGTCGTCTGTCCCGTGTGGAGCCTTAGTTAGGTGGAAGACCTTCAATTTGGGCAGGATTGGCAGCCCAACGGTGCAAACTTCATCCTTGGCGTAACTCCGGACACCAGAATATCGCAAATGGGTTAACCTTGGTGCCAGATTGTTAACAATATTTGAAAATTGGTCGGGAGCAGAAATGTACGAAATGCAGGAAATATCTAGCCTCGTTATGTTTATAGTGACCCCGGCAACAAACAAGATTGGTGGAACTGCCCTCACCAAATCGTCGTGGGTCTGCAGGGTAAAACTTGTCAATTTAGAGGCAAAAGAACTCCACCATGTGACATAGTCTTTCCTCAATTGTCCCCTTGTCAGGGGGACGTTTCCCACCCCGAGGTGGGTAATATTGGGGAAATGTGGAACTATCTTGGGAATGAGATTTCGAACAAATCTAAACACGTTGGACTTGTGAAATTGGACCCTAGGATTTCTGGAATCGTCGGGTTTTACTGTAATTATCAATTTTTTTAATTTGGAGAGACTAAATTCTGGCGGGATGGGATTCGGGAATGTGTCTGAATGCAGGGGTGGTTGCCCGAGACTTCGCACGAAGGGGCATAACTGTAAAGATTTTAGATTTGTAAATTGTTGCAAAACGGAGAAAAACTTGTGATTCTGTTCAATCGCGTTCAAATGCCACTCGAGGACCAGGTGGGTGACGAATGTTGCGTTTACATCGGCAAATGAGGCAAATTGGGTGACTATAGTGCTCAAGTCGTTTTGTCCAGAGAGAGGAAGGTTGACCTTGTTGTGACAATAGGATCGATATTGCATGTCTGCCAGGTATTTGGGTATCTTGAATGCAGATAGGGTTACGGGACAGCGGGAGAGGAGATGTTTCCGAACTTCTGTTTCCCACATGGAGTTTACTCGAGTGCAAGAAATTAGATCCCGATTGGGCAGGAAGGTCGCTATTTTCTGAATAATCTGAAGGAAGAGACATTTTTATTAATTAGAAACTGCTTTGGTTTATGAAAGGTTAAACTGTACCAAGCCATTTGTGCCGATTTTCTCGACACACGCGGTGCTTTCGTCATGGGGGGCCAGCATGTTCGCCTGGTTGAGAAATTTGTGGGATAATTTTTATCTGTAATAATGATAAGATTATTCACAGTTTTCCTGAAATCTTATCACAGCGATATGAATCACATACACATAAATAATAACATAAATCAAGTGGGATTTATTGTGATTTTAACAATCTCCAGGTAGAAATTTACTTAGATAATATATACGCTACAAGATGATGACTATTAAAATCACAGAAATCAATGTCTAAACTATGGTTATCCTCAGTTTTAATGATACGTAGTTGACTAATATTTAAATATCTTAAAATGCAAATTATTTTACTTCGTATTTTTTGCCAATGAATTTATTACCAAAGAAAAATATCAGAAAGGGCCGAATATGACTATGGGTAGAGGAATTAAAGTCCCTCGGCAGAAAAACGAGACGTGCTGCTGCTTCTCTGTAAAACTGGGAGGAATAGAAAGCACAAAATATTTATGAAAGGGTCGAAGTAAAAGTACAAAAATAAAATAGAAACCTTTACAGTGTCCTTGGATTTAGGAACTTTCCCACAAAACCAGACCAGAAGAATAGAAAGGGTCAGAATTCCTCACACAGAAAGGGACCAAATGTACCTTTCATTTAAACTCACCTAATCATTTTTTCGACCCTTCTCGAACGAATGGAAAATATTTTATTGTTGGGATCGTTCAGAGCATTCTACAATATAAACTAACCAGTGGCCCAGGGTACGGTGGGGGCACATGTATTTATATTGCAGGGTGAGAGGTGGACTAGCTTATTTAAGTGATGTAATAAGATGCATATAGAAACTGCGCGTCCCCACTCTTCTGCAGTACGCACTTCGATAAGGCATTGTCCAGAATTGACGTCAACTTTAATTACATTATGAGATAGGGAGTTATAACATGGAAGGATAGGGATTTTAAGTTGACGTCAATTCTGGACAATGGAAATATTTTTATGAAAATTTAACCTCACATATTCACGCATGACCTTTTCCTCAAACCGTAGGAGAAGTACCTAAGTAAGGTACATGCAGGGTACCAGTGGTACCACAGAACATTTAATATCTCTCCATGAATGCAATTCGTGCCCCAAGACGTTCTCCTCGCTGCGACGTTTCGAACAGCATTTCGACACTCTTAACCATGATGCCGAAGTTAAAGTTGAGGTAAGTACATAGGTGAGATCACAAATTGTGTCAAACTCTTATTTGACACCCCCTGGTGTAAAAATTGTTCAGAATCATGATTCTTCAGCTCGAAAACATGGACAAGTTGGAGCGTCTGGATTTATGCGAAGTTCCGGAGTTCAGGGGGAGTATTGTTATCGGGCATATTCTGAAGAAGGGGCATGTTTGGAGGGGGGTGACACAGTTCACAGTTGAGACTGTGTGGGTTAGAGAGTGCAGATTTGATAGGGAATATTGGTGAGTTTTTTTTAAACTTGGGAATATTAGGGTGATTTGCAGGGCTGGGCAAAATACATGGTTCTTAAAATAATGAAAATACATTTCTGCTAATGTACAAAATACAAATACAAAATACTAGGGTTGTCTTAAAATACAAATTACAAAATACTTTTCGCAAAATCTACAGAAGTCTAAAATACAAATTACAAAATACAAAATACTTATTTAAAATACTTTTCAAAATACATCGTAATTAATGTTGATATTTATAAACCCTTAAATGAAACAAGTTTCAAAATTGGCCAAATTTAATACCGAATTTTATTTCACAAAATAAGTAACAAAACATAATTAGAATAACTTGTTGAAGGAGTTAAAACTTGTTAACTCAACAAAGTTAGAATTTCGGAATTCTAATCAACAAGACTTCGTCGGTTCGGTGTCGAAATCATTTTTGAATAATTAAAGAGCCTTTTAACCTGTCCAGAAGGGAAGGGAGTGTTATATTTTAAACACACAGATTTAATAGGTGGAAACTTGTTTAACATTTGAATATCAACAATTGAACATTTGATAAAATTTTCATACTCTGTTCTAACTTTTTCTTCAAGATTGTTGGACGAATCGTTTGCATCCTCAAAATTACAGAAGTTCGAATCTTAAGAGTTCATTATTTCATTTGATTCGTTATTCTTTTAAGGAACTTGCATTTAAAAATACATTTTTGTATTTTACCGGGTTCAAATTGGAAAATACAAAATGCATTTCAACCCGCTGACACAAAATACAAAATACTTTCACGTGAAACATGGAGCTTAAAATACAAAATAGTATTTTGTAGTTTGTAGTTTGTATTTTGTATTTGAAATACTATTTTGCCCGGCCCTGGTGATTTGTAGTATTGGGGGTGTTCATGTCATCATTGTAAACAGCGTAACTTTGGTAAATGTTGATAAGTAGGTGAACTTTTACCATAGTACAATTGTTTTCTACGGTGACGTGAATACCCCCATTTGGAACAATTTTGCCAATAAGTATTTTGCCAAAACTTGCAAAATATTTATATCTACAAATATTCAGAGAAAATTTTATCTGAATTTTGTAATTTGTTACCTTTTTAAAATCGTGACGTGAATACATCTAATATTTGTTTACAAATTTCGACAAATTATTTATGACATGTTATTAGTATTGGGGGTATTCACATCACTGTAGAAAACAGTGGTACTATGGTAAAAGTAGTAAAAGTTTTCAATTTTCGATTTTTACACTATTTACCACGGTAACGTGAATACCCCTATTAATCAATCCTGTAAATATGTTAGGTCCAATGTTCCCATCTCTGAGGAAACTTAGCGTCTCCGTGAGCGAGTGGATGTCCAAGGGGGGAGAACAAGAGAACTTTCTGGTCACCGAATTTGACGAATTGGCCAACTTGACAGGTCTCACGCATATCGAAGTTCTGGCCCCATTTCCGATCAGCTTCGCAAAATTTGTTGACTTTCTCCAATATCTGACAAATTTTTCGCCCGGTAAGAATTCTAGAATTGATTTAATTGAAATGAATTAAAATGAGATCGAATTCTTGCAAAAATTTGCGAATTGCGAATTTATTGATCTTGATTGATTATGTAATTGGTCCTGATAGCTACAGGATCGGCTGCTTATAAAATATAGCAACATATATGTATAAATTTGATCTCATTTTAATCGAAAAAAATTAATTTTGATTTTTTAGATATCGACATTTTAACCAATTTTTTAAAATTTCCAGATGTTCCAGAAGTACGCGTGACACACTGTATCTGCCACGGTGACGATGACATGTCCGAGTACAAAGGGTATCGAAATGTGGAAATTGTCCAGGAACAGAAAAACAGATTTCTCCGACTTATCCCGGCCCTTAGGATTAGTAGGAATTTGACCCTGATTTCTGGACTTGTCCTCGCTCGCCAGATAGGTCTCGAGTTTCGCAAGGATGCCGAACTCACGTGCAGATTCTAAATTTTGCAAAAATAGGGGTTAAAATTTTATACTATTTTCCGAAGATATTGTGATACAGATTAATTAAATTTAATTGAAGGCCAATGTTAATCATATATTTTTTTGCACACGATATTTTGAATCATATCACAAATTATTTAGTACTACTTATCTTCGTAGAATTTAAATATGTTAATTAAAATTAAAACCTTGTCGGTTTCAAATTTATTTAGTAATTAAGCCGTAAATAAATATATTTATTGTGCGAATAATTTGCAAAAATTTTTCATCAAATATAAGATTATATTATCTTTTTAGAATTTATTTATAATGCAAATATGTACATGCAACAATTTCACGATAATTCGCATTTATTCAGAAATTCGGCACATTTTGTGATATACATGTTTCTGTAATACTTGTGTGAACCGATTTCACGCCACGCGTCGCCAAATACGAACCGCGGTATTTTTTGGGCGCACTTCTACATTACTATGCAGAAATCGGGCCGATTGATACAAATAAAATCCATCATTTAAAGTATCGTCATACCCAGATCGCCACCATGGACTCCATCCGGTCTGAGGAAGTTCTAAGTAATGCGGTTTTCGGTCATCCCAATTGTATCGTGTGTACTCGACTGCGGCAAGCTGTCTAGTCGCGTCACCTTGATTTTTTCCAAATGCAGCAGACCCGCTTCCTTCCGCCCGGAAAAATAGACCGGCATAAGTTGCCGTAACATCCCCCCACCCGACTTGTGGCCATGTAGCTGTTGGCGCGGGCTGGTTGGGTAGTTGGACATAAATGTATCCGACGGGAACTAAGAAGAGTGACGTGAAAAAAAAACAATTAATAAAAGCAGTAACTTAAATATTTAAAAATAATATAGAAAAGTGTTCTTTTCTTGCAGGTTCAATGCATAAATTGCACTGCAAAGCAAGAAAGTGCAAGAAATAAATAGAACGCCTATTAACTATATGGGCGGAAAGAGTTTCTTGTACCGATGCGTTTCTTGCAGGTGGTAAAATAATTTTAGTCCGCTGCAAGAAACGCAAAGGTGATTACTGTCACAAGAAACACTGCTATAGAAATTAGTACCCGGGTTGTCCCTTAGTTCATTGAGCGCTCTTCTCAACTCAATTATTGCCAATTGTGTCTCATAAGGACTCCAAACTTGAAAAGATTCGCAAACCGCCCAGTTTCCCGCTTCACAATTTACATCTTTCCACAATCCTGGCGTATCAGCCGCCATGGTCCAACCGGATTGTAGTTGGACACAATTCCGACCAATCGTCGCGGATGGGGAGCCAGGTACCCAGTTTGCATAGGTGGACACGATTTTACCATCAACCCATATAAATTCTTCGGGGCGACCAGCCTCAGTGTTTCTTGTTGCCCCAATCCAAACATTGTTGACGACGGAGGATGAATTGAAAAGAAGGTTGCTTATAAAATCTTGCTCAGATGCGGAATTTATAGTGGCCAAGCGGCAACCTTGACCGGCCATATTTCTACATTCTTCCAACGCCTGATTCCAGGTTAGGTAATGGTCAATAAGTTTGAAACATTTTGTGTCACTGTATTTAATTGAGGTTGGGTCGCCACAGCTGCCTTTAATTATGACTAAAGTACAAATTTTAATTTTAGCATGTAGTGTAATTAGAAAAAAATATTTATGACATATTATTGCCAGGGTTTCAAAAATTTACGACTCATGGGTTTTAATGGTTTTCTTGGGTTTTATTGGGTTTTTTGGGTTTTATTATAAATTTCAACAAAAAATAGTTTTTAACTATTGAAAATTTAAATGCTAGCATATATAATTCTTTGTTCAGTATACATGAAGTTGTTTTAGTTTTTAAAAAAATAATTTTTAAATCAACTTTGTCAAGACTTAAAGGTTACAATCGATTTTTGTCAGATTTATATGAAAATTGTAATAGTGAAATAAGCTTCTCATTTTCAGTATAAACACATTTTCTAAGGCGTTGTAAATTTTTAAATTCAATTTTATGGTAAAACTATGCAAAATTCGAATAAAACCAATTAAAACCGAAATAAAACCCAGTAAAACCCAAATAAACACCATTTAACATGGTAAAACCCATTAAATGTAACTCACTAAAACCCAAAAACCCAAACCCAATAAAACCCAGGGTCGGAATACCCTGATTATTGCTACGTATTACCCTCATTCGCTTCAATACCCTGTGACACACAGACCACGACAAGATACAATAAGTTCTGAAAATCCATGGTACTGGAACCAACGTTGTGGTTGTTAATGATTTTGAAAAATTAATTATGATATGATATTGGATAATTAATTCAATTGAAAAATATTTGGACAAGTTTCGTAACCACTTGCTGGTTGAGATGGGACAAGTTGTGGCAATATTTTATACTTTTTATACCCATAATTGACCCATTTCTGGATCTAATTTTAACTTTTGTCAATGAAATAGGTTAATTTAGAGTAAAGAAATAACAAACTTTCGGCGAAAGCATTTAATCAATTTTAAATGCTTATGAAACAGAAATTCTGATAGCGGAATCTTTTGAAATAAGATTACACGTGGAATTGGATTTGTGGGTTATCAGCAGTGATATAGATAAATTTAAATAGATACACAAACGTTCTCCTTTTTTAAGCTGAATGTATATCATGTGTTGTTTTAATTTTGCGAAAAAAATGTAAACATTGTCCTCCACCACCTATATATGTGATTTTGTGATGCACTAGTGTGATGCATAGATGGGGGGAATGAAAGGTGAGTGGACCAGGGGACCTCCGAAAGTCTAGAACTTATTTTAATGTTTATTTTTGGTCCAGAATGTTAGAAAATAAAAGGGATTCACTTGTTTCTGATTTTGTTTGTGGGTGTGGTTCAAAAGTGGGGTTTCCCAAAATTTTGAAAAAGTCGCAAAATGCCGCAAACAGATAATTTAATACAGATCAAAAAAGTGTATTGGACATGGGATCTATTAGCCCAGTCCAAAATAAAAACAGACCCTCGTGACCTGCTTTTGAGCGATCTTTTATGTCATTTTTCTAAAAACCCCCTGCATAAGCACATTTTGGCCGTGGGTTTTGAGAAAAATTACGTCAAAGTTCGCTCAGATCTAGATTTTGATCATTTTTGCCTGACTTGTCAGCTGTTTTTATTTTGGACCACACCCCCAAAAAAATCAGAACAAATGAATCACTTTCATTTTATATGGCAGGGTGGGAGGTGGACTAGCATATTTAAATGGTGTAATAAGATTCATATAGAAACCGCTCGTCCCCACTTTTCCGCGGTATGCACTTCGAGAATGAAAATATTTTTATGAAAATTTAACATTTTCACGCATGACCAAACAATGGGAGAAGTACCTCACTAATCCTAAGGATAAGGGAATAAGGGTGCATGGTTATCATAGACCATTTAAATAAAGTTTTCTTAATTATCTATGTTTTGGGATGGGACTATCCATTAATTATGTAACGCGATGTAACACTAGGAAGGGATATTACCCCCTTAAAGGGGCAATGCTACAGGTCAATTGACCTTAATTGAAATTAATTTGCGCCACATGTTCAAAAAACTGTTTACTGTTACGTGATGGGTTCTAATTTTTTGAATATTTTTGGGCCACGTAATTAATAAACCGTCCCTTAAACAAGTACAGATTATAGTTATTTTCAAGTCTCAAATTAACAAAGGTATGCCCAGCGCAGGTTAATTTGTTGCGCAAACAGAGTGCAGGAGCAAGTCCTCTGCTGACTCGGCATAGTTACAATTAATTAATTTTTAATTACTACATTTTAACTGTGATTATTTTTAACAAAGTCGACACATCCCTAAGTAAGGTAAGTATAATAATTATCATTCCTAAGTATTTATTTAGTTACCTTCCACAACATGTTTAATAAGTGTTCTAAATTTATTTAATGGTTAAAGGGGGGGGGGAGTACTTTTACCAAATACATATTTTAATTACCCATCATTTTTTCTAGGGAACTTATCCACCCAATAAATCCGTCAGGAATATCTCTCCGTGAAGAAAATGGAATCGTCACCATCATCGTCATCGCCATCGTTACTAATCGAATGCAATTCTTGCACCCAGTCGTTCCCCACGGTGCAACTTCTTAAACAGCATGTCAGCGACACTCATGACCATGATGTTGCAAAATTATGTGAGGTAAGTACATACGCGAGGTCACAGGTTGTGTAAAATTCCATCAAATTTATATTTGTTACCCCCTGGTGTAAAAATTTATTCAGAATTGTGACCTGATAAAATTTGTTTCTGGAAATTCTTGTCGCAATTTTTACCCACATTCCACAATTCTTCACAAATCTAAGTGATTCGAATCTAAAAATTCTCTAATTTTCCCAGGTTTGTGCCGACATGCTGAAAAATTCTGCCGACCTGTCCGCCCACATGCGAAGCTGTCACAATTCATCCCCTCCCCGAGAAGATGGTGACGCCACGGAACGTCCCCGAGTAGAATGTGACATCTGTCATGAAAAATTCAAGTCTGCCAACGACCTACGCCTACATGTCGAAAACTTGCACACCGGCACGTCACAACCTCGCCACATCTGCACATTTCCTGACTGTGAAAAGATATTCTTCACAAAGTTTGACGTCATACAGCACGAGAATCAGGATCATAAAGAGGACCCTGCACGATTTAAGCCCCCGCTGTCAGGAGGTCTTCATAACAAAACCTGGCGCACAGTATCACCTACTCGTTGTCCATGAAACAGAAGGAAATCGTCACTTGTGCACATTTTGTGACGAGAAGTTCTCCACGTGGATCTTTTTGGAGAAACATGTCAAAGCGAAACACTCTGCAAATGATGAGCGACACCATTCCTGCACATTACCCCGCTGTGAGAAAACGTTCCCTTGTAGTATTACCTGCATGCTGCACGAGATTAATGATCATCTTCAAGACAAAACCTGCGATCGCTGTCCGGAGATCTTCTTGACAAAACCTGGGACACGGTTCCATCTCCAAACTGCCCATGAGATAGGGGGAAGTCGTCACTTGTGCACATTTTGCGACAAGAGGTTCTACACATGGAACCGTTTGAAGAAACATGTCGAAACGAGACACTCGGAACATAAGGAGCCACTCTTATCCTGCAAATGCGGATACAAGACGAGTGTCAAGGCCCGATTTGAGAGTCACTGTAAACGGAAACATGGCATCGGGGGGGAGAAGGGGTACGAGTGCTATTTCTGTGGCAAGAAATTCTTCACATTTTACGAATTGAATAGCCACTGTGGGCGAAAGCATACCATGGAGAAACAATTGTGAATTGTTATAAAATATTTAAGTAATTTGGATTTCATTGAGTATTTATTTTATTTATTGAGTTTTCTAATTGTCAGCTGTATTGGAGAAGATTTTAAGTAGGATTATTATTTTTTTAATGTCAATTATTTTTAGTGTTTAATTAATAACTTATTTAATTATGGGTACATATTTTATTTTGATGCGTATCAGTAGATTCGTTATTTTTATAGCCAGAAATTATCATATATGTTGTATCGTATAACTTAATATAATGATTAATTAAATGTATGGTTAGATTAGGATTTATTATAATGATATGTCTGAAATTAATGAACCATTAGTAGAAATGGACGCTAATTGATATTGAATTTTATTTTTGAATATTATTAGATATTTCTAGAAAGTAAACTGTAAAATATTTAATTATTAAGGATGATGAAGTCAAGCTTATAAAATAAATGGCGTCTGTTAATTATCCATCTTTAATGAGTGTTGTGTTTTTGCTAAAATGTACTGATTTTAAATTAACTCCGAGTAGAGTTGTGCCCATTCCCATGGAATTTTGGGAATTCCCAATTTTTCCGGAATTTATTTGTATTCCCTCATATGCTCAGTGTTAAATTAAATTCGTTCGGAATATTCTCAAATTTCGGGGAATCGCTCTCAGGGTATTGCACAACTTCGAGCAAACGAAATTATGTAAGCCAAAGTATTAAAATAGTTGCATTGTAGATAGTTTGTACAGCGATTTTCGTGCAAAATTGAATTATTGTATTTACTTAAAAAATATGCTTTATTATCCAAACTTTTGCAAATATGCACTTACTTCAATATTCGCAAGGTTTCATGTTGAAAGAGAAATTTGCATTATTATGTAAAATTCTACACAAGGTAGAAATGCAGTCAAATCGTGCTATATGCGACTGTAGGTGTGGCACACCTGGGTGCCATGACAATATTTTGGTTGTACTGAATAGAGAATCAATTTTATAAAAATAAGGATTGCAAACTATTAATGCAATGCAGTTTGTCATTATCTTGTCATATATTTGAGAATATATCGATATTCGAATTATGCAGGTTTCGCAATCCTACCAAAAAATTGTAGATTCAGATGACATAATTCTAACCCCAAAATGCTAAAATACTTATGCAATTCTATTTATCTTGGCAAAACCATATGTTTAATGTTTACTCTTTACAACCTTTCACGGACTCTGCCGCAAAATAAGCTAGATTTTATTCTCAATTATCTAGCCTTGACAATCTGTTGTGTACATTTCTAACCAACAACACACCTTGCGTCACCACATTGCCATTCAAATGTGCCAGAGATGCCAAGCCTCTCTCTCAAAATGCAGAATTGATCTATAAAAAGCTAAAAAATCTAGAATTAATCTCACATTCAGTAAAAAAAACTCCAGAATCCTGCACATTCATCCATCCTGCTTCGAGATGGCAAATCTTTGCCTAATTTTTGGCCTCGTGTCTACCTTTTGCTACGCTAATGCCCAATTTACGGAGAATTGGGCAGGCTCGTCATCCCAAACTTTCGTTACGTATGGGACCCATGGTAATTATTCGTCACAAATATAAATTTGCTTAATAATTGATCACAAACAAAATTCCAGGCACTCCCCAATCCGGTTTCGCCGACCCTGACGCCCTTGACGGTCGATCGCTTCGGTTCACTTTAAACCCCAACCCTCCCGCCGGCGTTGGTGGCGCCCCTGCGGCCGAAACTTTCGGCCGCTACAAGTACGGAACTTACTGGACCCGAGCTAAAGCCGCGAACTGCTCCAACCAACCGTTGTCCGGCGTCGTTTCTGGAATCTTCACCTACTTCAATGATCAAGGTGACCGGAACGGAAACGGGATTCCTGACAATTCTGAGATAGATTTCGAATGGCTTTGTGCCGCCCCGGAGGTCGTGCATCTCTCGATCTGGACCGACTATCAGGAAACAGATCCACCAAATATTCGCGTCGTTTACAGAACGATTGACCTCTCGACCGGGCGTGTGCTGATGGACTGTTATCGCGAAAGGTTTGGGGAATGTAGACTTCTTAGCGCGCCGGAACGACAGCCGTCGCAAGTCACCCCGATTTCAGGGTATGATTCATCCACGGAATATTTCTGGTACGGGTTGGAATTTGCGGCGGATCGGGTACACTTCATGATGCGGGGAAGGAATGGTGAGACTATTACGCTGTGGGATTATCGAGGACCGACGGCGAGAATGCCGCAGGATGAGATGCACTTCATGCACAATGTTTGGCACACGAATAACTGGTGGCCGGAGGGGGATGACGGGACGATGATTGAAGCGCCGAGGTCACCGGTCTATATGTATGTCGATTCTAGTAGTTTCACACCGGCATAAATGGAACGGAATTCTAATTTGGAAAACAATATGATTTGATTTTATTGAAAGCCTAAAAACTGCCCTGAATGAAATCGGAGTTAATCAATTGGTCAATAAAAAATCTATTACATAATTTTACATCGAGTCTAGTCGAATAGTCTGTTGTCAATCATCGCTAAACGTTAGCAGGGTTCGAAACGTTCCGCGGACAATGCCCTTCAAGAACTTGAGTACACTTAACCTCTTAATGACAAGATAACCTTCATACCCCGCACACAGAGGGCGAACAGACTTTCTCCATTTTTTCAAAAATTTACTCTTCTCCCCAAGCTCGCGCCACGATTCTTTATTCCTTTTAGACGCTGCGTAAAACCTTCCGCCAAATTCTAGCATTAGAATCCAATAGATGAGCAAACCCATTTCCACCGAGACCAAGACTAGCCGTAGAATTCCTAACGTGCCCCAGTAGTGGAGTAGCATCCAGTTAGCAATCATAGAAAATTGCATCACAACGGCTTGAAATGGGATAAAGACGGGCCCGAAAATCGGCATGTAGAAATTATGCAGTTGTTCGTACTTTCGGTATTCTAACGGCATGAAGTCTGCGGAGCGAAAATCGGGCAGAGTTAGACGTCTCTTACCAGATTTAGGGGCTAGACAGAATTCTGAATAGAATGGGAGCGTGAATGCTGTAAATAAGAAAGCGTTCAATTAATATGCCAGTTAAACATAGTACGCATAATTTCTGTTATGGCAGTATTTAGGCTCACAATACATTTCCTTACCTAGTTGAAACGCTATAACACAACACACCGATACAATCCCTACCCCAGACATAGCTATGACATACGCCTCCCAAGAATGATCCATCCATACCAAGACGGTATTCCTATGTTCCACTGGTATCAAAGAAATCCAGTTGCTTGCCACAGTTCGGTGCAAAATTACACCGGTACCTCCCGCAAATGACGAAAGGGTCCCTGTCGCGAGCAGTAGATAGAACAACCGCTCCAATATCAGGGAAGTTGGAAAAGCTCGAAATTCTTGAAACCTCGAAAAGCAACACCACTTGGACTCGATGTACTTCGAATATCGAAGAACCTGTGTAAGACTTCGGGCCAGAGCATCGCCTCTGATTGAAAGGAGAAGGAAGCAAATGATTGGAATGATTAGGCACATCATGGTAATATAAATAATGTTAAATTCGACGATTTCATCGGCGGTAGATTCTTTTGTTAACGTGGGGAGACAATAGAGACGATAAGTGCCGAATACCCATTGTACCAAGAACAATGTTGTCATCATCCGACAGCAGAAACGAGTTCGGACAGTACAATGGAATCTTTTCGAAGGGATATCGAACCGTATTGGTGAAACGCCGAGGTATGATGACACGCCGAGGATGACGTGAATGAGAAGAAGGACTCTTTTCGAGTACATGTTTCTAGTTCGGAGTATTACTGAATTCTGAACTTATCTTGACTTTTTTCAGTGTGAAATTAAAGGAAGAGGCGTAATTATAGGGTCCATTTTATAAAATGGGACATAATTGGGAATATTTTAGTAAATTCTTCCTCTCGAATTATATTAAATTGCCTGGAATTTTTTTCCTAAGCTGATTATATCTAAATAATAAACTAAAGTCTATAAAATCTAAATTGTTCAATATATTTGGAAATAGTTATATATACGATCACCGTTTTCATGTATTGGAACATGCATTCAGAAATTAACCATCTTCTATAATGATTGTATATAAATGTAACTAATTTGTGTCAAATTTGTCGTAAGTACAAACGTTAATAAAATTGGCGGATATGGGCCATATCTCAATCTATTATGGAATATGGTATGAAAATATACTTTGCTCTGAAACTTTTATGGCGTAATTACCCAGGTAAAATTGGATTTCTAATTGAGACTAGTATGTAATTTGGAACACTGCCAATTAATGTTTATTTCAACCTAAAGTCAACAAAATTTCAAGCGCTCCGGATAGACAGACAGAACTGACAAAAACTTAAGCCGTATCGACAATTATGTAAATAATTTGACATTATTACCTAAGACGGGGATAACCATAATTACAGTCATAAGGCCGATTTCAACATATTCTAGCGACAAATCAAATCATTGGGATGAATACGAGGGTATTCCGGTGGAAATTTACAATCGGTAGGTTCCGCACCGTTTTTGACCAAATTTTTTTCTAAATAACATAATTTGAACATATTAAGAAAGCTGTAATTTTTTAGGTCAATCCATTACCAATTGACTTCTTGGCTAATCTGCAAAGTTATCCTCGAAAATACTCACAAAAATATGATTTCATGTCAATTTTATTTTAAACTTTTTGAATAATTCGTCAAAGATTAGATACTGAATGTTAAAAAACATTATTCGCCCTAAACTTGAAGCATACGGCCATTAATTTGCGATTGCGACGCCACGATTGCCCCTCCAGGGTTAAAAATTCTATGACGCTTCGATATTTAATTTGAAAATCTGACATTTTTTTTGTCGAGCTTAACTTTGCAGGTTCACCACGAAATCAATTCGTAATGGATTAACCTAAAAAAATTACAGCTTCCTAAATATGTTCAAATTATGTTATTTAGAAAAAATTTTGGTTAAAAACGGTGCGGAACTACCGATTGCAAATTTCCAATTAACTTGCGCCGTGAATTATGCTTTTCCTTGAACTTGGCAAGATGGTGAATGTAACTTGACTCAAATAAATAAACCAAAAACTGGAAACTATCTGGAAAACTGGAAACTTATTGAAAATTTGAAATGAATTTTATTCACACAACTGGTCAGCATTAAAATTACACGACTACTTACTACGAGCTTTTCTTTGTACTGTTCTCTCTTCCAGCCCATGCTTCACCAAACCTTAATGGTAGACTTACACTACTTATTTACTAAATCTTATTATTAAAATGAATAAACAACTTAAAAACATTTAATATATTACCATATGACAATTAATGTCCATAATGAGTTACTCTAAATGGATAAAAAAGATTTAGACGTGTTCGAGCTATAATAACTGAGATTTTGAACTTATAGTGCCGATTTTGGACACTTTTCTCGAATCCCCTATCCTTAACCATTGCGACTTTGAGGTCGATTTTGAAAAATATGTATTTTCAAAAAATTACGAAATAATATGAACTAACACCTATAATTCAAACTTTAATAACAAAAAAGGTGGTCTAGTTCGAGCAATTATTACGCTGCTATTAAATTTTGAAATTCTTATATTTAACACTGTATACTCACTACCGATACACCACAACTCATTACCAAGGAGTAGAAGAATCAAATCCCTAACCTTACAAGTAAATCACAAAAATCGCGAAAGAATTAGATTTCATTAAAAATACTTATTAACTCGATTTTCAGGTAATTAACGACCATACTTAACTTAACTTAATTCTATTTTGTCGACACCCAAACTTAAAATTTTGCATGCAATTTGACATTGACATTTATTTTATAGTAAACAAAACACATAACTTGACCTTAGTTGATTTTGACTTTAACACTTCTATACGATATTATATAACAGTTATATAAAAATGTATCTCAGCATAAATTATAAGAAAATGAATGGATGCCAATAATTCATATAAAAATTGTAAATCCACCAAGATTGCAAATATTATTTTATTTATTTATTTATTTATTAATTCGTCAAGTTTGCCATGTAAATGGCTTATTACACTTGATAAAGAAAGGAACGGATTACAAGAATTGCATTTAGAGAATTACATAAGACGCAGGTATGAGTGAAATGATATTAAATATGTTTAAAGAGTATAATATAATTATTGTCGGATTATAAATTTGAAATAACGTAAAATAGTCAGTAATATTTAGGTAAAGGAAGAGATTCAGAGTAGTAAGTTACAAATTTATGTTAGTATGCTTCCATTTTCAAGAATGAACTTTTTCAGCTCACGTTTAAAAATGATAACATTTACATTTCCGGTGAGACAGCTTGGTAATTTGTTCCATGCATTAATTGCTAAATAGTTCATGCATTTCTCACCACTTTTGTTTTTAGGACAAACTGTTGATCTAATTGTATCATTTCCGCGTGTAAAATGGTCATGAATTTCTGAACTTCGGACAAGAAAATCATTAAAATATGGCAATTTACGTTGGGAAACTTGAAAAATGAAGAGATTAATTCTATAGAAATGATTTTCTTGTGGCAGCAACCACTTCAGTTTTGTGTGCATGTAATCACTTACAGGGTCAAATTTGCGCATGCCTAATATGTTTCTGGCTGATTTTCTCATACATGATTCAATAATTCTTAAGTGTTTTTTCGCTGCTGTTCCCCAAATTGCAACCATATAGTTTACAAGCGAAATTACACATGCATTCATGATTTTTAGATAGTTTTGCATAGATATGATTGGTCTTAGAGGGTGCAATGATTTGGCAACAAAATGGCATTTACGGGAGAGATCATTAATATGGTCATACCATGATAGCTTCGAATCAATTTTGAGCCCGAGACATTTAATAGTACTTTGGCTTGTAATGGTAACACCATCAAAATTGATAGTGATTTGGCCGATTTTAGCAACATTGTGGGCATTTCCAAGAATAATTAACTGTGTTTTCTTGACATTTATTTTCATGCCATTACCTACCATCCAGTTTTGTACAGCCAGGAGGTCGGATTCAACTTTACGAATCAAAAAATTAAGGGAGGAAGGTGGACCAATGCACAACTGCGTATCGTCTGCATACAGTATTGTTAGGCAATTTTTTATCACAAGGGGTAGGTCATTGACGTAGACACAAAAGATCAGAGGGCCTATCACACTTCCTTGCGGACAACCATGAATTGTAAACTTGACATGAGATAATTTACCGTTTGCGCCTTTTACAACTTGAGAGCGATAGCTAAGGTATGCGGAAAACCACTTAGGGTCTATTCCATACCAACGCAATTTCTCAAGAAGGAATTCACGAACCAATACGTCAAAGGCTTTGGAAAGGTCAAGCGACACAAGGATGCAAATATTGCCTAAATTGATTTGGTTATGGACCGAATCAATCAAAGCTATCATCGCAGTTTCGCAAGAGTGGAAAGGACGAAACCCAAATTGGCCTTGATAGAGGATATTATGCTCAGACAAATAGGTCATGATTTGATTGTGCGCGCATTTTTCAATTAGCAAAGATAGGAAGGGTTGTGCGGCAACAGGTCTAAAGTGTATTGGCTCAGTTGCATCATTCTGCTTGGGGATAGGTGTAATAACACTGGTCTTGAGATTTTCAGGAAACTGTGATTCTAATAGGGATTTATTAATAATGTTCAATATACCAGAGATAACGTTAGGTGAGCCTATTGTCAGTTTGAGCATTAAGGGGGATAATCCAGTAATATCTGGTTGTGTCTTACTTGAATTTTTCAATTTACGAAACTGGGAAATTAAAATTTTGTAATCTACTGGTTTAAAAGTGAACGTTGATTTTGAGCTGAAAGGGAAATTAGGAGGCTTACTTGGGCAAGGGGTCAGAGTCGATTCATTTGAGACACTACAATAATAATTATTGAGCGTGTCGGGGTCGATGTCTATTTTTTGTGCCTTATTGTCAATTAGTTGTTTCTTCACCGTCCAAACTCCTCTCGTATTTATCATGGAATCAACCTTATGTTGCGTGTCTATGATCAAGTGCAATTGTATAAGTTTATTCAAAATGTCCAGCCTAGTTTTTGTTACTAAATTTGGATTTCGTTTATGAAATTTATAGATTCCATCCCGGAACAGTTTAAGCTTGATTGTTTGTTCGGACAGTTGTTTTGGCCTATTGGATGGTATAAACGATTTAGTGCGTGTTGGGCATATTTGTCAAATAGTGCGATGTGAGTTTTTGTAAAGTGTGAAATTGCTTCGTCAATCGGTAAAGTATCTATATCAGAAAAGTCAAAAGTGTCAATTACATCGTGAGCAAGTGATGAATAATCAATTGCTTTAAAGTTACGATACGAAAAGGTTTCCTTTTTTGCTTTCTTAATTTTCATATGTCGTGATATAAAAGTTGCCTCATGATCTGACTGTAGTGGCTGATGAATAAACGATGTTATACTCTCATCATTGTCATTGGTTATAATTAGGTCAAGTCGCGCCTTTCCTCTCGTGGGTCCGTTAACAAGCTCACGAAGTGATAAGCGTTTGAGCAGATTTTGAAATTTTTTAATTTGAGTGTTATTTGTATCCTCCATATGAATATTAAAATCGCCACATATATAAAAGTTGCATTGTTTCTCCAAATGCTCAGAAAACAATAGCTCCATTTCGTCAATATCAGAATTTGAAACCGTGAACTTCGGCCTATACAAACAGGTAACAATAAATGATTTAAATTTGTCAAGTTGGAATTTTATAGATAAAAACTCTGCTTTTGCCAATTCATGTCTCTCCAGTTGAATGCGTTTATGAGTTAAGGACTCGCGAAATAAAATTGCCACACCTCCACCAAACTCATTCATCTCTATCATGTCTAACTATCCTGTATCCTGGTATGCTCATGAGGTATTATGTAATATTAACAGGTTTAAAATTTAGCATTGTTTTTAAATCGGGATATTAATTTCGCTTGGATAAAACCATTGTTTCGACTGTGATAATTACACTGTGATTTGTGACTTAATTGAAATACTGCGATTTTTGTGATTTTATTAGTCTCCAGGAGTATGATCAAATCACATTAAATCAAACTGCGATGTGATCCAAGGAACATTGGACAGTGTTCAAAATATCTAGTTTTGGACGTCAAAAACGAAACCCTGGTAACAATACAGTGGAGGAACTAACGTCACGCGAGATTCGTCTCATATAATTAGTCCAATCCTGCATAAATTATTCGCTTCCCACTAAAAACAGTGCAAGTTAAAATAAAATAAAATTACATTATTATGAGTGCAATGACCAGTCAAAAGTGTTGAGGAATTTCGAAACGCCCATCATTATTTGCTCCCAACCTTATCCAAGAAAACTTGTAGAACGCAGAAAAAAAAAATTTTTATATTTATTTGCAAATTTCTTTGCATAATAATTAAAATTTTCTACTCATCTAAGTCGGAACAGATTAAAAATCTGATAGTAAAGCATCTTTTCCCTGGAAATTCCAGGCAGGAATATGGAAAATCATTTACAAAATCGGCCCAATTTTTGTTATTAATCGCAATAAATAATATTTAATAGCCGGCACGATCTTATCTCCAAGTTTGCCTATTTACTAAATATTTTCCTCAAGTTTCTCATTCTGGTTAACAACTATAATTAATTTGTACAAATTCAATCCCACAAGGAAGTCCGTGCTGCATGTTTTTTTTTAATAAATTGGAAAAATTATCCACTTAATAAAATCCAATTAAAATCAAGAGGCAACCGTTTCTTTCTAATCTAAATACAACAACTTGACCATGTTGCCATGGCTACTCTCCTCTTGCATACATATATTTAACATCCGGTCAAGCAACGTGGGAAGACAGTCACATAAAAAATGCTTTGTAACTCTACACCTAATTAAGAGAGACACGACTTTATGTAATAGAAATTATATAATACTTTTAAGTTTTTAGCATATGTTATGAACAAGTTGCGTAATAATAATTTGCACTAAAGATCGGGGTTTTTACCACAAGGTAATAATTACCCTGTAACTTTTCCCTGTCTGACTGTAATTTAAATATTTCCTGAAATGCAACATGCAACATCCTGCCCTACATAATTCCATCCCATCCAGCGTATCTAATCCCTAATGAGGAAAAGCGTTACCTGTGAAAAGTCACTTTTTTAAAAAGCAAAGTTCTCGGTCTTTCTTTCTTCTCCATGGCAGTCAACCAAGACACATCGGACACGATGCAGCTCCTCTACATGGTCACAGTTTTTTTGATAAGGTGCTACAAAAGGGTGGAATATGGGATTTTAAGGTTAATTGGGCCACTCATTTTGCCAATCGTGATCAAGAAGTTGGACCAGGTGGGGATCACGATTAATAAAGGGGGTCCGTGCGATATTAAGGTGAGGAGATGGAGTATACATATAGTGTGCAAATTTAGTTTATATTATTTTTACGTGTTTCGCAATTTTGCAAGAAATAATCTGTGTATTAAAATATATTAAATTCTTGATAAGCGTTTGATATCCAAAATGTAAATTTTAGCAGTTAATATCCATAACGAGTTCGCAATTTCGCATCGCAGCATATTTTGCAAACTAGACTTTGAGATGAGAGATTACGAGATTGAGAGATTGAGATGAGATGAGATAAGAAAATTTTCACACATTGCCAACTTCGCTTTTTTGCAATTGTGCGAAATTTTTACTAACATTGCACCTGTTTTTTACAGAATCGAAATTTCATGACCAGCCAAGACACCGTGTACATTCGTGCCATAAATGAAGGAATCCTTGGTTTTGGCGAATCCTACATGGACGGGGATTGGGATGCGGAGGACATTCCTGCCGTCTTTTACAAAATATTTGCCAATGACGCCCCAATTTTGAGAATGTTTATGAATCCCTGGAACAGATTTCTGTACTACATGCAATTCTCCTTCTTTAATTTGCAAACTAAACAGAGAGTTTATGATGTAGCGAAAATTCATTACGATTTGGGTAGGTGGAAAATTTCTAAAATAGAATGTCTTTTTTTGCAAATTATTTTTTATAAAATTGTCAAAAACACAGATAAATATATTCGCATGTTTATTTTACAGGTGTTTTTATGCTTTTTTGGTTGCGGTGTTTTAGGTTTGTGCATATTTTAGTGTGTTTTTCTTATTTAATGAATTTTTTTCGGGGTATTCACGTCACTGTTGTAAATAGTGTGATTGGCGAAATTTCTAAAAAAAGATACATCTATTTTTGGCAACTCCGTTGTTTACGAAGAGGAGGTGAATACCCCCATGGTAACATTTCAAAATAAAAATTATTGATAAATTCACAAAAAGTTATTGCAAAAAAGTTAAATCCATATGAAAAAATTAATTTGTGAATTCTTGTGAACAAAATTTGCCAACTCGTTATGAATACTACTATCGCAAAACTAATACTAAAACACATTTGTTAATGTTGAATTTTGTATCAAAAGTTAATTGCGTTTAGAGGTATTCACGTCATTTTCAACGTCGATGTGACAAACGTTGTAAATTTCAGCCAATTATTTTTGCAATTCACAATTTTGCTGCTTTACGCGAATACTCCCTTTAAATATTTAATTTGCTTAATACCTATTTACAATTGTAAAAATTTTACAATCAATTAATTATTTTTCCTTTTTTCCCCAGGAAACGAATTCTTCGAAAACATGCTCGACTCCACGATGAATTACACCTGTGGATATTTCAAAGATACCGACAACCTTGAAAAAGCCCAGCTCGCTAAGATGGACTTTGTCGCAGCAAAGCTTGGAATTAAACAGGGTATGACTGTGCTCGACATCGGGTGTGGATTTGGCGGGATGGCGCGCCACCTGGCGATAAATTATGGCGCTACGGTAACAGCTGTGACAATTTCGAAGGAACAGGCCACCTTCGCGCAACAAGCTTGCCGCGGACTTCCTGTCACGGTGAAGGTGATGGATTATCGGGACGTGTCCGGAACGTATGACCGTGTCGTTTCCTTGGGAGATTTGGAACATATCGGGCCTGCGAACTACGGGACATTTTTTAAAACTGTGTCGCGATGTTTGAAGGAGGATGGACTTTGTTTGATCCACTGTATGGGAAATTATCATGACGTGATGCCCCATCAGGAACCATTTTCGGCAAAATATGTCTTTCCAGGAGCGTGTCTTCCGTATTATACAGAGGTATTGTACAAATTCAGAGTTTCTGGAGTAAAAAAAAGTATTTAGAAAGCGGAAAACACTAGAGAAAAGCGAAAAACACCAGGAAATAGCAAAAAACACCAGTAAACATCAAAAACACCAGTAAACAGCAAAAAACACAAATAGACATAAAAAACACAAAAAACGAAAAAAATACTTTTTGCAACAAATTTGAAACTCTAGCCTGATTTTTTAGACCCTTGCCGAAATTAATCTCAAATTTTGAATTCTAAATTTCTGAAACCCTTATCTTATTTAATTTCCAGGTAATGGGTTCCCTCCAAAATTTATTTCTAATCGAAGACTGGCACAATTTTGGAAACGATTATAATCTCACGTCTGTCGCGTGGAGGGACAACTTTATCAGGAACTGGCCAAAGCTACAACAACTGGACAAGATTAAGTATGACGACAGATTTTACAGGATGTGGACCTTCTACCTTGGCGTGGCAATAGCGTTATACAAAGCTAGAAAAATTCAATTATGGCAAATTGTCCTAAGTAAGCATGGAGTCGTGGGAGGATATCGGTCCGTGCGATAGGCGAAAAAAAATTGCGAATAAACAATACATTTCATGACAAAATAGATACATAACAATGTTGTATATTTTATAATACTTTGAATTTTAATAAATCATTGGCACTATTTAATACAACTTAAACAATACTAACTTAATACAAACTTAATACTTCCAAACATGTTAATAATGAAATAATAATATAATAAAGTAACATACTCTTAATTTTGAGTACATCCTGAGTCTCAAATTTTAGGATGGATTTAATTATTTACACGGCACACGCATTGCAATTACATAATACATCAATTACTTTCAATACGCATGTCACGCGTATTTTATTGTTTGTGTTACTTATTTTTAGTACGGGAATACTTGAAATAAGGACTAGGATGTTTTAGATTGTAGGTACAATTTGAAGTTCATAATCCTATACCTAGTACGAAAATTATGGCATCATTCTACTACTTTGTTAGTGGTAAATGTCAATGTTTTATTTAAGTACGCTCTCCATACTAAAATCTAGTGGGGACCTCTCGATGTGACAAATGCGATACGTACGTCCTTAAATTTTAGTGCGTTGCTACTTATTTACCGAGGGCATTTTTAACAGTGTGGGCGGATCACGTCACCCAGGTGAATGCACAGTTGGAGTCGATTCATCCCCATGATTCGATTAGTAGGAGTGCCGAACCGCTCGGAAAATTGGGATGGGTTACTGGGGGGGTGACTTTGTCCTCTCCAGGGTTGCGGGGCTAATGTCGTCAGGTTTGGCGGAGAAGTGGTACAAGCTCGTGAAGGAGAAGAGTGTCACGAAATATGTAAAAATTGCGGAAAGGGAGAGACAGGCTTGGAAAGGGTTGAAATTTGAGAATTTGATGGGCATTTTGCCAATATTTCTTGCCTGTTGTACCATTTCAGCTGTAACTTTTAGCGTAGAAGGGTTACTATTTTGTAAGAGGAGAACGAAAGTTTTATATTTATAAATAGCATTTTATTTTAATTATGTAAATATTAAATAAAATAGTCATGTAAACTTAATAAAATATTTGACTTCAGTAATTTTGCTTAATGTTCATGAAATTGGAAACAACTTTTGGAAAGTTTCATGCAGGATGATTTTGTCCAAACTGGGATTCTGGAGAAAGGGGTGTGGCTTCTTGACATGGATGAAAATGTCGTATTTTTTTAATATGCGACTAAAATGTGTGAAGTTTAGTAAAGTTACAGCAATAAAATTTAACCCTGGAGAGTCTGAAGTTTTTATGTTTCATAATTACGTAATTTTTTTTCATAGTAGCGAAAAAAATATTCATGCAATTCGCAAAGTAGACAAAGTGGTGGTGGCAAGGTAAACACTTCGCACATCTGGTTTGTGTATTTTGTTTTGCAAGAAATATTTAAAAGGTGAATAACTGCACTATAATTAGACTATAATTAGTTCCAATTAAGTTTTACATAATTTTCACTGCTTAAACTACGTTGCTATAGTGACATGATGGCGAACGAAGAGCCAGGATCCATTTTTGAAGTAAAGTTATTAAAAAATGAATTTCTGACATTTTTGAAGTAAAGTTACTAAAAATGAATTTCTGACATTTTAAATTTAAATTTTCATTGTTACTTTTTTAAGGAGGGCGATTCCACCTTGATAAGTCAAGATAATGACCATGCTGCCATCCCCCACTCATTTACTGGACCTTTACTTAATCATGATGTATAATTTTTTCACCCATAGTTTTGTATTTATGCTAAAATTTTAATTTTATTAATTTTCCCCAGATAATTTTACACGTCTGCAAATTTCTCGCCATCTCGGACATCAAGGAATGCCGTCTAGTTTCCCAATCCTGGAGTGATGGTGCTACCCCCATCCTCAAAGCTAGGACAAGGATCGACATCTTCCTCTATCCCGAGGGGGATGAGGACTGTGACGATTTTGAGGACCGGTATATCTCCAATGTCGTCAAAAAATTGAACTTTAACAAGGTCAATATCCGCCTAGAGATTCCAACCCGACGAAATTATGATCTTCCACCCATCAATTTGTCAAATTTTCCAATCAATACCCTCAAATCAATATGTGTCAAGTACACTAACACGTATAGAACCATAATTATGACCTCGTCCCCCACTCTAGAAGAGCTAATCTTTGAAGGGAACCACCCCTCTGATTTCCATCTCTGGAAGGAGTTATTTTCCCAAAATTGAGAAAGTTGGTGACCATAGGTTCCTTGTATTGTGGGGATATGATTCTGGGAAAATTTGGTCGCGCAATAACCAACTTATTCCCAAATTTACAACATCTGGAAACCAACTGCTGTACTTTATCTGGAATTGCAAGGATGGGAATGTTATCAAAGTTTCCGATGTATGTACTTATTTTTTTATATTTTAGATGATGATTCTAATTATTTCATTATTTCCACCAAATTCTGTCAGATCGCTAAACTCTTTGGTGTTTGATTATATCTTTAATATAAAAAATATGGAATTTCTCCTACAAATCCCTGGCAGCCTGAAGAAATTGCAATTTTTGGTTAACAATGGCCATTATTTTGACCAACTGCCCTCAATTTTGTACGAGCTGATGAAGAAACATGCCCCCACTTTGGAAGACGTTTCCATCACCAGAGACAGGAGTGGATGGAAGAATGAACTGGAATGGAAATTTCCAGTATTCCCGGCCCTGAAGCGGTTTACGCTCTGCGGTGTAATTTTTAGAAATTGTTTGTTCGAAACTAGCCCAGGAAATTTTGCAGGAATAGATTACAACGTGTCGTTCCCGGTGTTAGAAAGCTTGAAAATCTTACACATTTCAACTGCAAGAATTAATTTGAAGTTCAAATTTTGAACGACGAGTCCGCTGTGGCTGCATTTCTTCCAGAAAGATGTGCAGCTATGCGATCGCTTAAGAATGTGGATATCAAATTTGTCCCCCGAGGGTGGCCAGACAATGCAGAATTGTTGGATCAAGTTCGCCTCTATATGCGAATGTTGGATTTATTTCCGTACGCGAAAGATTCAGTGACGAGAAATTGCAAGGAATTTGTGGGATCGCAACGCTTCTCCCACTGGGGTCAACCAATATCAACTACCCGTCGATAAGAGACCTCCGGAATTTACTGTGAACTTTGAAACAACTCGCGGATGAGGAGATGATAACTACTCTGTACGTGCACTATTGACTGTTGACTTTAAAATAACTCCTTATTTTACAAACCTAAGGCAGTTTAATCTTTAGTAACAGTTTTATTACACGTACTATCAATTTACAATCACACAATTACAATTAACTCATTAATTGCTAAGAATTACCGGATCACAATTTAATGTATGTCCGTATCACACAAAAGTTGGCTGCGTAGTGCCGGACTCAGTCCGTTCTCTTCCTCTCTACTACTCCGGACTCAGTCCGTTCGTCCTGCCTTGCTTCCATGCCGGAACTCAGTTCCGCCGCTCTCCATAGGTGGCGACTCGGAACACTTGAGTCACTTACTTACTAATTATTCTAGCACAAGAATTACTCTTACTAATTATTCCTTGCGCCAATTTTCTATATTCTTTCTAAGTTAGATAACTAATTATATTATCTATAATATACAACAATAAAAAACCCCGTTGGCCTTTGCCCTTTCCGAGTTATCTCTATAATAATACATTGGGCCCATAAGAGTAAGGTTAATTTCGAAACTTTTTCCTTTGCACCAAATTTCGATATTATTAGCTTAAAATACTCTTAACATATCATACAATTATAACAATAAATAATATGGACTTTGGCCTTTACAGGTTTTGACCTAGAGCCCACTAAATGACCAATTGTCTCAAAATGCCCCCAAAACTACCTTTAATTACAAAATAATGCCAACTAACACCTGACTAATGACTGCTAATGCCGACTAATGGCGACCAATGGCGACTAAAGGCAACTAAATGCTGCTAACTACTTAATAACACCTGTTAGCACCCTATTAGCAACGACCATAACTACTAAGACCTGAGTTCAATTTCCTCTTAATTAACGATTTTAGACTTAGCACATAATCTAGTTTCCGATAACCTTAAATTCTATACACCGGAAGCCACTCAGTAAAAAGTTATCCTACTCACTACCTGTTGGATTTAACATTTCTCCCACCTCTTTTCTAATATTGCGCATTAATTATAGAAAAGAAAACACTTATATTCAATTACTTAATTATGTATCTAACTATTTTTAAACTGATTACATACAATTTTAATAACACAAATTGTCAAAAAACACTCCACGATAAATATTTCGAATCAAACACTTGAGCACTGTAACAACAATCAGTCCTTTTCACTCACTTGACTCTCCCACCGTGTAAATCACGCCCCCTCCAATTTGAATCCTCATCCGACGACGTGTCTGGTGGGTACTGATATGTAAGGAAGGCTAATCGGCGGGTTATCTCTCGATTCTGCTTGTTTATTGCCTCTCGATTGGCAGATATTCTTTCTCTCTTGGTAGGTACTTTCTCCCATTTTCCAGATAAAGTCCACCCAAGTCTTGTTTGGATCGCCTTGTCCAGGTTTTTCTTGTCTGTATTTTTTTATCCGCATTTTGACTTGTCCAGTAACACGTTGTCCCATTATGCCCGGAACCCTACATACATACCTTGTAAATAATTTCGTAATAATTACCCAGTACTCGCAAAAGAACTGTTACAAGAAAAACTTATTGTAGCAACCACAGTTTGTCGAATTTTGAAAAAATAAGCACATCACTGAAAAGCCAATGAAATTCTTTATAGGAAATATTATTCAGCTTTCATAATTTCAACCTCATTAGGCGACACGAGCCAGGAGACTTGGTGTCCACTTCACGATCGCGGTACGCATGCGTTCAAAGGGATCTTGGTGCCATTTCTAGAGGATAGATTTTTTCTCGTACTCCAAACTTGTGTGGGGTTTAGCACATGTATCTGGCTTCAGTTTGGGCCACATATCATATTCCAGAAGGTTGAGGTTCGGCGATGATGAATTTTATTCTTGGTCCGAAATGGAGTCAAGAATTTTGAACTTTAACCACCAATTTACTATTTTTACTTTATGAATAGGACCTGAGCCATCCTTAAATGACTAGTGACTATTTTTGAGTCGAGAGTGGTTCATTAGTACCCTAATTCGCTCGATAACTCGAAAAAATATTTTTTGACACGAAATTTCGACCTCTGAGGATGAATAATCACTTTTCCGACCAAATCCGAGTTAAAGAATCACAGAAGCAGTATAGTGGGTCAAATTGATATTTTTGAAATTTGTGTACATAATATGGACCAATGGGGTGTAGACAAAGTGCTTTTGCTTATGTTATATGGCCTCAAGGGTGAAAGTTTGCTCATCTTTTCAAAATATTTATTTTCATTTTTCAAGCGCGTACCGCACGATCAGCGCATTCTGATGGCTCTATTTTTACTTGACGTGCGGTAAGGAAGTATTTCTCCTCACGCCTTAAAGACATAAGTCCAATGTCTAGTTTAAGGGCCCGGGACATAGTTTTACTCAACCCGTTCATTAGCAGGGAAATTTTTCTTAGGGTCCGGCATGAATTTGGACAAATTCAGGTTTTCTGCACCTTCATCATTTTTTATGACCTTTTTGACCGTTCCTTTCCACCTTTGTTTCACTCATCAACACTACTGGTGTCAGTGGATCGTTGTATAGTTCGGTCACTCATCTTGCGATCAGTTCGGATTTTTATTGAGCAATTGAAAAATGATGATTTTTTTGTTTACCAAAATGTTGCCAAAAAATCGCAAGATGTCTTCTTCACCAGTCTATCAATTTGGTACCTTGGGTCACAAAATTTTTTGAAACATGGTTTCTGACGGACAATTGCATGGAGATTTCAATAAAAAGCAGTACAACTTTCTAAAAAAAATGTCTAGCCTGCTTAATTCACCCGGGGAAATCTTGTAACACTTCTTTTGCGAGTACTAGGTATTATCTGAGAAGGTGCAGGAATGCCGATCTGGAGCCAAGACGTTTAATTTTTTAATTTTGCACATTATGTATGATGGTTATGGTGAGAATAAATCAGTATGCAAGACTTGAAAAAATTACCTCCAACAAGTCTTCTTGGCCAAAAATTTAGCATTTCGATATAAAGATAAAAATCGACATAAGTATGTCTATTTTGCTCAGGGGACATTATGACTAAAACGGCTACATATTTCTGAATACGACCAACGACAGAAATTATGATGCGATTCTAAGGAAGTACTTGTGACCTTTTGGAGCGATCTGTCAGTTGTCAACAAACTCTACGAATCCATACCAAAAAAGTTCTTGAAGTTCCGAGCCAAATAGGAATTTATCGGTAAGAAAAATAACCATCCGAACCGAATCCGAAGTTTCGGTTGGAAAAATAACCATCCGAATTTATCGGTAGGAAAAATTTCCATCCGAACCGAATCCGAATTTATCGGTTAGAAAAATAACCATCCGAACCGAATCCGAAGTTTCGGTTGGAAAAATAACCATCCGAATTTATCGGTAGGAAAAATTTCCATCCGAACCGAATCCGAATTTATCGGTTAGAAAAATATCCATCCGAACCGAATCCGAATTTTTCGGTAAGAAAAATAACTATCCGAACCGAATCCGAATTTATCGGTAAGAAAAATAACCATCCGAACCGAATCCGAAGTTTCGGTAGGAAAAATATCCATCCGAACCGACTGATTCGGGTAGACACTTTATCCGAACGTCGTGTCTCACTTCACGCTCTGCTCAATTTGAGCACGTGGCGGGATGACTAAAACCTGAAAATCATTCCGGCTCACATAACATCTGCTTCGCTACAAAAGGTCAGCAAAAACAACTTTAATTATTGCTTTAATTAATTTAACACCCACATCAGCAATTTATTTATGTCTCATTCGTCCAACTCCCCCATAAAATTACTTATTATTCGTGTCACCAAAGTAAACAGACTTTTTACTTCAATTTCATTTCCAATCTGGTTTTACAAACGTTTTTGATTTTTTAACACAACCAAATTAATATATTAATATATATTATTATACCATGCTAACTTCATACATAATTTTACTTGCAAAAATTAAAATAATCTTGTTTTTTTACAAAAGTTGCAGAAAACAAGATTTCTAATAACTCGCCAAAAACCCGATAACTTTTCAATTGCACGAGTAAGTAATTACACAAATTATAAGTTTTCATCAATTAATGTTTAATAATTGAGACGGCACCAATTTAATTTTGATTATCACTCACTGATCCTCTTAATTTATTTATAAAATTCTAATTATTAATTATCCTTCCTTAACTGAAATTAACTTGCTCGTTACTAAAAAATCCACAGAAACAGACTGACTCCGTCCGTAGCCGCCATGGGTGATAAGACGACTCTGGGGTCAACCTTGGAGCCCTCGAACCAGGAAACGATTGAGGTACGCTCGAATTTTTATAGCCGGTCACCTCATTTGCATAATTTGACGCATTCGCTAGTATTTGTTCAACACGGAAAGCCGAGGAAAACGGGCATACATAATGAGATTTATGCAAATAAGATAACCATACGTCGGTTATGAATGAAAAATAACTTTTTTCATTTATTGACCTACAGTCTTTCTGAGAATGTTTACGGTCACTAGTAGGTCACGTAGGTCAAAGCATATTTTCTCATATTGGTCATATTTTCGGGTTTTAGGACATATTCATATTCCCGATCATATTTCGGGTTTTTCTTGTTCATTTTATCATTTTTGGCAAAATTCTAAGATTTGGTAACCAAATCGACAGAAAATGACAAAAAAGTCAGTTTTCTCATAATGATTCATTGTGAGAAACTTTCAGAAATTTACGTTCACTTTCGCCTAAGGTGATTTAATTCATTGGGGATGAATTAAATCACCCCAGAACTTGTTTAATTGATAAAAATTGAGCATTACAAGAAAATGTATTAAACAATTAAGCAAAAAATTTAAAAAATAAAGTCATTTTTATGGTCATATTTTAGAGATTTTTACGGTCATTTTTCATTCGTATTTCGAGGTTTTATCGGTCATTCATATCCGACGTCTGATCATGATCAGAACGTACCTTATGGACGCTCCCTAACGAGATATTTTCCCTTTCAGAACGGTCCAGCTTCGACGGGACACCTGTTTCTGGTGGTGAACGAAATGACCAGGCGCGGCGGAAGATGATTTTGGCCGGGGGGACAATCCTAAAAATTCTCCAAGCCGCTCGCGCCTACGGCGCTCGCGAAACTACCCCACTGCAAAGTGCAAAAAGGCTATCTTTTCTTATTTTTCATGCATTTTTGCTATTTTCATGCCTTTTTGCTGGTGGAATATCTTATACGACCTACATAACTCACAATGTAGATGTGTGAGGTGGTTATCGGCGATTGCACAATGGGCCAGGTGTCGGAAAATGTGGCCATTAAGGCAGTATCTTGAATTGGCTATTCTGATATACCATTGTGTACTACATAACTAACTTGTCCTCCGTGAAAAATTTTTAATCAAACGTTACACCCACTCAGGAGAACCAAGGGTGTAAACTTTTTTAAAAACATTACGGAGATGGGGAAAATGTATCTACTAGCATCTCCGCTCATCTCCGGGCTCAATTGACTCCCTATTGATGTCAATCGGTACCCAGTAGTATGATAAGTATTCCCTGCTGCGTGTAGCTGCGGTAACCAAAACCTGCTATGACCACACCCACTCAAAGTTGTTGAAATCAAGAAATCAAATTCAAGCTAAATTGATATAGTTTAACAAACTCAAAATATCCTCTGGCATGCTACATGCCACAACAGTGTGTGGTGCTCACAGGGACGTATTTTGATTGTCAGACTCACACCCTCAAGGGGGTGGGGCCATCATAAGCATTTTTATTCTAGGTAACATAGTCATGCGACATATCATTCTTCTGGGCTATATAAGGGGATTGTTATGGAGAACGATAAATTTAACAATCAGATCACTAGGGGGTGTGGCCATTGTATTTTGGGCCAGATTTTACGAATTCTGGCCAAAAATATATATAGGCGGCACTTAAAGTCATAAAAATAATTGTTTGCGTACAAGTATAAACTAGAGTATGGGCTGCCAGAGGTAATGTTTAATAGCAAACTGGCACACCCACAGGGGGTGTCATTAGCTCCATTTTTAGTCTAAGTAAACCCAGGCATGCGACCTATGATTCTTCTTGATTATATGAGGAGATTAGGATGCAAAGCACTAAATTCTAAAATCACACCCCCAAGGGGTGTAGCCATAAACGCCTATTTTAGTCTAAAATAGGCGTTTATCTAAAGGTGGTCTAAAATAGGCGTCAGTTAAAATTATTTAGTCCCCTCCCAATCGATTGGGAGGGGACTAAATAATTTTAACTTTGGTCACGCTCATAAATCAGCGGACCCGTATTTTTGCGTTTTCCTGAATGGGCATGTTTGGTGGAATTAAAAAAAAATTTCAGCCAAAATTCAGGTTTTTAAAAACGCTGTAACTTTTCTAATTCTAACCCGATTTAAAAAATAAACCCAATTTGTGTTCAGAATTACATCCCTGAAAATATAAAAATTGATTTTTATGTAGTATGCATTATTGGTGCGTTATGCATCAAAGCCCCCAATTCTTTCGCATCATTTGGTGTTTCCGATTGTCAGATACCAACGGTGCTATTAATCTATGGAAAATTGGACCAGGGACACTTTAATTTGCATCAATCGATGCAAAAAACTCGTCAACAGACCGACGGACATACGGACAGACGGACGGACAAGAGGAATTCAATAGCTCCCGTGCTATGCAGGGTGAGCTAATAATCCAAGAATACGAAATTAAAATTAAATGTAAACCTTGGAATAAGGGATTATAGCACAATTAATTCTTATCTCAACAATTAGAAACAGTAAACATGTTTATGCTCGAAAAATGCTCCAAAACATGCTATAAAAATGTATATTAAAAACCGAAAACGAGTTTTCGAGTGTGTTAAAACCGGTTTTTCGGAAAATTGCAAAACCAGTTTTCGGTTAAATTTAAAACCGATTTTTAACATGTTCTACGAAATAAGAACAACCAATTTTGGATGTCCTACTTACAAATCCTTCGAGACTTATTTTCTAAATAATCAAAGAGTTATGTAAATTCTCTCATTTCTTGAAATCAAATGTTACATGATATTATGAATTCGTGGAGAGAGGTCTGAAATTGTAATCCTATATTTTGTATGACTCATATCAACGTTTTCATTAGCTGAAGGTCTATCCCCGCAAGAGAAGATTCGGGTTTAAAATTGGTAAGTTGTTGACTAGGAACATCGGGGCTCGAAAATGAAGGACTACATTTTCCCACACTTAATATGCATTTATCTTGTGGCGTGGGACAGAACAATTATATCTAGTGTATAGGGCGTGCCGGTACGGCCCTTCGGGCCGTACGGCCTGGTGCCAGCGCTCCACCTAGAAGCATCGTCGGTACGGGCCTGGATCTTTCTCAGATACTCCTATGAAATTATACAAATTATAAAAACGTTTAATTTAAAAAAAATTATCGTTTTTTGCATTTTTGTAAACAAAGAAACAGATTGAAAATATTAAATTTGTCAAATTTTAAAAATCGAATTTTTATAAATTATATAAGAGAAGCCTGAGAAAAATTCTGCTTAATTTTTGAAATCGGGAAACTCGAAAAGTTACTGCATTTTGAAAAATCCTGATGTTGGCTGAAATTTAATTTAAAAATTTTTCCAAGGGCGAAAACATGCGCAATCTGGAAAACGCAAAAATAGCGGGCCACCGATTTATAGGTCCATAAATTATGGACTATACAGACAGTATGTATGCAAGTAAGTAGTATGAGGGGGCTAGAATTTGACCTCAAAAAAGGGGTTATGGACATATCACGTTGCTAAAAGTGGTGCAAATGGGGCGTGCAAAGATGCCTTGACATGGAAACGGTTATGCACATATCACGTCGTTTAAAGTGGTGCAAATGGAGCGTGCAAAGATGCCTTGACATGGAAACGGTTATGCACATATCACGTCGCTAAAAGTGGTCCACATAGAAAACGTTATGCACATAGTGTATCATGCTATTTATAGACCACGTAACATGCTTTTATGATGTGGTATGATATATACAAATGGTACCAGTAAAAAATACAAATGTACAGTTTTTATTTTTTCTTCATTTTTAAGGTAAATTATTATTATATACAAAACAATACTAAAAACTAAAACAGTTAGGTGAGGTTGATAAAAATTATGCTCATAAATTTATCAGTTTACTGCAGAACATTGCAACATAAAAATACTAAAAAAATTTAACGAGTTTAATCATAAAATTATGCTTGTAAATTTGTCAGGACATTGCAACATAATAATTGTAAAAAAACTTGAGTTAGGATGATGTGCTCATAAAACCTATCCTAATAAATGTTACAAAAGTAAACTCATTGAAGCCTAGCATGCTTTATTGTTACAGAAGCAAAAAAGCGCTGATTTAATTGATCCCGTTCTTTTCGGAGATCATCTGGCTCGTAATGATCCGGTTGAATTGGATAATCGATTGCTTTCGGCAAAATACCGTCATGAGCTCGTTTGCGTGCTTTTTCATTTAAGCGGTTGAGGCAGTTTATCTTGCTATTAATAATTTTTTCTCGTTCTTCCCAATCACGAAAGTCCCTAAACGCTTTGCAAGAACGTCTGCCCTCTGTGATTATGCGGATACGGTGTCGGTTGTCACGACCAAATAGGTCACAACCAAAAATCCTTTATGTATGCCAGTAATTTCCTTCGAACAATGTAGTTATAAATAGAATTTCATGCCGCAGTTGGTGCATAAAAGGTACTGTGTAAGTAAAGCATATTGAGTCCATGCAGTCACGAAATGTTAGATAGCCGAGCTGTAATAGTTTTTTCCTGTTGTCCTCTATTAAGGACACAATATTCGTAATTGGCGCAGAATCCTTTGACTGTAGCGTTGGCACATACCGTAAACACACAGTCACCTCTGCTGTCTGCCATATATGGAAAAAGATCATGGAGACGATTTTTAAATTCTTTTAAAGTGAATGTAGCATCATCAAACTCGCTATAACGTGGCTCAGTACTGTCACGGATTTTAAATGTTCGTCCCCAAATTTTAGTCAACTGTTCAGCAACATAGACAATTGCGGTAGTATAAATATAGCGAAACTTATCGTTATAGTTTGGATCATAAAACGCCACTAGATTTTGGATTGTATCAACAAGAACAAATGTCGCATGGCCGCTGTTGATACTTTTTAAAGGCAAAAAGTCACGAAAATATGAAGCACCAAACGTAATGGGAATAAAGAGATAGGTTTTATTTTCATCGCGCATCGCGAAAAGAAAGTCGTAGTTGCAGAAGAAATAATGCATACTAGTAGAAATTTTTTTACCGTCAAGGGATGAATCAATACAAAAAAATTTAAAAACTGCTGTGCATGTTATTTCAACGTTCGCCGGTGTTCGTAATGATGCCAGGAACCCATTGGTCGTACAGTCATATGCTCCAAAAGAGTCGTCAGGTCCATCACCGCTCACATCATACGACCGTAATAAATCCTGTGCCTTGCTTGTAGTGTAAGCATGGTCGACGTCAGAATCCCATTTCAATCTGCCCCAAAGTTTCTGATGGTCCGGTCTCCATTTTGAGACAGGATTTTCGTCGCCAAAAATTGTTGTGGTTAATTGGTCCATATATTTTTCTACAGCGACAGCTACCGAAACTGCTTGGAATACCTATAATAGATCCAAATTTAAAATAAGTAGAAACCCTTAGTAAAAAACTAAACTTAGATGAGTTTGGAATGAAAAGTGAGACAATTCTTAGGGAAAAAATTAAAAAATCGTTATATAATAAAAATCGTTATATAATCAATAAAAATAAAGCCTTTGCTGAGGTTGAAATTAGGAATTAGTGAAAAAACAAATTACAAAAAAAAACTTGCAAATAAATCTCGAAGTCTTTCCAATCTTTTTCCTAGACAAATCCGGAGTTTTTCGTTAGAGATTCTTTTCACCAACTAAGTATTTTGAACTGCAAAGGTAAAGCTATTTTACGGGTTAAATTTGGCCCTTTTTGACCTTATTTTTGAACTTTGCATTTGGTGACCTAACTCACAAGCAGCCGGGGAGCCGGCAATTAGACTTTAATGCTCTTCCGCCGCAGCCTGGCTTTCGGGCCAGTCTACCCACCAAAGTACATACATTTGATACATTTACATAATTCACAAGCAGCTGACATATTTGAGTTTGAGTTTGACATATTTCAGCTTTGAGTTTGGGTCTGACAATGCAAATCTTATACGTGTAAAACTCAGATCTCAATCGGACCAATTTTACTTTGTTGGCCACCAGAAATAAGCACACCCAGATTTTTTTCATTTTTCCTAATGCGCTAATTTGAACATGAGGCGTAAATTTTAAACTGTTTTCCAGCCAAAACCTCGGTTTTAAAAAATTCTGTAAATTTTCGAATTTTAGCGCAAATCAAAAAATTCGAGAACACGTCTCTTCAGAATGATTTACTTCACTTACAAAAAATACACATGCTACATTTTTTGAAAATTCGATAGAGTTTGTAATTTTACTGAATTTCAAAAACTTGCAAAAATTCTGAAATTCAAATTTCATGTCAATTGAATTTTTTATAAGTTAGGTAGATGATTCTGAAGAGACATGCTTTCGAATTTTTGGATTCGCGCTAAATTTCGAAAATTTACTGAATTTTTTAAAGCCGAGGTTTTGGCTGGAAAACAGCTTAAAATTCGCGCCTCGCGTTCAAATTAGCGTATTAAAAAAATGCAAAAATATGCTTATTTTTGGTGGTGAACAAAATAAAATTGGTCCCATGGAGATCTGAGTTTTACACGTGAAAGATTTGCATTGTGAGTGTTTTCCTGGCTTGTCAGAGCGTCGGTATTTCGAAAAACGCTAAGCGTTAACTTTTAGGGGGGGGGGCTGTTACCTTAGACTAAATTAACAGGAAGACAGCCATGCTAATTTAGATTTTCATAGAATTCCCATGGAATTAAATACCCAAGACCCTATAGAACAAGAAACACTACTGATGAAGTCATGCATATTTTTTTCTGCGTGGCAATTTTCCTACGGAGAAAAGTTTCATGTGATGTTCTACTTCGGAAGGCAATTTTCTTGGCATGTCTTAATCAACCATTTTAAATCAATCGTTTTATGAACGCTAAATAATCGCGTTTCTAGAATAAAATTAAATAAATATCGAAAATCCTTCTCGCCCTTAATTTTCTCAGTTTTTGGTTTGATCAAAATAGCATAATTAACCCTATATGGATGGAACCTTTCTCAGATTGAGAAAGAAGCCATTGTGCAACTGGAGAGTAGGCGTCGTTGTTGTTCCCAAGTTCTTCTATAAAAATTTTTAAGAAAACTGAACAGCTCGTTAGGATTGATATAACTTAAATAAATATCCTTTTGTGTTAGTGCAAATCTCTTAACTAAATTCATCAACGGAATTAAGGAATTAAATGGCAAAATTTTATTCTTAAAATAGTAAAGCCGAAAAGGATTTTGGAGATATTTATGTGCACTCTAAGCCAATTTTATTTGAGCCTCATATTAGTCTCAATTTCTTTGAAATAGAAAATAGCATGCAAAAAAGTTTTTTCATTATTTACAAAAAATGAATAGAAGACATATTTTTTGATTTTTTCAACGATTAAATGCTTATGTAAATTAGATAATTGAATGATTTTAATCTCAATGTTTTTCGGGGGGACATTAACGTTACTTGTCCCCCCGGCACATTTTCTGGGGGGACATTGTCCCCCTGTCCCCCCTGTTTCCGCCGCCACTGGAAATGACGGAAGCCAATCGTGAACTAGCCGTTCTCCTTCTACGGACCATGGGAGTTGTCTACACGAACGGCCAAATTCTGGCTCCAGGCTCACCCTTGCCTCATCATCACCCCGTTCCGGCAACAATTCAGGTACGTTGTACATACAGGGTGGTTTAAATTAGGGATGCACCGAGTGGTGAAAAATAAGACTCGGCCGAGCACCGAGTACTCGGCAATTCTTGAAACGAGTACTCGGCCTAGCACCGAGTACCGAGTAATACATAAAAATCTGGCAAAATCTAATAGCAATGGGTATCTGTTAACGTATTCTTCTTGATTTTAACGGAATTATATAGTGTCAATCGATTCACTATGTAATTAATACATGAAGTTTGTGAAATTGTGAAGCGGCTAAAATTTTGTCGACGGGTATGGCGGGGATATTTCCATACGAAGAGCTGAAAACGCGTCTGAAGCTTAGAAAAATTACACTTTGCAAATTCACTGCACGTTTTTTTCCTATTCCGAAACAAATATATCCCATCCTCAGTATAAAGTGATGTTGTCTTATGAAAATGTGATATTAACTATGTACATATATCTGTGATCGACTGAAACTAGTTTGGTCAGATTCGGTGACGTTGGGTGATATTCATTGCTAGGACAGTACAAAAAATTGGGTTATTTCGTCGTCGCTGATGAATTTCGACTAAAAATACGCAAAAATGTGACGAAGTATATTTTGCAAAACCCAAAATGCAAGAAAACTTCTTGAAATCAATTTCATGGACAAAATAATTTGTTAAAAATGACCACAAAAATTGAGAAAATACTCGGCCGAGTCCGAGTAGTAAAAATACAGGCCGAGTCGGCCGAGTACTCGGTGCATCCCTAGTTTAAATGTCAGGTTACAATGGAAAATTTTTCGATGGGAAACATTCGTAAATTTCCATTAGTTACGGATTTGGGATTGAGATTTTCATTAATTTTTATCAAAACTTATGGAACACTGATGACAAAATTATTAAAATATTGAAGTTCAGAGGCAAAATTTCTGTAACTTATGGAGATTTGCGAATTTTTCCCATTGAAAAATTTTCCATTGTAACCTGACATTTAAACCACCCTGTACATAAGTACTCTCCATCTCCATTACTAATCCGTATTAAAATTTGGGGGTCCTTTAACTTTGAGATTTTCATCATAACAAAAACTGATTATAAGTTCCTATTAAGAACGTTCCCTAACCAACCAGATATACTTGTTTATTGTCCATTACAGAGCGGCCAAACATCCTCGACGGAAGCCCCCTTATTTCTACTGGTGAACAACATGACGGAAGCCAATCATGAAATAGCCGTTCTCTTCCTACGGACGATGGGAGAGGTCTGCTCGAATGGCCAAATTCTGCCTCAGATCACGGATGTGGCCACAATCCAATACGTTCGGGAGAGGGTGGACAGCTATTTGGAACAATTGCTGGCTGAATCCGCAGCGGATGACTGGACCGACGTCGAGGACGACGACGACGACGACGACGACGCCGACGATCGGGCACCGGTTGAATCGCAACCGAATTAAAAGGAAGTCTTGTTTTGATGAATTATTACTTGGTTTGATTACTTGCTTTATAAAAATTAGTCTTGTTTCGTTATGTAGTTTATGGTTGTATTTATTCTCTATTTGGTAGTAGATTATTATTGAGAGGTGCTTTCTAAATTTCATTGTTATACCTTTTTCTGATCCTAAAAAATAAAGGAAGATATTTGCTCACGAAATTGTTTAGAGTGTAATCTTTGATATCTTAGGCGTGATGACTTTATTAAATAATTTCCATCAAAATACTGCATGGAATGTAGTGCAGCATCGAAACAAACGTATATAAATGCATCCCTGCCCAGTGTTCGCCAAAAAGCAGGGCTTGGTATATGATTTTTTTAGTGACTTTTTTGCTGTTTTTGTGCGTATTTTTGCCAAATTTCATAGTGTTTTTGTAGTGTTTTTGACATGTATCTGCTCAGTTAACATGAGACGAATGCCAACAAATGACGCACATTTGTATAAACTTCTAATTTTAAAGATATGAACAAAACATGTAAAAATGAAAATTAAATGAATTGCATTACATGCAAATTAGAATAATTCTAATTTGCAAGAGTTATTATCATAATTATTATCTTATTTTTCACTATAGAATCAGCAAAGTATTTGCATATGTCAGCCAAATGTGTAGGCTAGAAATATGTATTAATTAAGCATCGATGTTTAGGTTTCATTAATTATCTGCAAGAGTGTAAGCTTGTGTATGTAATTTATTTTTCATAAATGAGTAAACAATAAAATTATTAATATTAATTAGCATTTATACTTCTATACATAATCTGTTTCCACTATGCAAATCTATGATGAGGCGAAAATTAGCCAAATTCTGGGCAAAAATTGTTAGCCTGCAAACAAATTGTGCAGAATTATACACACAAAACTTACTTACAATGCAAGTTTTTTACGTGTACAACTCAGATCTGGTTGGGACCAATTTTATTTTGTTCACCACAAAAAACAAGCATACCTGTATTTTTTCGTTTTTCATAATGCGCTAATTTGAGCGCGAGGAGCGAATTTTAAAACATTTTTCAGCCAAAACCTCGGTTTTTAGAAATCATGTAAATTTTCGAATTTTAGCGCGAATCCAAAAATTCGACAACATGTCTCTTCAGAATGACTTACCTGACTTATGAAAAATCCAATTGTCTCGAAATTTGATTTTCAAAATTTGTTGCCAGTTTTTGAAATTCATTAAAATTATAAACTCTTTCAAATTTTTAATTTTTCAAAACATAATTGATGATACTAAAAGCTCGCTACGCCCTCTGGCTAGGGCGTAGCGATCTTTTAGCCTGAGCGATAACTTGTTTTTAGCTTTTGACGTTTTCGTTTTATATGCTTTTTCACTTTTATGCTTTTTTGCTTTTATGCTTTTTCGTTTTTACATCTTTTCACTTCTTAAATTTTATGCATCTATTTGAGAAAAGACCCTATTAATTGTGTACTACACTATTCATATTATGTTTATTTATTTGTCTTAAATTGTTTGGTTAAACTTTCGTATAGGCTATACATACTTTACAATTTGACTCTGGATAACTCAGAATCGTAGAATATTCCTAAAACCATGGTGTTTGTATTGTCACTTATTTTATATGTAATTGGGTTACTGTTAATTACTTCTGTAACTTTATACACTTCATTCGAATAAGTTGACGCATATCCTTTAGTGAATATTTTCTTATTAATCTTAATACGAACAAAATCATTTACTTTCAAAGTAGCAACATGTCGCACCCTAGTGAGCAAATCAGCATTGCTATTAAACCAAACATCCATTTGATTGTATTTCGTAACGCTCGCAGGATCAAATTTGGTAGAACTATGAACATTGGAATTATAAGAAAATAGTACGTCGTCTAGAACATCATGGTACACGTTTTTCCCTCGATGAGTGAAAACCTTCTGTAATCTGGTCATCAATGTCCTATTAAATCTCTCAATCATTGCAGCCTTCAGAGGTGAATGGTTATGATATAACTTAACTCCTAATGTCTTAAGCAATGACTTAAACTTAGAATTGAAAAACTCCAGACCTTGATCTGATTGTATGAATTTAGGCTTCCGCTTGCATCTAGTTAGTAATTCACTAAAGGCGTTAGTAACATCTTCAGCATTTTTTCGTTTAACAGGAATAACAAATGCAAAACGACTACAAACATCGATACATGTTAACAAGTAGTGAAATCCTTTATTAAGGCGTGCATAGTTAAAAAATATAAAAATACAAAAATGACATAATCAAAGCAATGCTAAACCACAGAAATACTACTGATTTCTGGGCTACAGTAAGTAAAATGAGAACTCGTGAATTCACACAGAATAAAATTCCTCCAGAATCATGGACCTGCCACTACGAAACACTCTTCGCGTCAAAAACGACCACCCCCTCTCTACCGATCTCCAAATCTGAAAATGCGCAACTTGATTACCCCATCACACTCAATGAAGTCATGCATGTACTTCACAAATTGAAAACCAAAAAAGCTCCAGGACACGATGGCATCCCAAATGAAGATTGGAAATCCCTTCCCCTCATACAACAAATGCAACGTATCTTCAACAATATTCTCGATAATGGCACCGTTCCTGAGGAATGGACAACAATCCTCCTCCAACCAATTTACAAAAAAGGAGACCCCCTTCTACCCCAAAACTACCGACCTATTGCACTTGCTCCTACAATACTAAAAGATTGTTTTCTCTACAATCATCTCCAAACGAGTCCATGATTGGGCTGTTACCAACAACAAAATTTCCAAATTCCAAGCAGGATGCAAAAAAGGGATGGGGACCCAAGAACATCTTTTTACCCTACTCACCCTCATCCAATCAAGACTAAGATTACCAAAAGGGCGTTTGTACGTAACTTTTGTAGACTTAAAATCTGCATATGACTCGCCAGGCCATGCTGATTTATGGGACGTCCTCTCGAATGCTGGAATGGGATCAAAAATCATCAACGTACTTATATCATTGTATTCTCGAGCAAATGGACAAGTGAAGCTTCCTTCCGGCCTCTCTGACAAATTCAAGATTCGAAAAGGGGTGTTACAGGGTGAACCACAATCTGGACTTAATTTCAATATATTTATCAATGACCTAGTAAAAGAGTTAGATGAAAAAGTTCCACCCCCAATACAAGTGGGAGATGCCAAGCTTCACCTCCTCCTCTTCGTTGACGATATCGCTCTACTTGGGGACACACCATCACAAATTCAGCAAAAGATCAACATTGCAGCCAGATTTTTCCACCGCAGATCGCTACAAGTCAATGTAGATAAAACCAAAGTCGTTATCTTCAAAAGAAAAAATCTACAAAACTATTAGCTCGCAGCCATTTTCACTGGGAAAACCAATCACTTGAAATTGCCCCCTCCTACAAGTATCTAGGAGTAACATTTTCCGCAAATGGTACATTCACCACCCATACATTAGAGTCACGAGTCAAAATAGCTACGGCAGCAACTAAAGTCTGGGATATATGCAGAAAAAGCGGGGTCCCACCCATTGATACTCACCTAAAATTATTCAACTCACTTGTTAAATCCACACTACTTTATGCTTCACCAATATGGGGGTGGGGTCATGAAGAAACAGCGGAAAAAGCCCAATCATCTTTCGTCCGGAAACTCTTACGACTACCCCCAACAACCCCAGCATACTTCTGCAGATTAGAATCTGGAGTTACCAAAATCCAACTACAAATTTTTAAAGCCACTCTCGACTTTTGGATCAAGACTATCAAAAACTCCACCTCTCTCACTTTCTCATGTTTAAAAGAACAGTTCAAATGGTACGAGTATAGAGACACTAATAGCACAATATATTCCTCCAAATATTGCTGGGCAGCCAAGATTGTAGAAATTATAATCAAGTTAAGCGATCTTTCCTACCAGTCTCTCCTCTCTCATGACGAATTATCACCCCTTCGAAATGTTATGATTGCCAAATATGCAGATATACTTCACCAGCAGGACTTAGATAGATGCCGACTCTCAAATTTTATCCCTCTGTATCAATACCTCCGACCTGACGAGAACAGACCGTCATACCTTAACCAAAATCTTTCACTCCCTATTGTCCAACTATACGCCCAACTCAGACTTAACCGTTTCAGCGTTAAACTTGGGCCCCACTACATCAAGCTTGAAACAAGATGTCCACTTTGCACGTCTCACGCCCCAAACAATGTACAACATGTTTGATTGTAGACCCCTCAACACCGAACGCCAAACACTTCTAAAAAACTACATCACCGATGAATCCTGTTGCTCCCAGGAAAAACTAGTCAACATTCTCACCATCACACCTGATGACCCCAATAAGTACTTTTCAAATATATTTCTATTTTGGAATAATGTTGCTAAATACCTCGATCTATGCACTGACTATTTATAGAATTTTTTCTCATTTTGAGTTATAATAATCTCTATATATTTGTAAATAACAAAATGATTGTGATTTGCAAGGGCTAATGGCCATTTATGCAATAAAAACAGATACAGATACAGATAATAGTGACGAAATTAAATCAGGATATCAACATTTTACCGGATACATACATACTTGTAATAAATAGAATTTATTTTTCATATGTACATCATAAATAGAAACTTTTAATGGGCTTTAAATAAACTTTGTATGGTTATTCGGTCGATTGAAAGGTTGCCAGATATGGAAGTTTTTATTCGTTAAAAAATGCATTACCCTCATTGTTCTCCTGTTTAAGTTGCAAGTTGCAATTGAAAAAGGGTCCAACCTTTCAACCCTTTTTCAGTCTGGTCGTGGCAGCTGGAAACAAATATGTACATATGTACATACATACAGGTGACCCTTAACTGTTAGTGAAGTAAACCGCAATAACTTACTTATGTATGGATACAGGATGGTTCAAATGTGAGCTTACAATGGAAAATTTTACAATGCCATAAATTTCCATTAGTTACGGATTTGGGATTGAGATTTTTATTAATTTTTATCAAAACTTGTGGAACACTGGTGACAGAATTCTTAAAATATTGAATTTCATAGGCAAAATTTCGGTAACTACTGGACATTTGTGAATTTTTCCGATAGAAAAATTTTCCATTGTTCCCTGACATTTTAACCACCCTGTATACAATACATAGTGTCCACCACTATGTCTTATATATCACATTGAAGTGTTTGTAAGACAGAGAATTTGTTCTGTTAGGAAAATGGCCTATTCCGCTGAGAGCCTGAAAGAGTTTGGGTATTCTATTTTTAAATTAAGGGAAGCCTTTATCTCTAAAATAATATTGTCATTTTCCCAAATAAAATATCAAGAAAACATCCGTCATTCTTTCGACAAGTTTGTGCCATTAAGCAGGGGCCAATCCTAAAAATATTTTTCTAAAGGTAACTATTTATATTGATATGTGGATATCAATGTTCAAACTACTTCTGAACGATGACAAATTTTTTGGAAATTCATAACCTAAAATTAGAATTAGTAAAACATCTCAATCCACTAGCTCGTGGTAAGTCATTGGATAAATATATTTACTTACAAAAATCTCTAATTTTTAAAGTAAGATTTCAAATATTAGAAACTAATGATTACATCTATCTCTCAACAGATTTGTAATTATTGACATAAAATAAAATAAAATTCGATGGAACCTTTGCCCAAAAAGAAATGGGAATGTGCAACCTGCTCGAAATCTTTCACGACCAAACCTCGCCTTACAAAACACCTCCTCTGCCATGAGCCAGATGCCAAAATGAAATGTGAGGTAGGTATGTACACACGCTAAAAAAATGCGACGAATTATTTCTATTTATGTACAAATAAATCAACATTCTCACAAATCCTTCCTTCCAGATTTGTGGTAAAATATATAAAAATTCATTCGGGCTAAACGACCATATTCGCTACATGCACAGTGGAAAGAGTAAACTTTTCTGTGCAATTTGCCCTGGAGAATTTACCACGGCTTCGGGTTTACGAAAACATATAGAAAGATTTCACACGGGAATTGAACGAGCCCGCCTTCCTTGCGGCTTTCCAGGGTGTGAGAAAACCTATTTGAACAAGAACCATCTGGTGACACATTTTAACGTGGAGCACGCCGAGAATCCTGTGCGGTATGGATGCACCCTGTGTAGCAAGGAGTTTAAGCGGAAGGAACATCTGGAACGCCATACAGCCGCACATACGACAGAAAAGCCGTACAAGTGTCAAACTTGTGGGGCAGGATTTGGACAACACAGTTCATTAAAGAAGCATGAGGTATGAATGAATACGTAAATTATGTAACTATCCGACTGGAATTTGCCCTTAATAGGTTCTTTACGAATTAATCGAACAACTGGGCATTTAGGCATGCCCTATTTTCCCTATTTTACCACCATTTAAATTAATGCCCCCACAAGCTCAATGTTATACGAAATGCTGAGGACATTTATGCCCTCCGCAAATCCCCAAAATTCCGGGCATTTATTTTCATCTCCAGGGCAACCTCCAGTCCCGATACTAACCTATTTACATACGGGGTGGTTAAAATGTCACGCTACAATGGAAAAAATCCCTACATAAATCTCCATTAGTTACACGATTTTGGATTAATATTTCATGATTATTATCAATACTTATGGAACACTGATGACCAAATTCTTAAAATGTTGAATTTCATCGACACAATTTCGGTAACTGATGGAAATTTACGAATTTTTCCCATCGAAAAATTTTCCAGTATAACCTGGCATTTTAACCACCTTCAAATGTTGATTCACATATTTTTTTAGCTAATTCACCTTGACAAATCTGCTCGACACGTCCTCAAATGTGGCTTGTGGTACAGGCTGACCCAACTGTGCAAACCCGTTTCGCGTCGATTTCACCGAATTTGATAAGAAAATTTGCAAGTTGAATTCGGGGTGCAAGGATAAATCTAGCATGTATATTTTTAAATTACATGCACCCATCCCCTTTTCAGAAATTTGAGAAGGAAATTTGAAAAAATGTGAAAGTCAATGCACACTGGGTAAAACAAAAATTAGACCACAGGTTGCATTTGCCAATCTAATTTCCCTGCCCCTACGAACATTTTGATGCATCAAAAGTTTCAAAATTTGAAAATTGGCGGTTTTTTGTCATACACAGAAATCGTTAAAAAACGCATTGTTCCCACACTTTTACTTCTGACAACCTGATTCCAGATTTTTCTACCTGAGAAGAGCTACATTTTCACCTTTTATTGTCCGAAGTAAAAGTGTGGGAACAATGAGTTTTTTGGGGTCAAAGTTTCTAAAGGAGTGGCTTATACGGCAAGTGCCGTAACAAACTTATGGCTGCTTATGAAAAAAAATATATAGATAATTGCAATTACTTAAGTTATTAAAATTGCCCCAAATTAAAAACTAACGCTCCTCTGAATTTATACTGATGATATCCAATCAAAACCACCATACGGCACTGTGAAGTCACAGTATGCAGTGGTGGTGGATACCCACCAGAATCCGAGTTTCTCACTTTCTCTTCTTTGAATATGGAAACAGGGTTTGTTGCACAGTTGGTCTGATTTCCCTCTTGTGTCCCCTCACCGTGTTGAAATACGGGATGTCGAAGCACATCAGGAACCATCATCAAAATAGGAAATATGAGTGTCAAAATTGTCACAAAATCCTGAAATCTGTTAACAGCTTGAAGAATCACATGATTGCGAAACATCCCTCAAATTCGGAGCCACCTCATAAATTTTGGTGCGAAAATGAGAAATGCGAGTTCCAGAGTTGGTGCAAGTATGAAGTGGCGAGACACTTCCAAAGGGTACACGGGCGTGTGAAGAGGAATGAATGTTATTTCTGTGGTAAGAAATTTTTCAGTTTCTCAGACTTGGTTAGTCACTCTCGTAGAATTCACACCTTGGAGAAGTAATTTGTGTCCAATTTATTCATTAGAAATTTCTAAAAAGTAGATCGAAATATTTGTAAAATAGTCGGAATAATTATGTAAATAATTGAATTGAGGTATTCAATATTTGGTTCGCGAAAACTGGTAAACTTGTGAACTACTTTTACAACCTAACAATAGGTGCTCTCAAAATGAATCAAGAAATTTTGTAATAATAATAAAAATAATAACTTTGCGAATGCATCTCTATTCCCAAGTGAATAGATAATTAAAGAGTGTAACTCGAGGTGAAAATAAAGGGTTGTAACTCATGGCTTGTAAATAATGAGGTGTAAATGACCGGCAACGTCTCACTAATTGCCCGAAACTCGCCATAAATCTCGTCACAGATTGACCAGGAGTGACTTTTACACGAAAATTCCTACACTTAATGTAATAAGGATATTCATATTCTGCACCTTTTGGTATAAATGAGAACCCTGGACTCTCCACCCACCTAAATAGTTCTCCATGTAAGTAAATTTATAAATTCTGATGAACTACTTTAAATACTTTCAATAAACGTAACCTAAATTATTAACAAATCGTTTTCAGACACATTTCAATAGCGGGGTGGTTAAATCCATAATTCCGAATTAATTATTTAACATAATTAATAGTGAACTTAATTTTATACGATTTTATTTAAGAAAAACATAATTAACAATACCCCAAAATTAAATATGTATGCATGACTTAAAAGTAAGCTTAGACATCCAGGCGGATTGCATGGAGGGCAATCGTACCCAATGGCAAAGTCACGTACTCGAGACGGAATTTCTCACCCCACACGTTCTCCAAAACTATTTCGGGAAAGTCATGAACAGACTCTTGTTTCTCTAATATAATCACATTTTTTAATCTCCTATCAGCAACCACATCCATAAGTAGTCGTCCTTTGGACGGCTCAGTACTCTCATCCCGCAAAACGGGCTTCCAGGAATCAAACGTACAATTTTCTGGTAATTCTTCCGTCCCTGCTCCCAAAATTAACCACCCAATCGGTCCAGCAGCAATCCCCGCGGTCAATGCAGCAGCTCCCGCACTTGATGATGAAGCCGCCGCTGCGGCACCAGCGCCCACCACAGCCCCGGTTGCACCTGCCGTGATGGTTCCACTAGCGACTGCGCCAGCGACTGCTCCGGTCACCATACCAGCCCCAGCTGATCCGGCCACCGTTGCCGCGGTAGCTGCTGCGGATGTCGCAGCGGTCGTTACTACCCCGGAAGCCACGCCCGCTACGGCTGGGGCCGCCGCGCCTGCGGTGACCACACATGCAACTACTCCCGCTGCAAGGGCGACCATGGTTCAATTCTAGATGTCATAAATTCAAGATAATAATTTAGACTTACAATGCGATGGTGTCAAGTGTAACTCTCCGATTTGGTTGAAATTTTGGAATTATGCAGTCCAAGTCAATGCAACCAACGTTCCTTGAGGCAGTTTGTGCGATGGTTAGAATTTGGCAAAATATTTGAGGTTAATGTTTAAAAATGGGCGATTTTTACCAAGCGAAGGAAGCAAACCCTACTCCCATGGGGAAAATCGTCCATTTTTCGACTTTGACCTAAAATATCTGGACAAATTTCCGCCATCGCACAAACTGCCTCAAGAAACCTTGGTTGTATTGACTTGGACTGCATGTTTTAATAATTACCAATCTATTAATTAATAATTATAGATAATTAATTATTAAAATTTTAAATAAATGAAATTAATCAAAATTCCAAAAATTTGATTGTTAGTTGTTCTCATTTTACTTTTATGCTTTAACCTACTACCGTATTTTGACCATTTGTGTACCCGGTCCAAATCACCATAAATATATTTAAATTGATTTCATGAAAACAAAAATCTTTTAATATTTCTGGGCAGTTTTGAATTGCAACATAATTATTACATGAGTAAACACCAGACCAAGCACCTACAATCAAAAAAACAATAAATATTTGAAAAAATAAATATTTCCTGAAGATTATATAATTAACTTAATTATATAAATTTAGCCCATAACAGTTCTCACATTGCCAAGAAATCCATACGATATTGTGAAAAACCCGAATCCTTTAAACCCGATTTGCGTATTTGTCACTTCCGCAATCAAAATTGAGACCTCTTCTCGATTCCCTGTCCCAATTTGTTTATAATTGTCGAAGATAAATTCGGAAAATTGCTGGAACTAAACAAACATGTCAATTTATCCAGGGCTTTCTAATTAATTAGTCAATCTAGCTAATTATCTAATTAAATCGCATGTTTAAACTAATTATCAATTGCTCATTAATGTCAACTTGTACTTCCAAAGCTAATTTTAATTACTAATTAATTAGAAAATCACTAAAAATCACCAATTAATTGGACAATGTTCAAATTAATTAACTAATTAATTGGCTTAATTAGCTAAAAAATTGTCTTAATTAGCTAATAAATTGGCTTAATTAGCAACCCGAGTTTAATCACTAATTACCAAATAATTAGACAAAATATTTTCCTTCCAATTATCAATTACCAATTAATTAGGAATGTGACTAATTTTAAAGCTCTGAATTTATCCACGTCTTAGAAAATTTAAATTTATATAAAAATCAAAACATATTTCACCTTGCGATGACCTTCCGCCGCCAAGAGGAGCGCAACACTGTAGAGCATGACAAAGTAAACCGTTTCAATTCTCTGGTTCCACGTCCCACTGAAGATTTCGATCATATGAACTCCATAATACGGGATGGCAGCCAAGATAAAAACCAGCATCAGATATCCAAACGTCCAATTGATTTCGTGCATTATGGATTTCACTTCGTTATAGCATTGGGTTAGCTGCACGACAAAAAATCATCAAATGTATGTACAGGGTGGTCGTAAATTTTGGTGCCACATGGAAACATGTTTTAATATGAAAATTTAAGAATTTCCGCCACCGGGAATTTTCAATTTCAGAAGTTTCCACATGTGGTGTGACCAATCTGTAAATTTACAACACACTTTTTGACGATTAAAAAGATTCCAAACCTTTTCCAAATTCATAGAATCCGAATCAAGTGTGATCCTGTCGTAGAAATCATATCCTATCCGATACACAATGAAACACATGATAAAAACCAAAACTTCCAACAGAATTGCTAACACATAATCGAAAACAATGAGACAAATGTGAACTATGGTTAAGGCGAGTTTCCACCCAATGTCAACATTTCTCATGTCCGGGGTCGTTCCATTATGCCTGAGAAACTCCGAGGTGTCCCAGAATTTTACGTGGTTGATAATTACTTGAATTCCTGATTCGGCTAGATTCTCCCAAGACGAGAAATCTAATCGGTCCCTTTGGTAGGAAAAGGTGTACATCAAAACAAGGCCGAATGGTATGGTCATGAGGGAATAAATCAGTTTGGATCTGTCATGCTGAAATTAGATTAGAAACAATATTAATCCTATATTTTTCCTCTCCACATTAGAATCAAGAATTGCTATGGATCGCACAGTAAATACGGAGTGTCCATAAAATCGTGGTACGAAAGTAATTATTTCTGTGGATGAATTCAATTCATAATTTATTAAATTTTGAATGTATCTTAATTATTAAGGAAGGACATTGTAACTGTTTAGGTGCTGGTGGGCCACTAATCTTTTTTAACTCTATTTGGGCTTAATTATTGTCTTCCTGGAACACCTACATATGTAATACTCGTGTAAGTCAAATGAAATGATAAATCCAATGGAGTGTTCCACAGTTTTTTAACCAATAATCTCAAAAGAAAATAGACAAATGGATTTAAATAATCAATAAATTTGACTATGATTTAAATATTTTGATTACCCTATGAGATATTGGATTAGGGTGGGAATTTTTGTCGACCCTATGTTAGTACCTAAATTTCCCAAATGGGTTATATTCAGAGGTTTGTATCGGTTTCGGAAGTATTAGCCTAATAAGCGTCAAAAATTAAGGTGTCCAAATTTTTTTGCGTTTGGCCTACAGGAATTTTCTTCAACTCTACTGTATTGATTTATTATTAGTCTATAATATCCTTCAAGAATAAAAAATAGAAACCCGTGGACCACCAGCACCCAAAAAGTTACTTTATCCTTTATGAAAGCCAAGAATTATATGCTTGGACAACCTCCTCGTGCCGTCTACTGTGCATTCGCACACAGTAGAACTTTTACAGAAATTGAGATTTCTGAGAAACTACGGCTCTGCCAGTCTCAAAGTACCCCGTCAACCTAATTTGAAGGAATTTGACACTGGCAGTGCGTAGTTTCTCAGAAATCTCAATTTCTGTAAAAGTTCTACAGTATGCGAACGGAGAGTACCTAAATGTACCACCACCCTGTACGTGTTGATCACCAAAGTTTGCAATTAATAAATACCTGGCCATTACTAGTTTGTCGAAATCCATGGACTTTTGTCAAAAATGATTTTAATCGTGACTGTCTCATACAACCGATTGAAAACGAGACGACCATAAAGAACCCCGTTAATCGTGCCAACAGATGGTAGAATTGGGATGGATCATATTGGATTTCTGTTCCTTGAAGGGCCCCCAAAATGTGGGGTAACGCATAGAAGAAATGGGTGATATGCAGAAGGAAAAATATTCGCTGAAAAATATTACATACATTAGATCCCAAAGTATTTAATAAATCCAGAAACTCAAACCTTTTGAAATTTTGATTCCTGGAATTGAATTACTTCACCTTTGCCATCAACCGATTTCTCGTAAACGATTTTAAATGGCATTATGCAAATATAGTAACAAATATTGTGAAATATTTTATAAACGTCGAGAACATTGGTTTCAAAAATTGTTGCTTGGGTAGGTTCCTTAAATTTGGAGAAGTCAAATGTAATCGGTTTTGAGGTAAAAACCTCGGAAAGGATGGGCTGCAAATGTTTTACATTGTTAGAATTAAATTTCGACATTTTTCACTAAATTCGACGTTTAAATTTATACGTTGTATATGTATGTATTGAGCCTGGATTGTAATGAACTACTACGTACAAAGTTATGGGAAATAAGAAATGAATTTTGTCCCGAATCCATTAGCAAATTAGGAGGAAACGAAATTGTGATTAATTACGGGCGTCGCCTTAATTTCTGTAATTTGTCTACTTTCATAATACATACATAAGTAATCTTACTCACTTATCTATTAGTACGTCAAAACTAATGTGTATTCAATATTGTGATAAATAAGTAGCTTCTAGTTTATTCAAGTGAAAGGATTGAAATTTGGAATTGAATCATGATTATCATATCTATATTATAAGCTGGAAATGTTTGTCTGCAACGGAAGTGAAAGTAATTTTCCGAAACGGAAGAATTAAATATAAATTAATTAAAAAAAAAATAAATGTCTGGTGGTAGTTATCTTGGGAGTGGTTATCCAATTTCCGTTGCGGACAGACATTTAAGGTTCTTATCGCCCGGCGGGAGACGGGCTTACACGCTAGTAAGTCAATAAAACGCTGAATGTTTGTAGAATACAGCTAGATTACACTGTAAAGCATCCGGTAGAGTCATACATGTACTCGGTAGTGGTATTGTTTCGGTAATAATTTGCCACCGGATTGGTTATAGTTTGATTCTGAGTAGGAACGATTTCATTACCGCCACATTACTGCGCCGTAACGATGAATATTATCGATGCCGGTAGAGTCACACATGTACTCCGTCCGGTAACGATTCGTAATGATTCAATACCAGTTGCCTAAGAATGTAAGTTAATAAGTTATAATGACATTATCCAGACTAAAATAGTAATTGGAATTTTTGAGAGTTGTTTTCTTTCCTATGAATTTCTAGGGCAATGTGAAAAATAGGCTTTTACCCGGGTTTGGTGTGTAGGTGTTCGAGTATTGTGGTATTCGTGTGTATTTGGTTATGACCAATACCCTGCCTAATCCAAATACCTCATTTTACGGCTTTCACCTAAGAAAAAATTTCTAAGTGCCCATGCTGAATTGGTATAACGATAAAATTATACAAACGTGCAATTAATAAAGTCAGTTCAGCAGAATAAATTCAAGGCTGTCGAAACAACTGCCCAATATGTTATCAAACGCACGATTACCTTACCCCTAAAATCATTTATCAGAAGTGATTGATATGAGGTGAAGCAACAATGTGGTGATAAGCCGCATACCATTGTGATCTGTCGATCTCTCTCCCAGTTAAGGTGGATTACATAAATTGCTTCCAACTCAGTCTGACTGAATAAACGCGAGTGCTCAGAGGCATATAATTCTTTCTGCGACTAACTCAAAATACAGGAGTAAAACGATCCAATTGACTGGTATATCCTGCTTTAAAATGTGTTCTGAATACCCTCCAATTAGAGTTCTCAATGGTCCGGATTGGTCCGGATCAGCCCTGATCCGAAACCGGACCGAAACCCGAAACCACTGATCCGAAACCGGACCGAAAAATTTTCCCTCGGCCCAGAACCGGACCGGGACCGGACCAGGACCGGACCGGGACCGGACCAGGACCGGACCAGGACCGGACCGGTCAATCCGGGCGGACCGAAAAACATATGATTATAGTATAAAGACCCATATATAGTATAGTATTTATACTTTATGTAATTTCTATAATAATTAAACATACATAATACATATAGTACATATGTACATATGTATAGGTAGTGCATTGAGATTTATATACATATTATGCATGCATATATATGTACATACATACCTAAATGCAGAGCTGGGAAAATCTAGATTAAAATAATCAAGATTAAGATTAAGAATAATTAATCTTAATCCATAATCTTAATCAAGAAATTTGTTCTTATCAATCAATAATTTAATCTTAATCTCACGTCAATTTAATTTAATTTTTAATTTTTAATCTTTGAATCTTCGACTTTAATTTTAATCAGGATTAATATTATGATTAAAATTACGCCATCTGTTACTCGAGTCCTTGTAAATTTCAACGCACAATCATCTCTCAACACTTGAACCATTTTTAAAAATCAAAACAATTCTAAATTGACAGGTTCTCTTTTGAAAGGAACGTTATTTAAAATTGTATTCCTTAAATATTTAAATTAAAAAATTTGTTGCCATTAAAAAAATTAATTGAATTTTAAAAAATTATTATTATTTTTTTAAAGTTATTATTTTTTGAAATTTAAAAGCGCATTGCATTTGAGGTGCGACTGATTTTTACTCGTATTACAAGTTATTGTATGCACCTTAATTTACCAGATAAAACTTTAATAATTTCAACAACAATTAAGTATGAAGCGCTGATACTTCATGCTTTTCTCAAATTTTAGAATTTATGATATAATATCGATGTAAACTATAAAAACCGGCGAAAAATAAAATTAGTCTTAATTAATATAATTAATCTAGATTAATTAATCTTTAATCTTCAATCTGCGTCATAAAAATAGATAGAATTTAATCTTAACAAATTTAATTTAGTATAATTTTAATCTTAATCTCTGATTCGGGGATTTTTAATCTCGAAACTCATTAATTTCCCAGCTCTGCCTAAATGTATTATGTAACTAAACATTGTATATGAATATATAACCAGAATGCCAAATGTTTCAGATTTAAATAGATACATGTATCAGATGAGGCTTCGTAAGTTCTATCGAGCAGTTTGGTTATACATATAATCTCAGGACCAATTTACATTTTCCTTCTCAACTATTAACAGGTCTTTTTTTAATTTTTGGAATGCATTAGCATGAGTAGAAATTACAAAAAAATCCTCCTAAAATCATGATTTTGGAAGGATTTTTTTACGCTCTTTGCAAGGAGCGTAAAAACTTTAAAACCTGAAAAAATAATTTTTAAATTAAAAATTTTTTTCTGACAGCACAAATGTGCTGTCAGAGAAGCAGTGAAAGCGTGGTATAAAGAAGTCGAGCATTACAATTACAATCATGGTGGGTTTAGCATGCATACTGGTCACTTTACCGCCATGGTTTGGAAAGCTCGACGGAGCTTGAAATTGGTGTATGCGTCCTTGGAGGGACAATCATTGTTGCCGGATGCTACAAAGTACACCCAAATATGCAAGGCCAATTTACACAGAACGTGCTTCGCTACAGGTTTATTTGGCAATACTTAGTTTTTAGGGTCATATTGTTTTATTATACGCGTATGTTAAGGCATGTAAGCGATGAGGCAGAGGAGCCCAAGCCGGTAGATACGCCAAAATCAGTTGAATCCTTACCAGCTAATGTCGGCGGTGCTAAATACAAATGGGCCGCAGCAAAAATGGTGGTTCCATGCCATCAAATATGGTATTGGCTGGACAAGATGGGAAGCACGACGGCTACGTAGCTCGGGCTAAACATATGAATGGCATTATACCGGGAAAGCTGATTGTTGGCTATGGTACCTTCGTTGCGTACGATGGCGCAGAGCATGGGAAAGGGAGCTATGAGGTATTTCGGAATTTCTTTACAATTATCTAATTCTGTTTAAATATAAGGTAAGCGCGTTTTCCTCCCATTCAAGGTCCTAACTGGAGAGAAAAATTGCTTTGCTTGGGTTAATTCACAGGCAACTGCAATTCCAAAGAATGCTATTGTTGGAGGTTGGCAAAGTTATAGTGTACTATTTTACTTGAGGATTTATTTTGGTATACTTCATATTACCATGGTTACAGGTAAGGACCCCAATGGCTCTGTTTATCACGTTGGCAAGGGAATTGTCAATGATGCAACTGCGGTTGGAAAGATTCTTGGTGGAAAATTATATGTATCTGACGGTATGTAATCAAACCTTGTTGATTCCTGAATTCATTACAAAATCCCCGGTTTATCATTTAGGTGGTAAGGAATACTGCCAAGACCAAGGCTTCCAGATTCTGGTGACTACAAGTGATACGTCGACTGTCGATGAAAAATGTGAGGTAGATGAAATAAAAGACGATGGGGGTGTATCCGATGAAAATCCTGTGGTGTTGGATACTACTTCACCAGAGATGAAACTGGCTTTCGATCAAGTGTGCCATGCAAATGGTACAATCGGTTGGTACGAGCTTAAGGACCTGATTATCGGTTGTATCAATCTTGGTGAAAACTCGGTGGCTTGGGACAAAGTCATTTGTAGGATGCTGGTAAATAAATAAAGATTGATTATCTCAGATGCCTCCACACTGTTAAAAATATTGAGACTGGATTATTACCAGGCGGTGTAACTATGTGACTCTACCGCTCTGGTAATGTTGTATTACTGGACGGTAAGAAATCAGTAATTACCAAGACGGGATTAACACACATTACTGCCTAGTACGGAATGAAACACGGCTCAGTAATAACCAGGTACTTATCGCGGTATTGAGTAGCAACCAACGGGCAGCATGATCACTACTCCCCAGTGTCAACATTTAATACGGTTGGTGAATTAAATGCATACTATGGTATTGATTCATTACGTACTGGGCTAAATAGTCGAGTGAAGGAGGTAATGATTTTCTAGTTTATTAAAAAGGTTTCAATACTATGCAGTAATAAGTGCTCCATGCAAATAGTAATAAAAATATGTAGTACACAATGCAGCTTAGTATATGTATTAAACATATATTTTTATTTATAATTATTCAAATCAACTATTTACAAACATTTTTTGTAATACACATATAGTTACAAGACAACATTTTATGAAACATTTACAAATAATGTCTAAGAACTAAGTGCAAGGAATCTTGTTTACAATTTTTCTGCAATTCAACACAATCATGAATTACTAAGCTACTTATATCGACCAACTCATACAAATTATCCGACTGGGTTACAATAAATGAATAAAAATGTCGATCAAAGTACGTCACATTTAGCTGCTTCACTAACAACAGGCAACGAGTTTCGTCTACTAAAATAAATTCACAAATAATTCCAAATTTCGGAAAAACCTCACCTAAATCATAGCAAACCACATAATCCAATCTATAATCATACCCGCGATACCGTACTTGATTAGCTGTCAAGACCTCTGTGTCCCCGTCGCACGATTCAAATAAATCAAGAGATCTCAATTTTTCTATTAGATCAAAAGATTCAAAGAATTGACTTAATTTGGCTGATATTATATGCTCTGCTCTGATTCCCTCATTAATGTCAAACGATTTGAAAGCGTGCGAACTGTACTGCTGATGCCTCATTGTCAAAGAATAACAAATGTTACGAAAATTTTTAATTTGACCAGCCAACTGAGAAAAATAATAATGCTTTCCTTCATACCGCATAGCCCAGAGGGAAACTAATGGACCACTTTGCCTAATTACATAGGAATAGTGACACATAAAATGGTGCTTTGGGATCAACTTCTCATTTGGAAATAATTTACGAAACAATTTGTGGTGATGGATAATGGTCTTATCCATCATGTGCAAAATTGCGTCGGTGAACTTTCTGCAAAATGCGTAGCTCATTATGTCCAAAAGGAGTAGCAAAAGTTCCCAATACATTTTATGTTCGTCAAGAATAAGATCACCAATTATGACCGGGAGAAATCTAATAAGGCACCAGCATTGTGCTGCTTTCTGGCCTATTTTGTTGCCTACACCGTCCAATCTAATAGGACTGGGACGATTTTTTGATTCTAAGTACCCAAAATCATGAGCCAAAAGCCTCTGATTAATTGTTTGTAAATTTAAACATCCCAAGTTTATCAGCTTTTGTAAAACTAATTTAATTTCATATGGAACCACACCTTCCAATAAATCATGCATAATGTCGACGGAAGGACTATCCAAGAAATTAAAATATTGAAGTTCATTTAAGACACATTCTGATTGAACTCCTAATGACTTCTCATTAACATGCTGAGAATGTGAGGTCTTATTCCTAATAATCATCAAATTGTGATCAAATAATTCTTGGGCTTCAAATTTAGAAGTGCAGCAAATTCTGCAGTAATAGTGGGCATTGAAGGATTCCGTAAAACCTAACAAGCTATTTCCACCTAAATTGTCAAACGACAAGGAACATAGCGTCCCGAAAATTGTATCTAATTTATTAATTTTAATTCCTGTGGTTTCAAGTTTCAATAGGTCAGGAAGAATTAAGCGTAAAATTGAGTTGATGCCATATTTTTTGGCATCCTCACTGTAAAAAAGTGCCAACAAATGTATTTCACTTAACCGAGAATTGACAAAATCGGGAAAATTTTTAACGGTAAAATAAAATGCACCCAATTTGTGCACGCCCCGCTTGGATCCTAAAGGGTTGACAGTTTCAAAATCGTCGTAGAATAATTGTATTTGTAAAGACTTAGTGTGTTTTTGAAATAATGAATTATTTTTAAAAGAAATGGTGTCAGCAAATGTTGTAATACAATTTGAATTTTCACCATTCGAAAAGTATTTAAAGTGCGCGGGACAAGAAATAATTTTCTCTAGTGTTTTAATGATCGGGACATACATAAACGTATCCGATACGATAACTTGTTGACGTTTGTTATATCTCACTCGTAATTCTGTCCTGCTTCCTAAAGATAACTCTTTTGGTAAAATCAAATTGTCGTTTTTCTCGAAAATTTTTTGTCTTAGATACATTGTCCGGACATGACTAAATGCTCCCAGTAGCGACATTACCTGACAACTAAACTCTTCATAATTTTCATTGCAAAAAGGTTTTCCTAAATTGCATATTATTTTTGAAAACTGAGCAAACGAATTTTCAAGGTCTTTAACCACTACATCAACTGTTGAGTTTGTGACTCCTGTGGCTAATAAAGAAGAACAGAAAGAAGATAAAATATTTTTCATAATATCTATACAAGAATTTACAGAGGTGCGGCATGAATTAATATCCTCCCCGAAGCCATCATCTTGCAACTCATTAATAGTATTGTCCGGGGGGACAAATGCGTTTGCATCATTAATATTTACATCACAAAGTTTGGAGGATATTAATTCATGTGACCTGATATGCCTTAAAAATCCACTCCAAGAATGTAGCTGGGCTACACAAGTGTGGTATGGGCATATCGATATTGGAAAATGTGCGTTTCCGAAATTGTGGATATACTTTAAATGAGCTTGAATTTCACTAGCTTTACAAAATCTTCGGTGGCACTCTTCACACTTAAACATTTTGAGAACTGGGCGCCGTATTTCCAAGTTGAAGATAAGTTGAAATTTGCTGGAAAACTTGTTTCACTTTTCTAGGGAGCGAGGACTCGACTTCATGTTGATAAATATGGACTTGGATAAATTTCCATAACCCGGAGAGATTACCGTCGTATTCAGTCCCAATCACATAGTGCGCTTTGAAAAGGGAGTCGATTGCTTCCGTTGATGTTTTGGCATTCAGGGGAATAATAATTCGGTCGCAGAGTATGAAGAATGACGTCAGACTTGCACGCGTGTCCCCCAGCACGATTAGTGCGGGTTGAGAAATTTCTTCGTTCCACGTATCTAGAACTGATTGAAGTGGAGTTCCCGCCTAAATTTTTGGAAATTTTTAGAAATATAGTACTTGAGATACAAAATATGTTGATAAATATATATCAAAAATCGAAGAAACCTTGTAGTACGTGACAAGTCTGTTTTTCGCATCCTCAATTTTGCAGCGACCACCCTTGCCTTTTCCTTGGGCTGATGGAGGGATTAGATGAAGAAGAACAAAAAGAGCTGCGATAGATTGATCCCACTTATCTGGAAATAAAGTAAAAATTTATGAATTACCCAAACCAGACTTTTTGCAGCTCAATATTGAAGTAATATATAACAACCTAAATCGTTGCCAATAAACTTTAAAAGTGATGGGGATTTGGTTATGTTCTTGCAGTTGTCTATGAGATTTTTTGAAAAATCAGGCCAAATATTCAAAAAACGCTGATCAATATCTGGGAACATGAAGGAGAATTCCAGATTTACCTAAAACAATCCGAGCAAAATAAAGTTAAACTAACAATTTCGATATAATGTATTTTCTATAATTTCTGGGAAAGTTATTTTACACATACCAAATAACCCAATTCTGCGAATTTCGGATAAATTTTCAAAATTGATTGCCCGGTTGATCCTCTTATTTGGTTTCTGTGTTCTATGGTTTCTTTCATAAGACGCGAAATTTCACTTTCGCTCGTGCTGGAATTTAATTCTGCGATTAACTCGTTATTAGGAATTGTAGCGCTGCTAACTTTAGGGTGTTTTGGCCGTGGACCTCCGTCGTAGTAAGTTTTCCGCGGAGCCCTCCCTGGTTGGTCTGACTTGAGATTCCGATGGATCCATCTCAGCCGCATTTGGATAAGGCCACACCTGCCAACTTCATCGTATAAAATATCCTACCAAAAAACAGAATACAATTCGTTATGCAAATATGCTAGAATATAAAACACAAGTTTCATTTTTCAAGACTTACAATCCCGTCAGCGGTCTCTGGGTACCTCCAGCACGGCAAAATTTTAATAATTGCTTTTGCGAGTAATCTTTGGTCTCTTGTACTTGGTGAATCTCTAGGGAAATAAAATTATTGCTAAGCATCTAATCTTTTCAATTTTCCTTAAAACAACGTTTTACCCCTTTAACTCCACCAATTTCGCCACGAAATCGTTTATAAGTAGAGTTGCGGCAGCATTGTCGACCAGAGATTTTTCGTTGCAGTCAGAGATTAGATTGGTAAGCTTTGGATTGCTGTCTATGTAGGATTCCAGGATCTGTAAAATATTAAATTTTCAAATTAAAACTGAAATGTCTTTGTGAAGATACTTATTGGTGTGTTTAACCTGCTTAAAGGACTCAACGTCATTCAATAAGCTTGGCAACGACGATGCTGGCGATGCTGGCTGTGGTGAGCATACAGGACTAGGAACTGAACGAAATAAATAACAAATTTACTTGCAATTTTTAATTCCTTCTAGATAGTGTTTGTAGAAAAATCGCTGTTGCGTCATCCGTTGGTCCTTCGTCCTTGACGTTGAAAACAATGTTTGGAGTTCCTCCTTGCTCCCACAAAGTCGGGAATACTTCGTCGTCCACCTCCGCACCGTGATCGTCCTCCAAAGATATTACCACGTCGGGTTCCAAATTAAATTTTACTTTGACTAGTAGGAAATACAAATTTAATTATTTTCTTATATAATGAACTGAATGCATGAAATTTAATTTATTACTCACCTTTGTTTAGAAAATCATCGTAGTCACCAGGTGAAAGAATTAATTTTTTACCCCTGAAAGTGTTTGAGACTCTAATTAATTTTTCCATTTCTACTAGAAAATCGAACAAGTTAAGAGTATGATGTGCGTTGCTCCAATAAATTGACACCGTTTTATAATTATTCAACACCGAGGGGTGAAATCACAACACCAAATTCATTTAATTATGAATACTGGCGACAGGAAAGGAATCATTACGAAGTAGTACTGATCGTGTATACAATCCCGGGTTGAGTTTTTACCGCTCATTTGTGAAATATTACTGAGTTCGCTTAAAGTGAGATTACCAAATTATGACGATGCATAAACTCTTATGATATTGATTTTCGGTAACAATATTTATTACCACATTATTTTTTGTACTATTACCAACTGGCCGGTAATAATTCATTTTCTCAAATTCATTACCACATTTCGGAGAGTGCACGATAAGTGCAGCCGAACTATTGCACTAATAAGTTACAATAAAAATTAGCCTTTTAATTCTCCGGGGCCGTTCCAAACAACAGTATCATTTATTCATTGGTTGTAGATTAAAGCTGTTGCATGTTCCGACACTGAAAGGATTGGATTTCTTGGCTACGAAAATGCCGTTAACGACTCAAACGATCCATGGAGAATTTTATTGATGTTGATAAGGACAGAAGCGGAAATTTGGACCCCTTCGAAGTGAAAAATGCTTTTTCCAGAGACCGTGATATTTCATACGACGACGTCATGGGGTTGATGGACGCTGTAGGGCAGGGAAGTGGGAAAATGTCTTTGTACGGCTTTCTTATGGCAGACCTTCTCCTCATCATTTTGTCCACTTCGGAAGTCGGCATTGATGAAGATGATAATCCAGCCGTTCTGGAGTGGATGAACAAGCAAGTAGATTTTATAAAGAGTGGCAAACCATTGAAAGATATGTAAAAGTAGAAATAATTGAGTAAATTAATAAATTCTGCTTGCAAGAGTTTAGCCTATTCACAATGAGGGGTATGTACTAAACATAATTATACCATCTGATCTTTCCAATCGGATTGTAAATTTTGACATACGGTTTTTACTTTGTGAAATAAAGTTTTATTGACATAAGCGAATAAATGGTTGGCCACCCAGATGTACCGTGCCTATGGAGAGAAATTTCAAAATGTAGTTATTCAAAACTACATTCTGACAAATTTTCAGAAATGTAGCTAATTAAATAGCTCTGGTGCATAGCAACATTTTGTTAGTCACATGGGAAACGAACTAAATTACTATGTTCGAGCAAAATTAAGAACACACAAAAATGTATATCGCACTTTTTCAAGCCACCAAGGAAGTTAATTTTTAATGCCCTATTGAAGCCGAAGGTCTGTATTACGCTTAATTAATTAACAATGCTACATAAATCTGGATATTTGCATACATACATACATCTGTACAGTAGCAAATATCAGCTTTTGCTGCCTATAGTTTTCCAGACTTATTCACTCATGAACAAAATATTTGCAAAATTCTACAATTGAATAAATTTCCAACTGGTGTATATTATGGCGTCTAAGAAATCTTGTCTGGTCCTGTTTGTCGCAATCGTTGCATTAACTTTACTCCTTGAAGAAGCTCAAACAGCTCAAACAATTTGCTCCTGTCCCGAACAACTGAAGAAGAAAGGGGGCCACTTCTGCGGTTTCGAAATCGATAAGGCCAAATGCCACGTTGCTCAAAGCTACTTGTGCAGCAAGGATTCCTCCAGGGCCACCCGAGCACCGAAAAATGACGCACAGTGTGTAGAAAAGTGGGAAAAAGTCAGCCAGTCTTGTGATGGAAAGTAAGATATTTAGATTTCTGTCCAGTCTTATGATTTGAATGCACAATTTTATATTTTTCTTCTTTTCAGGCCTCCCTGCATTCACACGATTACAAACACTTTAAACACGCAAGTAGAGATTCCACCAGACTTTTCGGACTGACTCGACAACTAAGAAGTTTCTGGAGGAAATACTCACTGTTAAATTTTTGCAATAAATAGTTTATCGGTAAATTGAAGGTTTATGTACACAGGAACCTATATAAATATTGATAATAGTTCATCACCCTTATTGAACAAGAACATATATATTTTTACGGTAAATACAGAGAAGTCACTTTTATTAAAAATTTAGCAATGACAAAATCCAAGGGAAAAGTAAACCCTACAAAAATCGCAGAATTCAGCCACGGCATAGCAGATTTCCACCTTCGTCGCCACTTCACGGCGTACATGCTCTTCATCCACCTCCCGACCATCATATTCGTGATGTCGAGTAGAATTTTTTCCTGGGTCGGGCCATCGATAAGTACGAGAGTCACCCTTACATTGATGAAAATTCAAAGTGTAAATCAAAATTAGCCACTCAAACTTTCGTATACGAGGGGTCCGGCGTAAGTCTTTGTGTTGCCCATGATCCCACAATAAAATTTGGATATTGGTACTCACCTTATCATTCTTCAAATTAGTAGAATTCCTGTACTCCCTTACGAGGTCAACACACTTGGCCCGATTGAATTAAAAATCTCTGCCCTGGTTTTATGAATGGTTTTAGACAAAAAGTCAAAACTGTTGCTTTTACCTCAGAAATGGTCGAAATCTCCTCCCCCTGAGCTTTTTCAAAATGTCGAAACAGGCAGTAGTCACTAAGGTCTAGGGCTCATTGTGATCATACTTGTTATTTATTTGTTACTACAAGAATTCACATTAGAAAGTCAAACCTTCTACATTAAAAGATTTGCACATGCCTGAACAAATTTGTTGCAGTTTCCTGATAAAAATAAATTACACCAAATGCACATTTGTGCTGAACCAGATTTAATTGATTTCTTATTTTCATTATTAAGTAGCGTCAGCTACTTATTGTGATCGTTTTGTCCGTCCGTCTGTCCGTCTGTCCGTCCGTCCGTCCGTCTGTCCGTCCGTAAGCAGGATATCTCCAGAACGAGTCAACATAATCAAACCCCGTTTTCGCCATTGTGCTTCTAATTTTTAGTTCTCGGTCGAGTTCGAAAATGGGATCAATCGGACCACACCCTACAGCTCCAGGGGGTGTGGTCAATATTAAATTTGACTCTAATTTTTATATAGGGTATCATTTTAAAGTAAATTTGACGGAGATTTCAAAGATGTTAATATTTTTGACCTCATGACCTTGACGACAAGGTCAAAGGAAAAAAATGCATAATTGTCATATGGGGTGTCATTTTAAAGGAAATTTTACGGCGATTTCATGGACGTTAATATTTTTGACCTCATGACCCTGAGATCGAGGTCAAGGGTTAAAGATGCATAATTGTCATGAGATATGGGATGTTTTTACAGGAAACTTGGATCGCTCTGACGCTACTTTTTTATATTCGTTTGGAGGGTTTATTTTACAAATAACAAATGATTTAATTCTACAAAATTGTACATATACCAAAAATTTGCGCCACACTTGCAAAAATTTAGTACTTGGTATCCGGTCGCTTCTCCATCCATTCCTTAATCCCTGGAGTGTTCATGACATTCTCAAACATAGACTTGAGGGCGGGATATTCATCGATAAATCGTATGCCATGATTTAGTTCTCCACTGTTGAGCACATGTGCCAGATAAATGTCTGCCCAGCTCAACGTATTTCCCACGAGGAAACGGCCCCCGTTGTCCTTCACGATTTGCTCAAACTTGTCCATATACTGCTCCTTGGATTTAACCTTCTGCTCCTGTTCCAGCCCCTTCCGTTTGACGTCGTCCTGCTCCATCAGGATGGGAACCCAAGCTGTGCAATCAACGAATTTGTCAGTTTTAGCCATTAATACACTCTTAATAATTTGCTAGAATAATGGGGTAGAAATTTCACGGTGCTCATTTTGCTACCAGTTACCATGTACATAAGTATTCACAAGGATTTTGTCACCAAAGATTAAAAACCAGTTCGTACAAATTCAAATCTATTACTATCCAGGAAATAATATCTGTGCGAAATTTTATTATCACAGAAGTTATTGTAACTCTTTGGTGATAAAATCGTGACCATTGAGGAAGAGACATTTAGTGTCACAGAATCACTTTAAGTGCACATTCTATAGTCCTTGCATCGGGTGACGAAATGCGAATCGTGCTAAATTTCGAAAATTCTTCCATTTAAATTATCTACTTATGTAAGTACATACATTTGTCTGCAAGCTTTGCCAATAGTTAGCCTGTTCTACTTTCGCAGATTACTTACATAAAAACGTTAATGAAAAGCGGTTACATTTTGACAACTGAAATAAAGTGATTCCGGTTCTAAAGATTTTGTATTTCGAAACCCTGTCACCTAACTTATCCGTTTCGCAAATATGTACATAAGTTCGCAAAATTAAGGCAATTTCTTTAATACATAAATATCAATTATATGGTTGTAATATTTTACATTTTGGTTGGGCAAAAAAATCGATTGGTTGCAAATTTTAATGTTGCGAAAATTATTGCTTTTGGTTTAAAGAAAACAAATTTTGGTTGGGCAGTTGTACTGGCACCCGGTTCGCAAATATGTAAGTTCACAAAATTGTGCGTACATATTTAAATACGATGCTACATAAAATTTGATCAAAAATTTGTTAATTTAACAAATATTTCATACGCTTCACATAGTCCACCACGGTGTCAACATATTCGTCACATTGTGCCGCCTCAAAGTCGTTGGAGCCGACAAGGTCAAACTTTTTGGCAAAGTAGCGAGTAATTGCAAGCGACTGGTTTAGTTTTTTCCCTTCGAACTCCATCAGTGGAATTGTTCCCCATGTCGCTCCTGTTCGGATAAAAGGAAACAAAAGCATTTAAATAAGCGGTTGCACACTGCATACAAATGTTTTTTTTTAAGATTTTTAATATTTCGGTAATCTGGTAATAAATCATTACCCATCTGCACAAGTACATATACAAATATCGGTGATCCAACAAATATATAGAAGACATTTATGTAACGACAGTTACGTAACGACATTTATGCAACCCGACAATTATGTAACCCGACGAATATGTAAGCGACCAATATGCAGACGACAAATATGCAACAAATAGGATTTCGTCTATATACATATTTCGTCTAAATATCTAATAGAAGTCATACCATGTCGTATGTATCAGCCTGGTAATAAAGTCGAAGCAAATTTATTAACCAGAAATCACTATCTTTGTGAGATACACAAATTATTAAAAAGCACATATATCCCTGACGAAATCCTGTTCCGGTAGTAAAAATGTTACCGGTATTATTATTTCTAAAGTAAACTGATAATACTGATTGTTCCTTACTTTCCTTTATTTCCGTGGGCAACTTGGGTGGGAGTGGGAACATGGGGGCACGAATGTCCTCAAACTGGACGCCACCGTACGAGAGAATCATCCTAATCGGCTCGGCACCACCCCGAATATCGTAATAATACAGTTTGTAAGCCATTTCAGAAAATGTGAATCAAAGGTGGACGATTAATAAATACTGAGAATGAAATACTGGACAGCTGCTTTTATACCCATCCTCCTGGCCATTATTACGTACATATTATCGAACCGTGTTTGCATAGTGCGATTAAGGGAATGCAATACCTCTTATGCAAAAACATAGTAAGCTTTTCTGATAAAAAAAACTCCACAAAAAATTGAGCACACACTTTGCGCAACCCTCGCTACAGAGGAGATTGTGTGGAAGCGAGGTTGGATGTACACGTGTGATGACCATGAACGTGACACAACATGAAAATATTCGTTCCCGTTTCATGGACAGGTTCAGACTTGGGATAAACTGTTTGTGCAATCTTTGCTTTCACATATGGAAATATGTACACTCTTAGGCAACTTGTATTGAATAATTACGTATCATTACCGGACGGAGTACATACGAGTATTTGACTCTACCGGTGTCGGTAATATCGCTCGCTACGGATTAGTAATGTCGTGCTAATGAAATCTTTACCACTCCGAATCAAACTATGTATTACCAATCCAGTGGGAAATGATTACCAAATAAATACCAGTACGGGGTACATATGTTATGTCACCCTACCGGATGTATTAAAGTGTACGTACTGATAAGTGCTTTATTTCCTCAACAAAGTTGTATATACAGTATAGGCAGAAATTCATTATACCCTCATACTTTTTGTACATAAGGCCTCATATTGTTCGAGAAGCTTGAGAGGATGAACTGCAATTTTGCACAATTACTTACTATGATGAAAGGTTTCCAGAACCATACTTTGGATAACGGCGTGGCACAAGCAACGACACGGTGAAATTATATCCAAAATTCCGACAGGAAAAAAGTCTTTATACCCCAATTAAAGTTTAATAAAAAATGTGTTCATAATTTTTTTGTGTTGAATAACAGTCAAATTAGCACCTGGGATGTGCTCCCCCATCGTTTAGGAAGGCAAAGACACATCTTGGCATCGAGCCAAAAAATAAGCTAGTTACAGAAGTGTCCTAATTCTCCTATTCAAGCCTTATGGCTAGGGCCAGTCCTTTAAGGTTGAATAGCGTGTGCTGAGAAATTTTGGGTTTCACTGTTGACCATAAATGTCTTTTAGCATGCTGTCCGATGATTATGGAAGGCAATTCAACAATTTACCTCCTTTGTTGTAAACCAAATCTTCAATAACTTTGATGTGTGCTTAGAATTGCCTTACTATATGAAAATATTATGATTCCCAAACGGTTATTTCCTCCCGTTGCCATCAAATTCCAACTCAGAACGTCGCAGTAGTAGTTGGAGTACATTATTACTTCGATTGTACTAAAGTTTCGGACGCCCTTCCACAACGTAACGCCCAAACAATTCTATTTCTACCCCATTCTTCATGGTTAGCGTACTGTAGTTGATTTTGTCAGCGTCTCTTTGCTGAATCCATATTCCACTGGTCCTAATTTGAACCAAACAGGTTGATGTTGACGTCGGCGAACAATATCAGGAGTTTCTAACGTTTAGCCGTCCAATTATCATGATTTTTAGCCCATTTAGAGCTGTCTGCAATATAGGCCTAGCGGATAAATGTAATTCTCCATGTTGCTCGCTATGCAAATCCATCTTAAGCGATCCTACCCTTTGTAATTCGCACAGAAACTCGAAGATTATATTCTTCCCTCGTTTGTAAGTTGATTTTTGGTGGAGATAACCGTGAAATCTTTGGCTTTTGGAGAACTTGCCGTGATACGTCCATGGGGGCGTGATCCATGTACATGATAAAGTTGTTAAATTCCATTCGATCCCAAACTTTTTGCAGTTCTGGACTATTCTGGCAACTCTACCATTCTTAATGGGTAGCTAGCCGGCAATTCTTTGGTGTCGAAGCCTTTCATCATCAAAATTTACGACAATTTGTCTTAGGCCGGGGTTAAGGTGTTTTTGAGTGATTATGAGCTAATTTTAGTAACGGACAACTAGTTCAGCATGAGACAAATGTTATTTTTCAATTAATAATGAATCATTTAGTGCGTGAAGGGCGATTTAAGATTTTATTTTCAAAAATTACATTAAACGAACCAAAAAGTCAAAGGGTATAAAGACTTTTTTCCTGTCGGAATTTTGGATATAATTTCACCGTGTCGTTGCTTGTGCCACGCCGTTATCCAAAGTATGGTTCCGGAAACCTTGCATCATAGTAAGTAATTGTGCAAAATTGCAGTTCATCCTCTCAAGCTTCTCGAAAAATATGAGGCCTTATGTACAAAAAGTATGAGGGTATAATGACTTTCTGCCTATACTGTAGAGTAGCAATAATGAAAACCGGAATCTCGAGTGCCACAAAAAAATTTGATTTTGTTAATATTTGCATAGTTGGTAGAGGTGATTTTTATGAGTACAACGGTACAAATACTTTGGTTCAACTCCGCCCCCTTCCCCAGGGGGAGGGGCCGAAAGTCTCAAAAATTGTAAACGGGGCAGCGGATTTCTCCATTATGGATAAAGATATCGAAATGCTACTTTCACCAAAAGTTTCCTAATTTTTTTCTCTACAACCCGAATCGAGCGTTTTTTGAAATTTGAAAAACAAAATTTTCAAAAAACAACTTAGAAAATTTTGGATGAAAAGTTCATGTCTCATATCACCCCATAAATGGGGTATCGTTGGAAAGGTCTCGGCAAGTGGATTCAGAAAATATATACTTTGTGGGGTCTGGGACCACCCCCTGCAAACATAGGGCCAGACGAATATTTTTGAGTTTTTCCCATTCGAGCTTCCGTATTAGCTCCCAATCCACTGATGTGTTAAATTCTGGATCGGCAGATTTTCGTTCTTTGCCCTCTAGACTTGCAGGGGTGGTCCCAGACCCCACAAAGTATATATTTTCTGAATCCACTTGCCGAGACCTTTCCAACGATACCCCATTTATGGGGTGATATGAGACTTCATCCAAAGTTTTTTGAAAATTTTATTTTTCAAATTTCAAAAAACGCTCGATTCGGGTTGTAGAGAAAAAAATTAGGAAACTTTTGGTGAAAGTAGCATTTCGATATCTTTATCCATAATGGAGAAATCCGCTGCCCCGTTTACAATTTTTGCGAATTTGGGCCCCTCCCCCCGGGGGAAGGGGCGGAGTTGAACCAAAGTATTGGTACCGCTGTACTCACAAAAATCACCTCTACCAACTACGCAAATATTAACAAAATCAAATTTTTTTATGGCCCTCGAGATTCCGGTTTTCATTATTGCTACTCATATTAAACTTTTATTAAAGTTGTAGATTAAAATATCGCGACATCTAATCAGGATTTTTTTTTAAGAAATAGATTATACATAACTCTTATTCGAGAAGAAAATCTAACCTCACCTAAACATTAAAATTGTATTGCAGTTGTAGATATCGCGACATTTAATTAGTTTTTTTAAGAAATGTGTAAGTTATATCTCTTACTCGAGAAGAAAATCTATGTAATGGTTTACATAATTAAGTACTGTTAATAATTTATTGCTGCTTATAATATTTAATTATATGTAATCACTAGAATTGGAACTAACTAATTCAATCAATAACATATTATTATGTAGCTTAAAATATATAAGAATTAACTACGAAATGATTTTATTGGTTTAAACCATAACCGGATACATTTACAGTTTCAAAATCAATGATGTATTTATTTGTGAAATTGTGACATGAAGAAATTAATTTTGGACTAAATTTTGAATTTCTCATTACTCTGCATAATTTATGTGCCACTCACATTGCGGTGATGCCAGCGGTTTCGCTACTATGTTGAAGAAACCGCGATAATTGTGTAACCTTAGATAAATAATTAAACACGCGTTTCGGGATTTTTAATAGTGCTCAGTTTAAACGAAATTATGATCCTGAAACACGTGTTTAATTATTTATCTAAGGTTACACAATTATCGCGGTTTCTTCAACATCGTAGCGAAACCGCTGGCATCATTGCATTGTTAGTATGTCCCCCGTTGGATTCCGGTAAAAATGTACTTAGATACTTACATATTTAGGCTTAGAAGTTCTATTTCTAAAATTATTTTTGTAGTAGGTCAACCCATTGGCGTACTCTTCGTCATAATTTCCTCCACAAAGATGACTCACGTAGCCGTGCTCATTTGTCTCACTGACGCAAGTAAGTCCTCTACAACAATCAGCATCTACCTTGCATCTCCACGTTGTTCGTACACAAGTACCTCTTCCAATACAAAGAAAATCCACCCGGGCTTTCGAGTCAGTAGAGTAGAGGCAAAATCCAGATTTATACTCAAAGCCAAGGAAACTCCCGACGGCACAGTGCTTGTAGAGTTTTGGTTGTCCTGACTTTTGTGGGGGATCTTGGCATTGTTCAGCAGTGGCACAAAAATCGCCCTCCTGTCCCTCTTGTGGCCCCTGGAAGCATTGGATATTATTATTTAAGTATTTGTGGTTGAGAATATACAGGGTGGTTTAAATGTCAGAAATGTCTCCATTAGTTACGGAAATTTTGCCTCTGAAATTTAATATAAGGTTTAAGAATCTTGTCATCCGTGTTTTGATAAAAATCAATAAAAATCTCAATCCCAAATCGGTGACTAATGGAGATTTACGAATTTTTCCCATTGACAAATTTTCCATTCTAACCTGACATTTAAACCACCCTGTATGTTTGGCTAAAAATTAATTAAGCTTACGGAAATAACGCAAAACCTTGTGGTGAGCAAGATGAACACAAAAAGTATCATTGTACCCCGCATGAGAGGGGACGTCCGACCGGGAATGGTTTTGAAGTACTTATTTAGAAGCATTTTAATCTAGAGGAGGTAAAAGAATGTTGAAATTATTTAGCATAACTTAACATTATGGAGGTGGGGATAATTTATTTCGAAAATTTAGACCTGTCCACAAATTACTCTTGTTGTCTCAGTCCTGGGAAATTCTGAGTTGGTCGATGTATTTTTCAGGACGTGTTTTATTACACATTGTTTTCGATTTATTTAAATGGGGAATAGGAAATATTTAAGTAATTTAAGTGTCGTGTTTTTTAAAATAACAATGGGGTGGATTTAATTTATAAAAAGTTCGGGAAGAGGACGTGACTTCTTTAATTCGATGCATCATGTCCTGTTAATATGGGGTATTCAATGTCTTCGAAATTATACATATGCACCTACGAAAAGCACATACTTGAATTTTAATATTTTATCTTGAATTTTGACTTTATTTATGCTTGTGTACCTAGTCGGGTACGAAATTCTTTGATAAACGTTTTTTGCTGCAGAAAAATAACGGGTAAGAATTTTTAATTAAAATTTTCCACACGGATGCATAATATACCTGTGTATAATATAAAAATACTAAATATCCAAATTTCCTCTTCTGGAGCACACACACTTACAAAATCTGATGATAAACTGATCGCTTGGATTACGCACACTTTCCTGTGGAAACTTATCCCAAGCTTTGCGTAAATTTAACAAGGAAAATTGCAGAATTTGCACTAAGCAAAAATCATACATACCCCTGGCAAATAGAAAACGTCGAAGATCTCATCCTCCTAAGTCTTTGATGGTTTGGATTTGAATTAATCTCCTGGAAAAAGCGAAACCCTGTTTTTCTCTAGAAAGGGTTACAGCGCAAGCCAAGAATTACATTACCAAAGTTGCAAAACATAGTGTAAAACCTTTGAAGTCCGGCCTATTGAAAAATAGAAACTGAATGTCTTAAAAGGTAACGGCTCAGCCATATTGTGCAAAAATTGTCCAAAATTGACTATGATCTCATTTCATCGATTTTATTTGGTCACAAAAATTCCATTGGTAATAGTAGACCTTAATCATCTGGATTATGACTTGGGGCTTAAAATTGAGACCATGGTCTGCTCTAAAACTTCCACTGGTGCAGAAGTTCTCGAATTTTGTTTCTCAACGCTTGTGACCATTTTCCGGTAAAAACCGCGCGTGCTCCAAGCGACCGGCCGTCCATCAGATTTCTCAAGCGTGTGTGCTCCAGAAGAGGAAATTTGGATATTTAGTATTTTTATATTATACACAGGTATATTATGCATCCGTGTGGAAAATTTTAATTAAAAATTCTTACCCGTTATTTTTCTGCAGTAAAAAACGTTTATCAAAGAATTTCGTACCCGACTATGTACATGTTTTTGTTTATTCATTGTAGTATAAATTGTATTGGCAGAGATGTACGTGTACATTATTATATTTAGAAAAAAGGCTAAACGACCAGCGCCTTACAAAATTGTTCTTATCTGAAAGTTTAAAAAGCCCTAACCTGTATTTTAAATTTTGTTTTATTTTAAATTTATTATTTTAAATTATTTTAAATTTAAATTTGTAAAAAAACAGATATTTCTGTCCTTCTTACTCATTAGCTTATATGTACATATACAATAAAGAAGACACATATTTACTCATTTAAGACTGGTAACTCACATCTCATTTAATACGCGACAGGACGAAACGATGCGGTGACGATGGAAAGTTATATCTCATTTCTTTTATGACTTATGACATGACACGGGAGCCAATCTCGTCTGCATATTTGGCAACCCTGCACATTTGGTATCACACATCCATAATATAAACCATTCATCAACTCTATACAATACTTATCACCCTAATTGGATCATGCCATACGTACATAATTATTTGGTTCTTGTCCTTATCTTATCAAGCCATACGTATGGCTTTATTTTATGCATGCCTATGCAGAATTTCAGCCTGGCAACACTTATCTTCACAATTACATACGTACTTTTTACTGCTCTCCTGCATCAATTGAGATCCTCTCCACTGCACTACATAAATACAGGTACATTCTTCAGAAACTTATTAACTAAGAACACCAACAATTTTCAATACAGCGCCATGGCTTCAATCACGAAAGGTAAATATGTAGTTAAGAACCGTAACCAATTAATTGGGTAAGAAATGCCCTGTAAACATTTACGAGGCAAGAGTTATTGGATAATTTACTGGAATTTTGTAGGAATATTTATTGTGGCTGCTAAACGAACTCCATTTGGTGCTTTCGGGGGTAAGTTGTCCTCCAAGACGAGCATCGACTTGGCCGAGGTGGCCTCAAAAGCGGCGCTCGCAGCGGGAAATGTGAATCCAGAAATTATTAATTCCGTCGTCGTGGGGAATGTTATCAGTGTGAGTATATAAAAGTAGCTACATTTGCATAATTTAATTTTTGACGATACCCACATGTTACATACAAAAACCTGCCAATCCGCCTCATACAGCATATATGCACTTTCTATATGCTTTTGTATATTTCAATTCTTTTAATTTCGCCGATTTTAGGCCTCAAAAACTTTTCTGGCGAAAAATGCCTGTGGGCGTCAAAAAAATCCCGCACAGTTGTACGATAGCTCATTTTCTTCCTAAGGTGTTGTAGTTTCCAATAAAAAATATTTGAAAGTCAAAAACATATCCATGGAGTTTAATTTTTCGGCTCTCATTTTGAAGTGCTAAAAGATTCTGACCTTTGACCTATCGGTGACATTAAAAATCGGTAACGCGGAGGAATTCGCAACTGACAATGGAACCTGTTTTCAAGCGACACGAGCTAAGCTTAGTGACTTATACTAAAAAATCAAGCTAAAAATTAGAAATGACGTGGTACTTATCTTTCCGTTGAATGGGTACTTGGGGGTTAAATATTTGAGGGCAAGTTCACAGTAGCGGCCGGTTTCTTTCTCAAGCGGGCCAGCAGAGGAGTGAAAATTTTCTCCTTCGAGGTCACTCCGCTCCCTTCACTCTCGCACTTCATTCAATGCATATTATTTTTGACAAAATTTCACAACCTCGTAAATTGCTTCATACATTCATATAATTTTATATTTGCTTTTTAAAATCCTACTATCCACCGATCCGTAATAAAAAAGTGACGATGGGTTCAATTAATGATAACTTATAATTTATAAAATATCGCATATATATATTTATAGCAAATATAAAATTATATGAATGTATGAAGCAATTTACGAGGTTGTGCAATTTTGTCAAAAATAATATGCATTGAATGAAGTGCGAGAGTGAAGGGAGCGGAGTGACCTCGAAGGAGAAAATTTTCACTCCTCTGCTGGCCCGCTTGAGAAAGAAACCGGCCGCTACTGTGAACTTGCCCTCAAATATTTAACCCCCAAGTACCCATTCAACGGAAAGATAAGTACCACGTCATTTCTAATTTTTAGCTTGATTTTTTAGTATAAGTCACTAAGCTTAGCTCGTGTAGCATGAAAACAGGTTTCATTGTCAGTTGATGCAGCGGTGTGCCGAGTTTTAAACATCAAAGTGCACACTATCATATTTAAAGTACAATTATGCAAATAACCAGTACTTTTGTATACCGGGTGTATCTTTAAGAACTCCAAACGTCCGAAGTATTGATATTCTTCAGATATCTTAAAGGCAATATCTTGAAAATATCAATTTTTGGATACTCGCAGCCACCCATATATTACGTCTTCAGAAATTCTCGATTTTATCACCGAACCAACGTAAATATTATGGGATAGGGAATTTTAATATGGGAAAGATAGGAAGGCCTAAGCCACCCACCCACTAAAATGATGACGTAATATATGCACGTTCCTTGTATAGAGGCGTTTGTTAATTGTACTTTCCACAGTCCTCCTCTGAAGATGGTCCCTTCATTTCCCGCCACCTCCTCCTCCGCTGTGGCATCCCCTTGGATCGACCTGCCCTCAACGTCAATCGAATGTGTGGCTCAGGATTCCAAGCCATCGTCACCGGAGCGCATGTTCGTACCCAAATGTTTTGAAGGATTAATGTTCATCCAGTATTATTAGCCGCAAAAAATTCTGAAAGGTTACATGGGAGGTAAAATAATTTTTATCTACAGAAATTTGTACATTGTCCACGTCTTTTATTTTTTACAACAGTTCCGCTATTGTTGCCAATGGCAAAGTTAATTGAGAAATATATAGCCAAATACCTTCTCAGAAAATTTATCGGACTTTTGCGACTAATCATAATGGACGAACATAAATTTTATTACGTACATAATTTTTGGCCACAATTTGGCGTGCAGGATATAACCATGGGGGACTCTAAAGTTGTTCTCACTGCGGGAAGCGAGTCCATGAGCGGGGCCCCCTTTCACCTGAGGAATATCCGCTTCGGGACCAAGTTAGGGGCGGACTACAAGGTTGAAGACCACTTGTGGAGTTCAGGCTTTGATTCGTATTGCAAAACGAATATGGGTGGAACTGCAGGTTATTTGTGGTGTTAGTTGTCAGTATGAAAATGTCCTGGCCAAAATTGGCCCTGTAATGTAAAGGTTGTGCAGAATTATGTAAAACACCAATGCAGCAAAGTTTATCCAGAATGATTTTTCACAAAATTGTTTCTAGAATCCTAAATTACAAGTTCGAAGAAATCATAAAAATGATATCACAAATTATGGCCAATTTTTTCCATCCCATTTTCATACGAACTTCGTGTTAGATAGTTTATTAATGAACAATTCAATTTCAATTTTTGCACAGAGAACTTGAAAAATACGGGATCAGTCGGCAGGAAGCGGATGAATTTTCCTTCCGCTCCCAACAGCGGTGGAAGGCTGGTTTGTAATAATTATAATTTCCAATACTTAAGCATTGTCTTATTTTCCCCTTTACTCACTCAGCAAACGAGCAAGGATTCTTTGCTAAGGAAATGGCTCCTGTTCTCATAAAGGGCAAAGGTGGCGTGGAAACATCCATTACAACGGATGAGCACCCAAGACCAAAACTACCCTGGAGACAATGGCCAAACTACCCGCCGTTTTCAAAAAGAACGGCACCGTCACTGCCGGAACTGCTTCGGTGAGAGACAATTCCTAATTCTCAAGACCATCCATGTTCAAAGAATATTTATTCATTCAAAGTTCATTCATTCAAAGATTGAATTTCAAACCGTTCAAAAAAATATTCATTCCGTATTCCCTCACTCGTAATTTGTAAAAAAATATTCATTAATTATTCAACATTTATTCCTTCTTCCCCATCCTTCATTATTAATTATATACAAAATTCACAGTACTAGATGAATTTCTCAACTTTCCCTATGCATTGAGCATTCAGTTAAAAACGAATGACGAAAGAAATAATTATTCATTATTCATTCAGACGAATTAAATAGAAATTCACTATATTAATTTACTCAAAAATTAGAACAAAATATCAATTTAATATTCACTCAAATTTTGAATATTGAATGAATAATTGATTCGTTCATGATTAACTGAATGAATGTGAACATGTTTAAGACATTTCACAGCTTTTTCAATTTCCAGGGAATAAACGACGGGGCGGGAGCCGTCATAATTGCGAGTGAGGCTGCCTTAACGGAGTACAACTTGACCCCATTAGCCCGCCTTGTGGGGTACGGGATTTCCGGTGTGGAGCGGCACATCATGGGCATCGGACCTGTCCCAGCGATAAAAAAATTACTAAAAATTTCGGGGAAATCCTTGGACCAAATTGATCTGATCGAGGTATTCGTATCTATGAAATTCTATAGTATAAAAAATTTACCATAAGCCCGTCGCTCGTCGAGCGAGCGAAAATTATAAGCTGGAAATGTCTGTCGGAAACGGAAATAGAAGGGAAAGTATAGAAATTCAAGTTCCAAATGGGGCGAAAACTCAAATAAATTAAACGTCTGATGTCTCATTACTAAATGTCGGAAGTTAACCGCCCCAGGATAACAACCATCAGACAGTTAATTCATTTTTCTGATTTTTTTTTAAATTTCAATTTTATTTTAAATTTTCAATTTTTTCAATTTTGAATTTTCTATTTTCTATTAGAAACTTGACTTTCTTTACTTTCCCTTCTGTTGGGACATATTTGCTCTCATTTCCGTTGCCGACAGACATTTTCAGCTTATAATATGGATCTGTAATATAGAATCTGTGCATTCCTTATTTAGATTAACGAAGCATTTGCCTCACAAACGTTGGCTTATCAAAAAGAGCTCGGCATCGACCCGGCCAAATTGAACGTGAATGGTGGCGCAGTTGCGATTGGGCATCCCGTCGGAGCATCCGGTTCCAGGATCACGGCTCACCTTGCACAAGAGTTGAAGTAAATTGATAACATCGTACCAATTCTATAAATAAATTACTGAAATAATGGATTCCTTATGTGCCAGTGGCCGCGGAAGGGTAGGGACATAGGGGCAATGTCCACTTAGACTCGTCGCATGTTGATATATAAATATTGATCACCATTTACATCATACATTTGTCACGACAATAATTTGAAAATTGTACTCCGATCATGGTTTTTCTCCAATATAGCGTAAACTTGGACTTTTTGACTCCTTTTGTAAATATGTACATAAATAGGCGGTGGAACCATGGGCATATTGTGCGGGTAGAACAGAATTTTAGGCTAGGAAGAGGAGGAGCAAAACAACAGTATTTATAGGGATAAACTAAAAAAAAATTCTGTTGCGACATTGTCCCCATGGTTCGCCCCATTTAAGCTTGTCTTGACTGAAACCATTTTTATTTGGTTGAGGGAATACTGATTTTAGAAAAAAATATGTCGCTAATTTCTTGAGCGTTGTCTTGTAATGGTAAACCCTATGTACCTTCCGCGGTCTACGTTGTGTGAAATTTGACCATTTTTAAAATTAAAAAAACAGAACGCTTTGCTCATTTTGGAAATTACGAGACGATATAACATACCATTTTATCTTTTATAAATAGACGACGTGGGGTCAGACATGGAATTGGCTCAGCTTGTATTGGTGGTGGACAAGGAATTGCGCTATTGTTTGAAACCATGTAATCATCAGGAGACCAAAGTGTCGTGTTCTTGAAATAACTATGTTTATGTATTACTCCAACTACATAAACTATAGAATCAATAAAGTTTTGATCCAAGTTATTCGGGCTGTTGCATAACTTATTATGTCAAATTAAACCTCGTATTCTAAACAAAATCCAAAATGTAATACGCCGAACCAAGGACCAGCTACATATGTGTCACTTGTATAAATTTTAAAAACACACTAAAAGAGAAATTAAACTTACCACTACTTTACATGGAGTTTTATTTTACCATAAAAACGTCTTCCACGAAGAGATATATGAAAAAACGAAGAATCTGTGGGTCTGTGAAACAGGAATGTCGAAAGTTGACCAGAAATTTTAAAATATTTTGTATCAATTTAATGCTTTCGTTTCCTACAAAATAGCTCCCTCTGTGCTTCACGGACAGACGGGCATATGTAACGATCTTATAAAGGGCTTTCGCCTCTTAATAAGGAATTGTTGAGCCTGCATCATTTCATCATGCTCTGTACAGATTTGTTAAGATTTCACAAAATATAGTGCCGCATTTAGGAATACGAGATCGAGGGAAACGAAAAATATGTAAAAGCAATTTCCTCGGCCACTGTACAAAATCATGAAAATGTAACATGTTTGTGCATAATGTGACAAATGCATGAGCTTTAGTACTCGATCCCTTACCCGGATCAGACCAGGACAAAGGAGACGAGCAGATAGGATACTTTCTCTTTCTAACGGACAATCATACATACATATTTATTATACAAAGGTATATACATATACTTGGCTTGCACATGGACAAGCTCTCCTATAAATATCTACCCATCTTCCGGCTGGTTTTTCCTGTTTCGGGTTAAATCCTGTCTTTTACGTAATTTTGTGTGTATAATATAATAAATTGGACTTAATTAAATTCGGCGAGTGAGTGAAAGGGGTCATGGAACTAAATATTACGCATTAATATAAAACTAGGGAGATAATTTGGTATGAAAAATAACATCTTCAACAAAGCACTTGCCAATTGCTTAGATAATTAAGGTTAGTAACCAATAACAAAGAAATTTGTAACCTTGTGGAAACTTGCGATAAATCATGTTAGTTCAGTGAAATATGTACATAATTTTTACATTTATATTTTCAGAATCGAATTTTCACCCTAATCGGGAAACTATTTCGCAGAATTTGCTTCAGATGAGGCAAAAGCTGGAAATGTAATGAAGATGAAATTCGGATTCTTATCAAATCAACTAAACAGCAGATAAAGAGGTAAAATCACAAATTATGTAACTGCATGAAATTAGGATTCATATTATCATCAAACAAAAAAACTGAGAAATCGAGTACATTTTCATAATTCTAATTTTTCCATTTTTGAAATTTTACTATTTAATGAATAAAACAAGCGAATTCTTCCCGTCCTGTGTCAACTTGTTGCAAATTACATACAAGACGACTGCTCGACTGAATAAATCTCAAAATGCCGGACGATACGGAGAATGTGTTGCCAATCGCAATCAGGTACATAGTCTACAACTTAAACTTCATTGTACTATAATCTTACCAACCATTACACCGAAAATAATCCGGTAACAAAAGTATTACCAGTTCTGGCTGTTATCATATGGTTCTACCACAACCGTGGCAATATATGTATGAACTAGATAATAAATGTTTTATTCCCCAGTTAGTGACTACAACTACAGTGTAAAACGTATGTATGTAGAACCAGCCTGGTAAAAAATTTACTACAATTTGATTGGTGGTGGTACTGTTATGTTACCACCATATGGTGGTACTGTTAAATACATATAAATACGTATGTAGCTACAAGCAGAGCTGCGTGATTATTAGATTTTTAGCGTGGATTAAAGATTATGGATTAACCACAGAATAATATGCATTAGTATTAAATTATTTTCTTACGGTTAATTCATGTCGAGATTAATCTGAATTAATACATAAATTGTGGTAATTTCGAGATTATGGATTAATAACCCGGATTAATTTTGTGATTAATGATTTTTTAAACAATTTTTTTTTAAAAACAAGTATGAAACAGCGAGAGAATGTTGAATCTACAAATGGTAGCGGTTAGGACAAAGTTGTGAGATCTTGAGACTTGAAGTTACATAGTGTGATGCAATAGAACGAGAAGAATTGAATCGAGTAATCCAGATTGAGGAATAATCATGAATAAGTAATCATGATTGGGATCAACCTGGATAAGTAATTCATGATCAAGATTATGGATTAATCACATCTAATGGGATTATTCCCGCATAAATTCTAATTCCAGAAAATTGGGATTATGGATTAGGATTAATCTAAAAAAAAACTATAATCTTAATCCATAATCCGGGATTAAAATTCATAATCCTTAATCAGAATTATCCCAGGTCTATTTACAAGCCAGTGGTGGTAACTCCTTTACTACCGGATTGCTTTGATTCTTATGTTTAAATGTTTTTTTGTACGTACAAAGTGCTCGGCAAGGAATCGGGATTGGCATTTTCGTCATCGGCGTTGCCATCTTCGTCGGTCTGATCGTCGCCAGTTGCCACGAAATTGAAGAAGGTCATACATATTTTACAATTAAACTAACAATGGAGGTCTTCCAACGTATGCTCCAAGATTTGGATCAAACTGGTGTCAATCGATCACAAATATAATTAGTATGAAATTTGTAAGTGGAACTATCTGCCAATGCGCAGGTTTGGCGGAGATATTTGCATAGAAAGCGGGAAAAATGCGCAGGAAATTTGGAAAATGAAAAATTCGCCAGCCTTGAGGGTGCGTTTTCTCCTATTTTTATGCAAATATCTCCGCCAAACCTGAGCATTGGCAGATAGTTCCATTTGTAATTTCATACTAATTATATTTGTGATCGATTGACACCAGTTTGTTTCAAATCTGTGAGCATACGTTGGAAGACCTCCATTGTTAGTATCAAACAGCCCTTAACTATGGTCGAGGAATTAAAATTAAAGACATTTTTACATACATTTCTTATGTAAACATGTCTTTAATTATAATGCCTCTACCATAATAGATTCCCGTCTTAAAAATACGCTTTCACTTACAATGCGATGGTATGAGGTGTAACCCTCCGATTTGGTTGAAATTTTGAAATTATGTGGTGCATGTCAAACCAACCAACGTTTCTTCAGGGAGTTTGTGCGATGGTCAGAATTTGCCAAAATATTTGACGGTAAAGTTACACAGTGTGCAATTTTTATCTGTAGTACGGGAAGAGAATGGAAGTCGAGTTTGCATTTTCTTCCTGGTAAAAATCGCCCGTTTTTCAACTTTGCCCTCAAACATTTTATCCAGTTCTGACCATCGCACAAATTGCCTGAAAAAAACGTTGCTTGTATTGACATGGACCACGCAATTTCAAAATTTCAACCAAATCGAACGGTTACACTTCACACCATCGCATTGTTAGTTATTTAATCCAGTAAAATCTGTCTTATCTTCTCACGAGTAGGTCATATCGGGGTATATTACCGGGCCGGAGCACTGTTGGAATCCACGTCAACCCCCGGCTTCCAAGTGATGATCCCATTGCTCACGACGTACCGCTCGATTCAAATCACCCTTCAAACCGATCAAGTCAGAGACGTTCCTTGCGGGACTTCCGGCGGTGCGATGATTTACTTTGATCGGATTGAAGTAGTGAACCTCCTCTCGGCCCGGTATGCGTGGGATGTTGTCAAGAATTATACGGCTGATTACGATAAGGCCCTTATCTTCAACAAAGTTCACCATGAACTAAACCAATTTTGTTCGATTCACACTTTACAAGAGGTTTATATAGATCTTTTTGACAAAATTGATGAAAATTTGAAAAACACGTTGCAAAATGATTTGAATGTAATGGCACCAGGCTTGCACATCCAAGCAGTTCGGGTGACAAAGGTACGTAAAATGCGAGAAGCTCAGTAGATACATAATTAAAAATTAGTTAAAATACTTCATAATTTTGCTAAAATTTAGCCCAGAATTCCACCCGAGATTCAAAGGAATTATGAGTTGATGGAGGCTGAAAAAACAAAGTAAGACCTTTAAATCCTCGCCCGTCAATAAATACAGGGTGGTCAAAAAATGTCACGCTACAATGAAAAATTTTTCAACGGGAAAAGTCCCTAAATCTCCGTTAGTTACAGGGTTTTGATTGGAGATGTTTATTAATATTATTAAAACTGATGGAGCACTGATGCCAAGACTCTTAAAATGCTGAATTTCGGGAAAAAAATCGTAAATTTCCATTACCGATTTTTTTCAATTGAAAAATGTTCGATTGTAGTGTGACATTTTAACCACCCTGCACTTGGAATAACGGATTTATTTAGCTTATAAATAAGAATTTATCATTTCCCTCGCTCATCTCAAGCCCAACTGAAACTTCTTTTCTCCCACAAATTCATAGGCTCCTGATATCCACTCAGAAACAAAAGGTCGTCGAAAAAGATGCCGAAACGGACCGGAAGAAAGCCGTCATTGAGGCCGAGCGGAACGCACAAGTCGCCAAAATCCAATTAGAACAGCGCGTCCTGGAGAAAGAATCCCTCAAAACTATGGCCGCCATTGAAGACGAGATGTTTTTTAATCGTGAAAAAATGCACGCGGATGCCGAGCGTTACAGAAAAGAAAAGTTGGGTGAAGGAAATGCCATAATTTTAACGCCGGAATACCTCGAACTCAAGCGAATCGAAGCCATAACGACAAATACGAAGATGTATTTTGGAAATAATATTCCCAACATGTTTCTCGGTGAAAGTTTTAAGCCGGATGTAACTCCAGTTTTGACTAAGCCGACGGGACAAAATGTAAAAGGGTGACAAGTTCTAGTTTAACATAACATTTTTTAACGTTTTATTCACTTAATCGACTTGAATTGTTAATTTACTAATTAAAGTTCTCGTGTTCAAAACGAGAAAAATTTGTATCTGAATTTACCGAATTAATTATTCTAAGCTTCTTCAATTCATGTAAAAACAGGTTCTGTTATCACGTTACTTAAATAAAATGCATTTGCACTTTTCAATCCGTATGGATCGTACTTGTTGGGCTTAAATAATATAAATAATTTCACCAGTTAAGTGTAACTTTTTGATAATTAGTAATGCCGAGATTAATTTTGAGCACCATGGATGAAATATTTGCTATGAATTAGAATATCATAAATTATATACCTAAATAAAGACCAGGAAATTTGGGATTTTGTTGAATTAGTTCTTGTCTACATAATCCAATTAAATACCCAATTAAGCCACAGGGTGTACATATTTAAATGCATAATTTTACAAAAACTGAAGTACTTTTAAGCTTCAATTTTTGCAAATAGATCAAACACACTCTCAATAATTTAGAAGCAAAATTATTACCATTTTTACTACCCTTAGAAAGTAACAATCTCTGTCTCCGATTAGGTAATAAATTTATCACCAAAATTGTCAACATTGGAAGTGACAAACAGTGTATCCTATCCAGAGATAATTTATTTCCTCGTGGAAATAATTTCGTCTCAAAAACATTTCCTGTAGGTGACAATTTGTCTCCTTAAAGCCCAGCGCAAACTTTAGTCACTAAAGTTTAGTGGCAATTAAGTTTTCTCTCACAAACGTTTCTCCCTCACCTGGCAGAATAACGAAAATTGTTCGAGTTTCGCATCTTGCCAGAGGAAAAAATTAGTAATGAGAGGTTCAACTTATGGATTACTCTACATTTCAGGTAAATAATTCAAATTCATACTTCATGCTTATGGTGTAATTTTATTGTTTTTTGTCCTATAAATATTTACACTAAAACAAGCTTTTCTAGATCCGGATGCGCAAATTTCGTTCAACGATATGGCGCAGATTGAGATGACATTTTCCAATTTTATTGGAATGACATTCCATCTCCAAAGTTGCGTGTTCCACGAAACTCTTCGTGGAAGACGTTTTTATGGTAAAATAAAACTCCATGTAAAGTAGTGGTAAGTTTAATTTCTCTTTTAGTGTGTTTTTAAAATTTATACAAGTGACACTTCATTTCTTTTGGCCGCAATTAGACCAAATTCATTCCCAGCGTCAAATTCAAAGAGCTGGTGGAAATGTCATATTATGAACAGGTGGACCCTCATTTCATTTCTATTTCTGTTAATTAGCGATTTATTTAGTTGAGTACTGCAGGATAATATTTTAAGTTCTATTTGATTTACGGATAGCAGGAAAATCTTCACCAGAATAATAAACTCGAGTCAGCTAGAATAAATTTTCACTAACATTATAAGTAATGTAAGTATATATATATATTTGTATAAATATAAGCATGACAATTTAATTTTTATATTTATGTATGCGTATGTATGTAGTATGTGGAGACATGTGAAGAAATTTAATCTCTGACCAAACCGTATTTAAATAAATAAATACATATTTTAGAAACTATATTTGCTTCCCCCGGGTTCAATCTATTACCGCAAGGAGATAAATATATGCGCAAGACGGTGATAACTTGTCACCCATATTATCACCCCATGTAGGTAAATTATTTACACTGGGAGCACAGCTTATCTCCGTTGAATACATTCTGTAATCGACAGTAACAAATTGTATCCCGGTAGGTGACAATAATATTTATCTCCGCTCGGGAGACAAGACACACTTGTCAACGGACGGAGGTAAATTATTACCCTCCGGTAGACTCACATAGTACCTACACGAGGAGACGATTTTGGTGCCAATTTTGCTGAGAGTGCACATTAAAATAAATTTCTACAACAAATTCTGTGTAGAATAAAGAAAGATTTATTCCTGTGCAATCAAAACCAATCTTGGCATCTGCATGCCAGAAAGTAATTAGTATTTTTTTTATTCCTGATTATCTATTCTTTGATCTTTCTTCATCCCTAAGTATTTACTCAATTGAGTTCATTTTATTCCACTTTTTGACATCATACTCCTGCCGGCACAATATCCAGTTGGTCCTGTCCACAAAAACCATTCCCGCTTTGAGCTGGACTTGTCGGGACGCGTTATCCACGATGCACTCCGCCCTCGGAATCAGCCCGAGGTCCGCGACCTTCCTCGCGAGCGCCTTCATCACGATGATCCCCAACCCGCGGCGACGAAAGGCGTCCTCCGTGTGCAGAACTTGGAGCAGTCCGACCGGGGAGTGGACCGCGTAGCTGGCCAGGTTCGGATTCGCATACACCCCAACGGATCCCAGGTTGCGAGTCGTTGCGGATAAAATCCCTTTTGAGTGAGGAAGTGTCCAAGCCCAATTTTGCAAAATTTGGTCAAAATCCGCATCAATTTGTCGAATGGAGGAAACCCTCATTGAAATTCCGTTGTCTTGATAAGTGTATTCTGCAATTAATTTATTTATTAACGGCGTGAATTAAATTGTGAAACAAAAATACTTCCTACGCACGTCGAACATCTTATGCTATCAGATTTTGACCAAGCTCGATCTGCATTTACTCAATATAGAATTGTCAAATGCCACCATGTCCCAGTGGCATATTTGCTATGAATATTTGCATCCGAAGAGAAGAAAACGCAGAGTAAATATGCACTCTAAGAAACCCGGTAACTAATTTATTACCAGTCGGAGTATCTATGTGACTCTACCGCATGGTAATTTATTTATTATTCAGTGGTAGAAAATTAGTTATCAAATAGGTAATAATCCCGGTCGCGAAATTTGAAAATATTACCAATTGGTAACTAATTTTCTACCACTCAATAATAAATAAATTACCATGCGGTAGAGTCACAGATACTCCGACTGGTAATAAATTAGTTACCGGGTTTTTTAGAGTGTGGAAAGTGTCAAATTTTACACCATTTAGGAGAGATTTCTCTTCCTTTCATAGAAATACTTATCTCCGTCAAACTAGAGAATTTGCAGATCGTGACATCTCCAATTAACTAAAATTTCTATCGATTAAGGATAGTTTAATCAAAATCGGAGAGAACACCTTTATTGTTACAAATTGGAAAAAACCCACCTTTCTCATAATTTAATGCCGTGTCCACATCCAGGACATGCGCATCGCATGGAAAATCTTTATATTGAATCCCTCTCTTTTCCAACATGGGTCGCAAATACGAGTCTAGAAAGGTTTGCGGAACCGATCCAAAAATGTGGGTGCGATCCCAGTCAATTAATTCCTCGAAGGATTGCATCATTCCGGAATTGATAGGAATTAATTCTGGTGGACGCGGTAGGATGCAGTATTCACTGTGGATCTAATTAATTACCGTGGAAAATATTTACTTTCTTAGTCCAGTTTATAAAAATTCGGATCTTACATTATTTTGAACGCAAACAATGAAAGGGTCGGCCCACTCATCAAAATCTTGAGTTTCGTCATCATCCTCGTAGAGAAATAAGTCCGAAATCGTGGGTTCTTTGATGAGTTGAAGGATCTTTTGTCTCACAATGTTCAAAAACTGGTGAATAAAAGTAAAGATAAAATTATCAGAGGCCTATGCATTCAAATTATGCTAAAATTCGGGACACTCGATAGAGAACTTAATTCATTAATGTGAAATCTGGGACGATTTATGAATTCGTAGGTTTGGCAAAGTTGCATTAAAACGGGAGAAAATGTATCATTAAATATAAAGATATATTTTCCTAATTTACTCCGCTCTTTGTACTCTTCTGATGCAAATATCTCTGCAAAATTTCATTTTAATTAAATTTGTGATTGATTGGCTCTAATTAATTCGCTCAAAATAGGAGAGCATACGCTGCGAGACCTCCATTTTTAGAGAAATAGTGACCTCGATTGAAAATCGTTTATTAAAAATTAAGCTTTACAATTCAATTTGGCATGATAAATATTATATTTAATCTCACTTTTTATTAACCGATATTACTTTTTGTTAGAAAATATGTATATACATAATTTATTACCTGACTAGATTTTGGCAGGTACTTCATCAAAGCAGACTCCAACTTGGGTAATTCTTCCTCCCCAAGTTTCCTAAATTTGCCAGATGTACGATTTGATCCCATGTTAATTAGTATTTATTTACAATTTCAATCTATATATTTTTGCACAAACAACATGCCAAGTTCGTGGATTGACTTGAAATGGAAGGAGATCGCGAAGTTGGCTTAAATTAAGAAATAAGCATGGAATATTATTTATTACTCACTACATACCTTACTTGGTAATACACAGACGTCGGATATGAATGAATGATAAAACCTCAAAATATGAATGAAAAATGACCGTAAAAATCCCCAAAATATGACCAAAAAATGTCTTTATTTTTCAAATTTATGGCTTAATTGTTTCATATATTTTCTTGTAATGCTCAATTTTTATCAATTAAACAAGATCTGGGGTGATTTAATTCATTCCCAATGAATTAAATCACCTTAGGCGAAAGTGAACGTAAATTTGTGAAAGTTTCTCGCAATGAATAATTGTGAGAAAACTGAATTTTTTATCATTTTCTGTCGATTTGGTTGCCAAATCTTAAAATTTTGCCAAAAATGATAAAATGAACAAAAAAAATCACGAAATCTGATCGGGAATATGAATATGTCCTAAAACCCGAAAATATGACAAATATGAGAAAACATGCTTTGACCCACGTGACCTACTAGTGACCGTAAACATTCTCAGAAAGTTTGGCGACTGTAGGTCAATAAATGGAAAAAGTTATTTTTCATTCATATCCGACGTATGATAATAAATCTGTCATTCATATGACTCTCGCAGCAAGGTCAATGTCAAGGTTTCCCAATAATAAATTTATCCATGCATCCCAGGCACGAACATACTGACCAGAACGTCAGGCTGCCAGTTGTGGGGCCGGGCATAAAGGGTGCGATCAATTTTCAGAAAATGTTTAACCTAGCGCGACAAATGGCATAAATAATTCCCTTGGAAGAGTAATACATGGACCCTATCCTCCTCCCCCCCCCTCGAGTCGATCACATGCGTTTTGCATGGTCCATTTTCATATCTAAATAAATTTGTACTGTTACTAAATTTACGGGGCAATGGGCAGAAACGTGGGCTTAACCCAATTGTCACCATATTTACATTTTTTTAAACGGCATCGGATGTAGGGGCCACTAGGAAAGGCTACATTTCCCATTTAAATGGATTAAATTTACCATTGGATACTTTTGCCATCAACTATGCTTAGATTTCCATTTAAATAACCTATGTTGGCCATTTAAATGGTCCGCCATATAATTAATGTATAATTTTTATATTCAAATTTATTTCGATAATTTTGCATTGTCACATGATTAACAATGCCTTTGCAGCTTTTCTAGGCCGGCCATGGCCCAGTCACTGCCTATTGGAACATTCTTCGCAACGAGTTACATCAAAAAATCGAGCCAAAAATTAGGAATCACACGAGCCTCATATTTCCTTTGAATAGCCCCTTTGAATAAAAAATATATTGGGGTGACACGAGCGCCTTTTTTTCTCCCCGTCACTCATGGACGATACACGGTTAGAAATCTCACACCGGTATTAAAGTTGCTACCCCTTGCTATTAAAATTATTATGATCCGTAAAAGTTTGATACCGAAATGGTAAAATGTTAATACCGAGTTATTACTACACTGTATTATGTACCTATCAAATCAATAACACTTTGGAAGAGTCATATATGAATACCGCCCGTATTGTTTTAATCCTGGATTTCTAAGAGTGTAAAGAAGATAAAATTTACTAAAAACTTGAACTTGGTCCACAGTATTTTGCCTCAAAAGAGCTTTATTTGATTACGAATTTTTGGATCGATTTTTAATATAACTAGTTGCAAAATCCCGGTGCAGAGGTTCCATTGTCACTATCATCTAGCAATGTTTTGCCCACTCTGGCAATTAAAATTTTTAAACATTTTATAAAAATATAAAAAAGTATGAATGCATGCATGTATGAGTAACTGAAATAAAACCTTCAGGCTACACCGGTATTGTTTACCGAGTTATATTAAAATCTGGCCAATAGTTAGGATTGCATGATACTTATCCATTGCAAGGTCGTCTTGGAAGAAAAACATAAGCGGCGTAGCGTATTGGAGAGGCTTGAATTAGGTTCCGTTGAGTGCACAAACTGAATGAGTGTGCCTAACTTAGGCAAAGGTGCTCAAAATTTAACAAAAATGTACTTTCTTGTTTGGTTATCATGCTTTAACAAAACTTTGTACTATAAATATGAATATCTAATTAAGTGGCCATATGGAAATTTAGATGGGTCCAAAAAAATTTGTTAATGGCCAAAAGTAGCTTCAGGAATTTTATCCATTTAAATGGGAAAAAAATCCTTTTTAGATGGCCCCAAAACATAGTTCCTTTTTAAATCTCCCTTTGGTATGATACACTATTAAAAATCTGGTAGAGTAGCTTCGTGCTGGTAAAGATTTGGTAATAAGTTCCTTCCGGATTGGTGGTAAATTGTTCCTGAGTGGTAAATTTTTCATTGCTACAACATTACTAACCATTAATACCAGTGACGGTAGAGTCGCATATGTACATATGTACTCCAGTCGGTAATGATTTAATACCAGTTTTCTAAGAGTGTACTGATTTACTGATTTCATGCCTACATGTGGTGGCAAATAATTATCTATTCAATAGAACCAGACCAAGCGTACTACAAAACTCTTTTCCTTATTTTGCGTGAGGCAGAGTGAGAATCGGATTCTGGTGGGTATCCACCACCACCGCTCACTGTCGTTGTGACAGTGCCGTATGGTGGTCTGTCCCACTTCTCATTCTCTGCAAATTGTTCACCGGGATTATAAATTCCAAAAAGCTTAAGTTTTAAATTTGGACCGAATTTGTAATTCAGATATTACAAATTTGAATAAGTTCTTTAATTGCAATTATACGTCTCATTTTCGCATTAGTGACAATAGTTTGTTACGGCTGTTGCAAAAATAAGCCCCTCCCCAGAAACTTTGACCCCAAAAAACTCCTGGTTCCCACACTTTGCAGTCTGACAACAAAAGCTTAAAATATTCGTCTTGCGAAGGAGAAAAATCTGGCATTAGGTTGTCAGACTGCAAAGTGTGGGAACCAGGAGTTTTTTGAGGATTTGTATGTACGTAAAAAAACCGCAAATTTTCAAATTTTGAAACTCTTGATACATAAAAATGCTCGTATTCAAGAGGGAATTCGAATGTCAAATGCAAGTTGATGTCTCACTCTTGTTGTACGGAGTGTACATTGACTTTCTCATTTTTCCAAATTTTCTTCCCCCGTTTTTGAAGGGGGGTTAGATGCACATATTTCAAAAATCGTAATGTTATATAAATCCTTGCACCAGGAATTCAATTTACAATTTTTTAAATTGAATTCGGTGACATCGACGCGAAAAGGATTTGCACAGTACACTTGGCCTTGCTCTATTCCTATAAAAGGCCAATATTTATTTCACTAAGTTTCCAAGTTTTAGGTTTTTTATGAAACAAAAAACAGTTGATTGAAATAAACAATTTTTTGACGTACATATTTAGTCTTTTGGGGACCAACTTTGAAATACGACAAAAATATATCGAAGGAGCAGGCACCCTCCTTACGTGAAATGCCCCACCGTGATATTGGGCTCAATTTTTGATATGATGTACATTTCGACGTGCCGAACAAAAAATGTATTGGTCCCTAAGCCCTAAGTGACCTCGTTCGACCGGAAACTGAGGTCAAAGGTCAGCGCACTTTCTCGCTCGAAACCCCACAAACCATATATTTTTGGAAAGCTACGGACCACACCAGTCCGAATATACACCATACTTGAGTCAAAGGTCAACCCTTGACCTGTCGCGGTCAACCCTTAGCCTGTCGAGGTCAAATATGTCATTGGGGCAAGGTAAGATTTTTGGGAAAAAGTGGCCAAAGTACATTTCTGATAGGATGAGCAGTCATATATGAGCAGTCATATTTTCCACCATATTTAATCCTGGTTTTTTGCACCAATTTAGACGACGTAAATATTCGGGTCGATCCAGTGCGTATGTATGAAAACCATTATTGACCGTAAAGAAAGTCGTGGAAAAAAAGTTTGGATATCTTAAGAAAAGAAGGATTAAGAAGTTTCAAATTTGAATTTAAAAAATGCGATTTCTAGGACTAGAAGGTGGTCTATAAGGTATTACTGTAGTGAGTGTTGTATATTTTCAAGATGAATAAATTCAGCTTAATTAGACCAAAATGTTATTTATGCACATATGTATGTAAATCTCTTTTACGTTCAAAGAAGGAAACAAAAAACATTTAAAATTCTCAATCGATTCGTACAGTTACAGAGATTTATTCTTTGAAATAGTAAAATCTAAATTCTAGTGTATCAACATTTATAAGTCATGTATTTCATTTCTTTATGTGTCCTTTTTTTCAAAATATGTCCATATTTCCAGTCGGACCCCTTCTTTCGCCATTCGAGCCGCACCTTGGACCCATTTTGGTGTGAAAGTTCTAACATTTCCTTTAGCAGATGATTCATCACTTGGGTTGGTCAGGTAGGAAATTTCCACGGAAATATTCTTTGCCCTTCTTCCATTTCGTTTTTTCTCTTCTTCCAAGCGTTCCAGCAACTCGGTGCACCGATCAGTAAACAATTTTTGCAAATTTGGCTTCCCTGCAAATCGAGAGTAATCGTCACTTTAAAACCAGGAGGAAATTGTGCAACCTTAAGGTTCCCATGGATGACGTGTAATCTGACTCTGCCCCTACCCAATGTCTTCAAATGCAATTTCTACAATTGAATCAACTCCATAGTTTCTCCACAGTTTCTGTTCTCTCTTTACAACCAATATTTTCGCCTCCAATTAAGAATATTTATCCCATTTTAAAGAAAACTGTGATTTTAAATGTATTTATTTATTTAATACAAGGAGCCTAATTAAACCAGAAACTCACAATACTACACACTCATTTTTTGATATTATGGAGTCACTTGCTTTCACACTAGCCTGAAGAAAATTTTTGAAACCGGTCGCAGATTGTGGTGAATAAATATACATTCATTAGTTAAAGTGTCCTTCCCCTCGAATTCTTTCAAAGAGTTTTAAGATAAATGCAACTTTTGATATTTCAATGTAAAGCTAATTTTTGATACTACAAATATTTGAAAAAAATTAGCTAATTGGTTTGCAATTTTTTAAATTTCTTCACAAATGAATTCACTGATTTTTTCCAAATCGACTTGTTTGTAGTACCAAAAATTAGCTTTACATTGAAATATCAAAACTTGCATTTACCTCAAAACTCATGGAGATGATTCAATTTTAGAAATTGCAATTGAAGACATTGGATAGGGGCAGAGTGAGATTACGCGTCATCCATGAGAACCTTAACCTTCCTTACGCGATGATGATCTACCCTCCCTCAAAAAAGACATGGACCACATTAATAGCAGCCAGATCAGTTTAGCCAACCCTTTCCAGCTCCGTAGGTCTCCCCATGCCCAGTCTGACGAGCAGCGAAGATCGTCTTCCTGCAATCACACATGTTCACATTCATTAATTTAATAATGAATGAATGAATTATTCATTCAATATTCAAAAGTTGAAATAATATTGGACAAATATTTTATTTTGATTTTTGAATATTTAAATGAATATTGAGTGAATATCTATTCAATTCGTGTGAATGAATAATGAACGAATGAATATTTTTTCATCATTCATTTTTAACTCAATGCTTAATACATAGGGAAAGTTGAGAAATTTATATAAGACTGTAAATTTTATATAACATGAATAATGAAGGAATGTTGAATAATGAATAAATGTTAAATAATTAACGAGTATTTGTTTTACAAATTATGAATGACTGAATAAGGAATGAATATTTTTGTCAAGGCTTTGACTAAATAAATATTTTTTGAACACGTATGTACACCTGCAATGAATAGCTGCCGAGAATTCCTTCGCAATAACTGGGCTGGGGTCAATCCCTGTCAAAATGTTAAGGATTTTATCCACCTCGTCAGCTTCCAGGTACCGCTGCAACTCATCCCGTGAGTATTTCTTTAATTCCTGGATTTCCCTAATCCCCCACGTGGAGCTCACTTTCTCTCCTAAACCACTCTTCAACCCGGGAACATCCCTGATCTTTTTGGAAGACAAAATGTCGTTAAAATCGTTCCCTTCTATTATTGCGACCCCATTCGGCTTATTCTCTGAAGAGGCTAGTTTTGCGCGAAATTTGTTACCGGAGACCCCTCCAGACGCGGTCATTCTGCTTTTGGATTCTATCTCGTTACAGACACGGCGAATCAGGGAGGCCCCACAGTGTAACCGCATCCTCTCTCGGGTAGATTTTAATTCCTTCAAGAATTTGGGCATGATGAGGAGACATACAAACAAGGCAGCTAACGAGTTGTGTTGGAGTAACGTACAAAGGAACAATAGAATGGCGATCAAGTGGGGAAATATTTGGGAACTCGCGATCATCCCATAGTACGCTTTTTTGAATACGTTTTGTAGCTCATGATCCACCTGGTTTGTCAAATCCAAGTAAAATTCGTCGGTCGGGCTGTACTCGAGGACGATTTGATCCCTTAAAATGTTTTATACATAGGTCAAGATCAGGTTTAGGAATTTTGAATTTTAGGCATGTATAGGAAGTTGGCCCGGAATTTATAATTTTTAAGCTTTCCCGCTACAACGGGGCACGATTTGATGACCGTGATATGTTCCCCTACACTTATTTATAATTCCCTGACAATTTCAAAAAATCGTACGTGGGGAACTTTTAAAAATACATAAATGTCTTTTTATACTTCCTGATTTTAATTTTTAATTAATTTTGATGATTTCAAATTTGCTTGCGGGCGCGTTCTGATTAGTAATCAAAGTTAGAGAGCAAAAAAAACATTTTTGTATTTTTCTAAAGTTTCCAAATTACGATTTGGTTGCAATTTTCGGGGAATAATGTATTACCAAGTGTTAGGGAACATATTTCAGTCATCAAATTTATTCCCGGTTGTAGCAGACGAGCTTAAAAATTTCAAATTCCAGGCTGGGCTAACTTCCTATACATATTTTATGAATTTTATTTACAGTCCATTCTTTCCAATGTAATCCTTAATTATGTCGAGTACTTCTTGCGAGGCGTGGCGTAGCTTTGAATTATCCGGTTTTCCAAGCACGTCGGGGATTTTGAAGACAGTCAAGTTCTCACATTTCTTCTTTGCATCGGACACGCACAGAGATCTGGATATACCACTAGGACGTGCTTCGTAGTTTACAGAGACAATTCTGGAAAAAATAAATATTTCCATAAATTTGGATATTTACATGTTTAATCCTAGTTAACCAGACCCCTAGGACCAAATAAATGTTAAATAATTGGATGAATTGGCATAAAAATTTGGCTTTAAACTACTCAAAACTTTATAGTCAAAAGTACGAAATTTCTAAAAACACATGTAAAGCAAAGGTAGGAATTTTTAATACTAATTGCAAAATAGTATAAAAAATTCCATTTGTGTGGCGAGTGTACATACTTTTCATAATATTCATATATATTATTTCAATTAGTAATTATCAATTGCAATAAAACAATTAACTCACCGTCCCTTCGAATTAGCCACGACGCACGGGCTTCCCTTCAACTTGGGCTTATCCCTCTGATAAACTTGGCACTCGAAGCAGTCCATGTCTATGAGTCCGATAACCCTCTCCTTATCATCATCCCCTCTCGTTTCCATCCCTTTGAAATATATGTTCTCCTTTAAAATCTCTCCTCCACTTGATTGTGTAATTTTCAAAACAACACTGAACATAAAAAGTTACCAAACGAATTTATTACGTCGTACTTAAATATTTAATAACAAACGTTTCACCGAAATTATTTATATGTGGAGCAGAGTATGATATATGTAAATATTAAATATGTACATACATATGTTTGCACACGTAGATTTGGCTGTCCATGTTTTTGTTATGAAACTAGTCCGAGACGCAGATAAACATATGTATGTACGTGGCTGCTACTTTTTCCAGGGCAACCTTGACTGGAATTACCACTGACTTGGATAGTATACATACACAGGTTTGGTTTATCCTTAGTTAGTTAGGTCGAGAATTACTTACCATTGATGCATACATATTTTAGATGATGATGGCTCAACTTTCTTCCATACACACGTAACAATTGCATATCATACTCCACGTCTAATTTTCCCATCAATGCTTCCAAAGCTGTGTGTTGCATAAATGAAATTGTCTTAAATTTGTTGTGTATTTGATACGATTCTTAACCAATTCAATCATCCTGACAAAATGTCGCTTGTATTAAAATACACACATACATAGACAAGAAACTTACGTAATTTAAGCCAAATGCAAGATGGGGGAGAAATATTGCCACTTGGGGTGTATTTACTTCTATGTATTGTGAAAAGTAATATTCTATTACTCTTTTAGGTGCCGTGCAAAAATTATGTGGTTGATTCGACACGGGATGTATTTTAATACCCTTCTCATATAAAGTACTGCACAAATTTGAATACATACAGTTACTCAAATTATTGATGGCACCATGCGCAGTCATGACACAAACCTTAGTGTTTTCACGTTCTGGGAATATGTCATTATTGTAAAATATATCGATTCGATAGGAAATTTAATGGGGATTTCAAAAATCAAAGCAGTTTATTGCTAGCTTTAACGGTTTTCAAAATATTTTAAATGGAGCCACGAAACTTCCAAAATGCATGCAAAATTATTGAAGGCACCGTTCTAATTTTTAATTGAAATATACTTGTAAATTTTTATTACTACTTTATCAAGCCCCCTTTTGCATCAATAACTGCTTCGTTGTGACGTGAAATAGAATTCACCAAGTTTCTGACCACTTTCGGTCCCAGATTCCCCCATTTTTTGCTGATGATTACTTATAACTAATTTTACTGGTTTTGGAGTACTGTTAAAAATTCTTTGCTCCAATTCGGCCCATCAATAGTCAATGTGGTTTAGTCCTGGACATTTGGCATCCCAATAAAGATCGTTCATCGTACTTTCCTCAAAGTACCGCTTCATGATATGCGCCTAATGCTGGGGGTCCCCATATTACGTGGAGGAAAAGTTCTTCCGAAGACGCAGGTGTCTGAATAAAGTGACCAAATTGTCCCACAAAATGGTCTTTTGTACTTCCTCAGTTATAATTAAAACACTTAAGTGCAATGTTTCAACTTAACCCAATGGTTAAGGGCCCAAAATCATGACATTTCCGTCACCTTGTTTCACGGTCTTCCTCATGCACTGCGATTTCAGGGCTTTCCACGGTTTCCACAAGATTTTAACAGTCCCATTGGACCCAAATAGGTTAAATATGATATAATCACTCCAAATAGTTCGTTTACAGCCGTTGAAAGTCCAATCACTCTGTGCTTTCTTTTTCCCATCCGAGGGAACCCTTCATATTCTAAATATAGATGAATGGTTTCTTCGGCGCCACGTGGCCCTTAAATACAATTTCTCGAATTTTGTTGCAATTCGTTTGAGATGTAAAATATACTTTGAATTGTTGGTGAATGTCAGAAGTGATTTTAGGATTGAAGGTCCTCTGTGGGTCAAAATTGTACGGACTATATTTGGACCATTCCACGCGATGGTTGTCCTTTTCGGTTCCCCGCCTGGTAAACTCCTGGCTATTCCAGTTTCCTTCCATTTTTAACAATGTTTCGCAAAATACACTTCGAAAATTTAGTTTTGGAGCACTTCTTGGATTATACTAACCCTTTATTGTGCGAAGCGATGACATTTTTTCTTAGCTAAATCCTCAAGCCTTTCCTGCCAATTGTACTCGACCTTGTCAATATTTGAAATTGTCAAATTGCGTTTGGCACATTTAAAACCAATTACAACTCAAACTTATGTGGTGGTTTTTAGTTTGGACTTTGTAAACCAACAGCAAGGTCGAAAAATGATAAAGGTGCCTTTAATTGTTTTGCATGAATTTTAGAAGTTTTGTGGTTAAAATGAGAATATTTTGGAAACCGTTAAAGTTAGCATTAAGCTGCTTTGATTTTTGAAATCTACATTTTAAGAGTGACAATAATGAAAAACGGAATCAATTCACACATCCAAAATTTTTACTTGGACAAGATTCTCAGGGTTTGTAGAGCTAATTTTTCTGAGTTCAACGGTCGAAGTCCGGTGTCCCTACCCCTCCCCTTTTAGAGTGGTTAGGAGCTTAAAGTTGCGAAAATAGCCTCCGTCCGCGATTTTTAGCTCAACGGCGGGTCAATATTTTTTAAAACGGTTTTCGCCAGAAGTTTCCTAATTTTGTTCTCTACAACAGTTTTCGAGCGTTTTTCGAAATTCTCAAAACGAATTTCAGGATTTCAAAATAAACCTATCGAAAGGCCAAATCTCACATTACCCCATAAGTGGGGTATCGTTGGAAAGATCTCGGCGGGAGGGTTCAGAATATATATACTTTGTCTGGTGTATGACAACTCCTCGATGCTCCAGACGTAAGAATATTTTTGAGTTCTTTCCAATCTAGAGGGTGTTCCGGAAGTAATGCAACTTTGGTAAAATGCATATATGCAAGGGTATCAATTTGCCCCAAATTAGAAATTGGGATAATATTGTAGTCCACACATTTATCTAGTAGAATCCGAAAACCAGAAGTCGATATCTCTATCCGTTCCAAAATGAGGTCAAATACCACCAAGCAACTCGCAACCATCGTCTGCCACTACCTCGAAAAAGTGGTTACGCGCTCCAAGAAATTGAGCTGTGTTCACTTTAAAAAATAAGAAATTCCAAAAGTGACGATTTGTTGTGTTATACTAAGGTATGAGCTGCAAAAAACGACTAATCTCAAAAAATATCTGGTCGGTACATTCGTGTGGCAGCCCCGAAAGTAATAAACTTCGTGTAGATAGAAATTTGTTATGTCGGAGCGAAATTCGCTGAAGTACTTCAAGTTCTCACCGAACACCATACATTATTTGAAAGCTTAGAAGTTGGACATCAAATCCTAGAAGGTTCTAGAAGCTTATAAATATAGTCAAGAGTAAAATAAAAGTAGCAAGCAGGAGGGCAGAAAAAATCCTTGACCTGAAGTAATTAAAATTAACCAAAATTGATCGTCCTGTACAAGACGATTTACTGCTCAGATTATCAAAATGCTTTTATTTACACATAGTACAACTCTCCCACCTTCAAGAAAACCATTTATGCAAAACTGGAAATTAAATATAAGCCAAAGTATCACGCTCCGCCTTAAAACGGATCAAATGCAATTAACATGGGAGAGGTGAACGTTCCCAAATTTGCCAAATACAAGACCTATTGAAAAATTTTAGTTCCTATCCTATAAAAAATATTGTAATCGAAAAACTTCAGTCAAAAATTTGAACTTATTTCAACACAAGTGGTCAAAAATCTCAAAAAAGGTGACCAAAAACAGTGGCGAAGCACTAATTGTGAGCGCCCAACAAAAACGTCTCCAAATTTGGCGGAAGGGGTGTACGGACCATTGGAAGCAAAACTTAATTAGCTTTAACCTTTGTCCCTTTCTGACCAAAATTTCGCTTTAAAAAATTCATTCGTTGAGTTTATATGTGCATTTGACCAAAGTTGCATTACTTCCGGAACACCCTCTATTGCTATGTTAGCTCCCAATCTACCGCTGTGTTAGGTTATGGATGCTTGAAATCGTGAAATTCGTTTTGAGAATTTCGAAAAACGCTCGAAAACGGTTATAGAGAACAAAATTAGGAAACTTTTGGCGAAAATAGTTTTTAAAAATATTGACCCGCCGTTGAGCTAAAAATCGCAGACGGAGCCTATTATCTCAACTTTAAGCTCCTCCCACTCTGCGAGGGGGATGGGTGGGAACACCGGACTTCGACCGTTCAACTCAGACAAATTAGCTGTACAAACCCTGAAAATCTTGTCCAAATAAAAATTTTGGATGTGTGAATTGATTCCGTTTTTCATTATTGTCATTCTTAAATTTCCTGTAGAATCGATGTATTTCACATTAATTACATATTTCCAGATTGCAAAAACCTTGCGGTTTGTGTCATGACTGGGAATGGTGCCATCAATAATTTGAGTAACTGTAGATCACATGGTCCGGTGAAAGCCAAGATTCTCTGAAAATTGGGCACACCCTTTATGTCCGGCCTCCTGTCTGTGTATGTATGCATATTCCGACAAACGATTTGCATATAGTGTTGAAGAATGGAGCAACTTAAACCCAGCCAACTTTTTTTGCTCAGCGACTCATCTTTAAACGTTTGCGAGAAGGTGAGAAATTTGGCAAAAAATGTTTAAGAAGGATATTTAATTGGATTATTATTTGGGATTAGTGACGAGCAACCGGTTCACCAGCCCTAGTGAAGGTAGAGGTACTTATACAACCATACCAGTTCAGTTTAATTCATATGACTGATTATGATAGTGAATGAAAATGAATTTCGTATGATTTGAATGAAAATGAGTGAAAGATTCAGCCATTTCTGATGAATGACTATGAATGAAAGGATTTCTCACTCCCTTCATTTTTCACCCCATGCTTAATACATGGAGCGAAGTAAGAAATGAAGTCAGGTGAAATGAAGTAAAATGAAGTGAGTAGTGAAACGAATGAATGCATGATTTGAGAGAAAATGACTGAGTGTGAATGAAAATCTGCAGTCAGAAATCGGGATGACTGAACTTTGAATGAAAAAAGTTTTTTTGAACAGGTATGTATGAAACTTGACAATATGCAATGAAAAGGAAAGTGTAGTGAGCAAGGGAAGATGAATTACAGCTTGTTTATTAACGCAAGTCAGATTAAGTAATGCGTAACAAGTGGTGTTTATTTTTTGATCATCAATTCTGGTAAAAGTCAGGATTTTGTTCGCTTCAATAAATCTCAATCTCTCTAATCGAGTAACCGAACTCTGTAGCTTTTGTAAACATGAACACTTTCATGTATCTTGATATGATTGAAGCCAAGTTGATATCATTGACTCCTCCACTCCCGTTGTAATTTTCATGCACTGTGGTCCAAGATTCTTCATCCAGGGAGGACTGAATCTGAAATCCGGTTGCATACGCGGCTTCCCAATGAATCCTGACTCGGCGCACGGCTCCAACGTTTACTACGCATGTTAAACAGTACGTTGTCATGTATACTGTTCGTGAGTGCAACACTATTTTACAACTTTATGCAGGGATGGTAAGATGCACAAGTTGTCGACAAAGTTGAAGTAAATGAGGAGGTGAATTGAGACTTGGTTACTTTCTTGGGTCAGATAATTTACTACATTTAGAAATACTTATTACATGGAAAATGACCGATTGATACTGAGCGACTGACCCGGTGAACTTGAGTTCGAGGTGTATTTATAAGTTTATGTACGTCACACTTAAATAGTCAGTTAACCAATAGAAATGTAGAGAAGAAACGCAAAGAGAGGAAAATATTTGAACTTTAAAGGACACGACAATGAACTGATAAAACGATATTATACATTCAAAAGTCCAGCGACAAACTGGCGACTTGAGACACAATTCTTGTGTAACGTACATATACTGACTTGAGTAAAGAGGAAAAAGGTAAGTTTACATAAAAAGATAGCTAATTATATTAGTCAAATCATGGAATTGAGATTAGTTCAATCATCATAAAGTAAAATGCATAAGAAATCATAAGTTAAAATACATACAAATAATAAGTCAAATTCTTAATGCATTAATCATGTTAAGACGAAACATTCCGCCGGCCTTGAAATGCCAATTTTCAATTTTATTGTGGTGTGGATGAGATGGCTTGATCCGATTCGGAAGTGATGGGAAGTGGGGACAACTTCACCAAGGGACGCTTAAGTTCTCCGGTTGCTGTCTTCACTGTTGCGACACGAACAACGGAGTCTGGTCCAGGGTGGAGTTGCGTGATTCGTCCGAGTTGCCATTGCATGGGGGGTAAATTTTCATGTTTGATGAGGACTAGGTCACCAATTGATATCTTGTGGTCACCGTAGATCCATTTAGGTCGTTGTTGGATTCTGGTGAGATATTCGGAAGACCGCCGCTTCCAGAAATCTTGAGTTATTCTCTGGAGGAGTTGCCATCGGGAGAGGCGACTTATTTGCAAATCTTGGAGATGTGGTTCAGGGATGGAGGTGAGAGCGGTACCAATAAGGAAATGTCCGGGGGTTAACGTAGTGAGATCACTGGGATCGCTCGATTCAGGACAAAGGGGACGGGAGTTGAGTATTGCTTCGATTCTCGCACTTGTTGTCGTAAATTCGTCGAATGTGAGGCGTTGAGATCCAATCACTCGTTTTAAGTGAAACTTGACACTCTTGACTCCTGCTTCCCATAGGCCACCGAAGTGAGGACTTGCTGGTACGTTGAAGTGCCATCGAATCCCCTTGGTTGAGATGTGGTCGGCTATGGTTTGGTTGTGTTTTGCAGACAGGAACAAGGTCAGCATCTCCTTGAGTTCTCGGTCGGCTCCAACGAAGTTGGTGCCACAATCGCTGTACATGTCGGAGGGAAGTCCACGTCGCGACACAAAGCGCCAGAGTGCTGCCAGGAATGCGTCAGTTGACAGGGAGCTGACAATTTCCAAGTGAACTGCACGGGTACAGCAGCATATGAAGAGGGCAAGGTAGGCTTTGATTGTTGTAGTGCTTCTTGGTTGGATTGGTTTGATTAGGAAGAGACCTGCATAGTCGACCCCGGTTTTCTGGAACGGACGACTTGGGGTCACGCGGAAGGAAGGGAGGTCTCCCATCATTGGTTGAAGGGTGACTGGCTTGTGGCGAGCACAGGTGACACATTTCTTAACAAATTGGCGAATTACATCCTTCGCACGGATAATCCAGAATTGGCGATGAATTATGGACATCATGAGTTGTGGACCAGCATGGAAGTGGTTGAGATGTTCTCGCAGGAGGAGGAGTTCAACGAGTCTTCCGTGGCGTGGGAGGAGGATGGGGTTCTTCTCTTCTGGGGACAGTAGAGAGTGGCGTAAGCGACCACCAACACGTAGGACAGAGTCTTGATCCATGAACGGTTTCAAGGTGACAATTTTACTTGAAAGAGGGATGTTCTTATCTTGTTGCAGGCATTTAATCTCCAATGCGAATGCTTCAGCTTGAGTGATTCGGACCCAGCAGAGTAGAGAACGGTTGAGTTCCACTGGGGTGAGAGGGAGCATGGTCGGGTTACTGGATCTGACCTTGGCTCGACAATTGGTAGCGAATCGGAGTAAAATTGCTGTTACTCGTAGCAATTTATCCAACGACGAGTACTTGTTAAGTAGGACTTGATTTGGAGACGAGATTACTGCATGGCAAATTGTTTGATTCCGTTCTTCATTTTTGCACTGATCATCATGGGGTCCAATAACTCCATGTGGAATTGGAATTCCATGCTTGAGCCAGTGTGGACCTTTCCACCATAGAGAGTGATTGATAAGTTTGGATGAACTTATGCCACGGGATGCGCAGTCGGCAGGATTGTCCTCGGAGCGGACATGACCCCAGCGTTCAAGGGGAACAAGAGCTTGGATCTTTGTGAGACGGTTTGCAACAAAGGTCTTCCATCGAGAGGGGTGTGACTTAATCCACGAGAGGGTAACGGAGGAGTCGGTCCAAGCTGTGACGGAATGTAGTGGAATCCGAAGGGCTGATTGGACTGACGACATGAGTTCAGAGAGGAGGAGTGCTCCACATAATTCGAGTCGGGGAAGAGAAACGGTCTTGACTGGAGCAACTCTAGTTTTCGAAGTGATGAGACTTGTCGAAATCTTATCTTCTTGGTATGCACAAAGGTAGACCACGGCTGAGTAGGCTCGTTCTGATGCGTCGGAATGAGTACTTGATCGGAGAGTGTGACCATGTCTTTGTTTCGAAGAGTCAGTGTCCACCACCGGAACGCCCAGCATGGTACTGGAGATCGCGGGGTTTAACTGACTTGATTGACCACAGAGACCAGACATATTTGTGACCACCGGAACATCCAGCGTGGGACTGGCGATCGTGGAGTCGTGTAGATAGTGTCGTGGTAACTGGAGTCTTGCTAGGGTTGACATGTCACGGACCAGGGATATCCATTGTTGTTGAATGGATTCAGGTAGCGTAGTATCCCATCCAACTTGGAGAGTGTGAAGGGATTGCATCAGTAGTTTAGCGTTGATGATGACGGGTGATAACCAGCCGGGAGGGTCAAATATTTTGGCGAGTTCTGAGAGAACTTTCCTCTTTGTTAGAGGTGTATCGTCGTGGGCAGGGGGTTGTATCTTGAATACAAAGACATCTTCTTTGGGGTTCCAGCAGATTCCCAGCGTCTTGATAGTGGGATCCACGTCAAGGGGCAGAGTTGACTTTGACTCTCGTAGGTCTTCGGGTAGTGCGTTGAGCAGGGTTTCACAATTTGAGGACCATTTGCGGAGTTTGAATCCGCCTGATTCCATAGCCTCGAGGAGTTGAGATTGAGTGATGAGTGCATCTTCTTCATTCGCATCTCCACTGATGAGGTCATCCATATAGAAGTCGCGGCAAATGACGGCAGCAGCTTTTGGTAACTCTTCTTTCTTGAGTTGTCCAACTTCTTGTAGGGCCCTGGTGGCTTGAAAGGAGGCAGCTGCAGTACCATAGGTAACGGTACGCAACATGAAATGCTTGATTGGTTCGTTGCTGTTCTCTCTCCACACAATTCTTTGCAGGTTTGCATCTTCGGGACGGACGAGGACTTGTCTGCACATTTTTTATTAAATTCATCAGCATTTGGCGTCTGCTGATTTTAGCAATTAACGAATTTGCGTATGAAGACCCGGTTGACTTCCATGAAACTCACCACGGTCTAAACTCAGAATTAGGAATGAATGATACCATTCCACCTTTTACAAATGAGCGGAACGCTCCATCCTCACTGCCAACAAGTTGGGATTGGAGACGGTATGGATACGTGTCCGCTGTCAGAAATCAAGGTACCTACATATTCGCCAAACTCTTTCACAATCGTTACGTTGAAAGCTATGTTTTTGATAAGAACTAACCTCTCTTAATTAGCATTGGCTATTGTAACCTGATTCTGTCCTTAAGCAGAATGGGTGTGCCGTGAAATATGCTCATAATTTGTGCCGGAGCTACGAGCGGAAACTCGTCAAATTATACATTTTTATTAAATGTACCTCGGAAATTTGTGTACAAACTAACTAGTTTTTCCCTCGCCGAGGTTGAAGAGTACATAGCTCTGCATCCAAACTTAATCTAATTATCGTGTCTCCTACACATCCTGTGGAGAAGGCTCTTATCACTACATTGTAAAGCATCCGGTAGAGTCAAATATGTACTCCAGGTTGGTATTGATTTGGTAATAATTCATTACTGGATTGGTTATAGTTTGATTCTGAGCGGTACAGATTTCAATACCACCTCATTACTACGCCGTAACGATCGATATTACCGATGCCGGTAGAGTCACATATGTACTCCGTCCGGTAATGATTCATAAAAATTCAATACCAGTTGCCTAAGAGTGTAAAGATTGGACTACTCGTCCCTATTTCTATCCATGTTGAATCGAACTCTTGGAAGCTAGCCAAGAACTCGGCTGTATTAAATATTCATAGAAAAATATTTATAAGGACACTGCTAACCAAGGTGAATGAATACAGTTCACCTTGGGTAAGAGTGTCACACTATAGTATCTCAACCAGAAATTTTTCGATGCACTCACGCTGCTGCAACATTGTTGGATCACAGTGATTTTAGCCACTATTATCGCGTGGCAACAATTTTATTCGTACCTTGATTTCAAGGAAAGTCCGCCCGTTAAATTTTCCATCACATCCCTGTATTCTGATTGGCTCCCGGATTTCTGCGTCAACCAATCAAGGAAGGGACACGAATTAATATTATGATTATGGTTGTGATCATTTTGATTATGACTTTCCTTAGCAACTTTAAAAAAATCCTTGGCAACGTTAAAATAATTCCCTTCCAAGGTTAAAAAATTCCTTAGCAACGTTAAAAAAATTCCTTAGCGACCTTTAAAACAATCCTTAGCAACGTTAAAAAATTACATAGCATCGTTAAAAAAATTCCTTAGCAACGTTGAAAAAAAAACAATTAAAATATTCGTTAGCAACATTAAGAAATTCTTAGGAAAGTCATGAAATGCCCTTACTCAACTAAGAATATGACAACCAATTTCCAACAGTAGGCTAATTGTAAGCTTGAAATGACTTCATATGTTGAAATATTAATTTAAATAATTACATAAGGCAAATTCCAAGCTACTTTAAAAATGGTGAAAGTTCATTTTTTTGTAGCTTTAAATTTCGTTTATCTTATTATACAATTTATTCCGTTTGCCCAAAACCGGTAACACATATTCTAGAGTCTTCATTTAAGCCGAAAATTTAGCCTTGAGATGAATTAAATTGGCAGAATCCATTTCCATCCTGGTCCGAGCATGTGTAATGATTGTCAATGAGCTGGATACAATTTTCCTTAGGTTTCGCTGGTGTTGTTGCGTCTGGTGGATCTGGGCACTCGTAAATGAAATCGAGGTGGCATTCCTCACCATCGTAAAGCGTGGACACATCGACTTCCTGTATGTAACAATTTTGATATTACGATATTTGTACTTATAAATACTGTAGCGTATTCTGTAAATCTCATCACACTCTTAGAAATAGGATTACGATTATAGCCAAAAAGTAAACGTATGTGACTTTAACGGCGTGGTTATAAATTTGTCATCGAGTGGTTACAATTTTCACCGACAAACTATAAAGTTTCACCGACTTGGTGTTAAATTGTAACCAGAGCTAATAAATTTATAACCAGGCGGTGATAAATTCATAACCACGGCGGTAGAGTCATATATGAATACTTTTTAGTTATAGTCATGAACCCATTTCTAATAGTGCCTACATACATGTTCAAAAAATATTTATTCATTCAAAGTTCATTCATTGAAAGCCTTGAAAAAATTTGTTCCTAATTCCTAAGTTGTAAAAAAATATTCATTACTTATTCAACATTTATTAATTATTCATTTTATTCAAAATCAAAAGTATTAAATGAATTTCTCAACTTTCCCTGTGCATTAAGCATTCAGTAAAAAAACGAAAGATGAAAAAAAATATTCGTTCAAACGAATTGAATAGATATTATTTAACATTTATTTATTCAAAAATCAGAATAAAATATTCATTCAATTTTTGAATATTGAATGAATAATTTATTCATTCATCATTATATGAATGAATGTGAACATGTATGAATCTTCCACGCGGGGTTTTTAGATCTCCCGGTTTTATGAACAAAAGTTTCAATACATGAGCCACTAAATGCTTTTAGCAATCTTGAGATGTCTCGCAAAACAAACTCCAGAACGGTTAAACGACAGAAATTCGGGAAACCCACCCTTCGTTTCCTGACTGGAGGGGCGCCTTGCAATCTGTTGATTTCTTTGCCACACTGCCGCCCGGTTAATACGTTGTCATCCTTTTTACACACGCACTTTGCCCCAGGACTTGCTTGGGAAGCTGTAACATTAAGACGAAACTTGTATTTACATATTTACATAAATAGTAAAATTGTCTGCAATTCGTCTATTCCTGTCTGCACGGATAATATCATAAAAGATATCGATATGAAAGTGATCACAATTTAATGTAAATTGCGTCCATTAAAATTCTTTAATTTATTTATATTTCCCCACATATTTATTTAGCCGTTTTATTATTAAATGCGGAAATTGGTGTATTTTACCTGAAATCAGCACCACAAGAAAGACTAGGACCTGTATCTTGGGACACATTGAAACTTGCATGGATATCTACTACTCACATACACCAAATGAATTTTTTGAATGCGTATTAAACACAGGATATGAGGTTAGTTTTATCAAATTGCTGTGAACAATCGATCATTGTTTTAAACAAATGCTTTATAACAGGAATTTCCTGCTATACATGTTTCCTGTTGTTAGCGCCGTCATGAATTTTTCAAGTCATTGTCCAATTCCAACGTAATAGTATTCATAATATTCAAATTATAATTATTAAACGAATACGTGCATGCTTACAATAGCGAAACTTATATGATAACGAACTCGACTAACAAACTCTGTTGTCGCAACCGACTACGGAAATGTAATGACTGCATCAATAATATAATTCGACACCGTTTGAAAATAGCCAACCAGACTTTTCCTCGTAACCGAGGTGAATCCGACCGCCGTGGTCTTAATAAATCCGCACGACACGAGAAATCTTCTCTCCGCGAGGTCCTCCGTGTTGGACCAGGAGTCCAGAAAACTTGCCGACATGTCATGCAACACTGTCGCAATTTGGAATTGTGCAAAGGCCGAGCAGAGGGTGAGCACTGCGCCGAACGGGAAGAAGAAGGAGGACGGGAACTCCTCGATGAAAAAGTGGTTCATACTTCGCACGGTGAGGTAGCCGAGGCCAATGGCGGCGGAAAAATTCAAAAAGGCGCACATCGGGATGGCCACTTTTCCGACGGTGTGGTTGAAGAGGTTTGAGAGGAGTTGCGCCATCCGGTAGAGCTCCATGGACTGGTCGTGCTCTCGTAAATCTTCCCGCGTCATGTCGCTCTCGTTGTTGCAACTAGGACAAATTATAAATATTTTGTTAAGAGGTAACAGCAGGTTCTGTCCATCTGTGCGAATGGTGGACGAATTCTGAGATAAAATCGCCCGAATTCTATGTGGAATTCATCTTTAAAGGTTCACGAGGGAACATTCCGAGGTGTAAAACTAGTTCAGAACAGTGCTGGATGAATATTTACTTCTCCAGACTTCGCGTAAAATTGACCTACTACATTCTTCGCAAGAATATATCTATCCTCATAACTTCATGAGAATTAAATTTGACCCCAAGACTCCCTTACTTTTGCCTATTTTCTTAAGAAACCTTTAGCTCATCTGACACCTCGCCATATTCCCTTGTCAATTCTAGGATTTAATTGAACAACGCAAATATTTATCTTACTGCGCTTCTTCCATCCAAAACTCCAAGGACGTCGCATGAGCGACTGTGGCCCAGCCTAGAAACAAAGTCCCAGCCACGAGTTGTCCGGATGTGTAGACATCCTGCACGGCCCCCAAGGCAATGAGCCAGAGGGGAGTGTCACCCCCATTTTCTCCTCCCCAGAAATGAGTCAGGTAGAGCGGCAACTTGTAGCTGGAGCAGTATCTCATAGCGGAGAGGACGATTTGGGTACAAAGTATTGGGAGTGTAACATTCATAAAGAGCCCACCTTTTTTCCTCCAATCAGTCATACTCACGACGTACCGCGCTGTTTTAAAAAGATACAAAATTCTTGTAAGAAATGTATTAAGTTTCCCATAGATTTAGAGTATGTAGAATAGATCAGGCCACTTCCATATAGTCAATGGTAAAAATTCGGCAATTTTTTTGAGGTGGAGCTAAACCCTGTCTGTGTCTACGGTCTAAGCTTGTTAAACGAAAAAAACAATAACGACAAAATTTCAGCTCATGTGAAGCCGACATTTTCAGTTTTAATTAATTAAGCCTCACTATTAAGTTTTATTACATTCCAAAAACCTGGATTTGCTTGTGATTAGAAGAGAGAAACTCAAACTAATACAATTATTTTCGCAGTTTTTGTGAATCTTTTTAATGATACGCAGACGTGCTAAGCACTCCATGCGCTAACGTGCAACCATGCGTTATCCCCAAATTCTTCTCCATGCTGAGACGCATTTTTTAAAGTAGCCAGATCTATTCTACTCTAAATCTATGATCCCAACTCACCAACCAGTCTCCTATTGAAGGCGAACAAAGTATTCGTGTAGCTCCTCATCTCCTCACTGTAGATCAAGAAAAGCCCGCCAAGCATGACGGAGTGGAGATGCCAACAAATGCTCGTGTATAACTTGAACGGGAGCCGATACGAGTCTGGAGAACTTTGGACAATCCTGATTAACAAAGAGGACTGAAAAAGAGTCAGGACGCTGGAACAGGACAAAATCACGAGTGACCCCAGCAGCCAAATCCTTTCCCAAGTCTGGCTCCAGGCCGTGATCTCGAAATTAGAGATCTTATCTTCCCCCAGAAATTAACCCCAGCTCCAGGGAAATATGAATACAGCCCGTCCCAGGGTAAGGATCGTTTTGAGACGCCAAATTACACCGCTGCTCAGTAAATATGGTCGAGTTTCGGTTGGATCTCGATCATTTATTGGAGGACTTTCTGGCAAGCCGGAAGTTTCTACGGCCACAAATTCTGCCTTGGTCAAACCACTAGCTCCCCTGCAAAGATAATAATTTGTTACCTTAAGACTCCTCAATTTGTAAAGGGGCGTCCATAAATTATGTACTGCGAAAGGGAGGAGATGGATCTACAATGAGTTCTAGGCTTCGTACCTAGACACGTTATAAGGGGAGCTTGGGAGAAGGTCTAAGAAATCCGGATTTTTTTATTAAGTAATTTATGGATGGCTAAATATATACAGGGTATTTTAAATGTTGGGTTATAATGGAAAATTTGTCAACGGGAAAAATTCACAAAACTCCATTAGTTACCGAAATTTTGCCTCTTAAATTCAATATCTTAAGAATTTTGTCATCAGTGTTCCATAAGTTTTGACAGAACCATTCGCTAAATTCTCAAAATTTCGGGAAGTAATGGAAATTTACGGATTTTTCCCATTGAAAAATTTTCCATTGTAACATAACATTTAAACCACCCTGTATATAGTTTCCCCTTAACTCCTCACCTACCGATTGAGAATGACCAATTTATCCTTATCCTTGTTTGAAAGCAATCCCTGACAGGATATCTAATTTTTGAAATAATAAATGCATGATTTTTAAGCACAATTGCCTCACTAAATTACACAAACTTTCCCTCACCTTGGATAAATTACGAGCCCGGTGTTTACGAAGGGATCCTGCATTCTGCATTTTTCCGAGAAACGGGAAACACCCAATTTCTGGGTGGCGGACTGGAAGAAATGCGAGTATAAAGTATCCTTACGTTAATCTGTTAACTGGTCTCTCAACTAACACATTTCTTAGTTTTAGACAGCCAACAAATTTTATTGACATTCCGACAACATTATAATCCTGGGTAGGGTATATTGTCAAAAATATTTATAAAGTCTAGACAGTCGTGTTTCCCTATTTGCTTGTCAATTATTACAACCTGGACGACGTATGATCCCATCGATTAAAATTAATAAATGCATATGGATTTATCCTTCGTCAACAAGTTACGTATGTTGGGCTACATTTGTGTTTGAAAACCCCCAGGTCGAACAAGAAGCAAAGGCGAGGAGGATTGCAAACCCAATAAAATAAATAATTAGCCTAAACTTGTCCATTGTTTACTACTCCAGTCAGTTGCGTGTTAATTAGAACATGTCGATATCGTATTCATTTATGTGCTCCATATTCTACAAATGATGTAAATATCGATTTAAGCTTTTTAAGCAAACATGAAACCATTTCAGCAAAATGACACTCCGTCTGCCCGCGACATAGGTACATGTTGCAGAAATAGGGCAGAGAATTACTATTAAAAGAATAATAAATCTATTTTACCGAAGTGGATTTGGCAATAAGAAATAAATGTGATTCTCTAAAATTTTAGGCAGGAATTGATTCGTATTTTACATTGCGTGGTATTGACAAAAACTCCAAACTATGTATGTATGCCGAATCGGCAATGTATTAATTTTTCACAGTCCGTAGAACCATAAAGATTGGATTTATGTAATTTTTATGCCTAATTTGATGACCCACCATAAATTAATTTTTTCTTTATTCTTTGTCAACAATGTCCAGAAAATGGGGTACGTGACCACATCCACAAATAATCCAGCCATGTCAATCGTGACCTTATAACAGGTGACCAACCTAAATATTTCTTAAATTTTGTCAATACATATCTATAACTCCATAACCAGCAAACGTATTTACGTACGTCTTATTTAACCCGACCAAATATGAGACTTCCCTGATCGTGAGTGTATTCAATACGAGTTTGCATCATGTATCAACAACGTTGGGAAAAAATTAACCTTACAATAAACTCTTTCGCTTTAAAATTAATTCCCCTATGTATGCAACTTGTTCATCTCAACCACGGCATTAAGTCATTTAATCAAAGTGTGTATTTATGTAGTTTGCGAAAAATTTCTTTTTTGCATTTTTTTACTATGCGAATAAATATGCAAACTTGTAATGAATACCCACACTTTTTTATTTCCCATTTACCCGTTATGACGAGATTCTTACATGGTGCACTTCTTCCGAAATAAGAAAATTGTTAAATTTTTGAAAAAGCCAATTTCATGGCTGCCTTTGGTATTTATGTACATAAATATTTCTGCCACATTTTTTAAAATTTATAGAAGCACGTTACATATTATCCTCCCTCACACATTTATTAAGAACCAAATAAACATGCTATATACACACGTAAACGCGAAATATATGTATCTGAACTTCTTTAATTTCTCTGCATTCTCCTCTGAAGAAGATAATAGTTAATTGTCGAAATATTGGGATAATAAATTGTTTTAAAAAGTCAACCCACAATGTCCGTTTCAACTAATTCACATTTTTAAATTTTGTCCGTGTTCACAAAACCACTCGGTTGCCTCTGCAATGCTCACTTTGCCATCCTTATCTGTATCCGCTTCCTCAACGAACTTGTTAAAGTTCACCTTTGCCAAGGACGGGTCATGAAGGAGGCATAGTTGCACAGTAGCCTTGAACTCGAACTCGTCCACGAACCCATCCCTGTCCCTGTCCAGGGCGTGGATGTGGACCCGCATGACTTCCCTGGCGTCATCCGCGACCCCCAAGGAAGCAATCCCCACCTCCAGGGGAAGTTTCCCGCCGTGACAGTCCCGCAAAAAGGTGAGATATCCCGCCATCTGGTCCTCCGTGCAGGAAAAGTCCAATCTCTTCAAGAGTACCGGTACGTCAGTGAGGTCAATCAGGTCGCCACAAAAGGTCGGCATATTCTTAAAAGCTTCTTCCACCTCGACCTTGGAATATCTTCGGTTGTGCGCCATCCTAAAAGTACAAGTTGTATTTAATAAGTTGCTTCAGCTACTTTATGCGAGGACTTTATCTGTCCGTCTGTCTATGTATGTATCTGTCAGCCGGGTAACGGGAGAACGGATAAGGATAATCGAAATCGACTTGCGGCATTATACATAGGGCACCAGGGGGAGGATCCCATCGAGTGTAAAAGTTTGTAACTTTACAGACAAATGTAACCCAGTTAAAGTATTTCAACTGGGCAGCATCCGATATGTAGTATGTACTAACTTATGGGGCAACTCACGTCAAAGTTTGTAACCTTTCTAACTGCGCAAGGTTTGTAAACTTTAAAAAACTTTTAGCCAAATCTCGAGGGAACATAAACTTATTAACTCTTAAGTACTTCCAAGGCAAATTAAGCCTTGTATAAAAAAGTAACAAAGTTCGTAAACTTTTTGCGGGCACGGTACACAGAAAAGCGTTGTCTAGCTCACCGCGATTTAGTGGTTTGTAAATTTTATTTTTGGTTAATTTTAAAATTTTTACGAAACGATTTACAAAGTCAACTCACCTCAAAGGTGCGTAAGCTAAAACGATACAAACTTGACGTTAGTTTTTTCCCTCTGTATTATTTTAATGCATATTTTAATGCACATTCAGGTAAGTACGTACCTATTTTATTATACCAAGTGAACGTTATTAAATTAAACTCTAATTGATGTTTTATTTTGGGTGACTGGGCTGGTCTCAAGGGGTAAGTTGTAATATCAACGTGTGCCATAAAGTGAAAAGTGAGACTGGGTTTTATACTTTTCAGTCCAGGTAAGCACGCCCAGTTGGAGAGCTAAGAACACAGTTGCACATATATATGTACACATTTATGTACAGATACACGAACTGTTTATGTACATGACTCAGGTGTAACAGTTTACACCGGATTTTTTGGTACTAATTTATTGTTTGGTACTTTGGCATCGGACTCATTGGAATACAAACCAGGGAGGATTGAATAAATTATGCTTAGTGAAATTATGTAATACATGGATAAATTAGCATGCATATTTTAATATAAATACATACACTGATACGACGAAGTCTAAGGAGTCAATACATACCCCGTCAAGGACAACTACAAATTCTTGTTTAAAACATACGTAAACAATGCCACCTGAGATGAAATGACAATTAATTAAGTAAGACATTTATGTTCACATGTGTACCTAGGAACGTCATGTTAATCAGGTAAAGTTATGTTGGAAGTCAGGTATGCAAGAAACAAGTGGTAACAAATTTATACATATTGCTCATTTTTATCTGCGACCTACACAACATCTGCGGACCATGCATGTTTAAATATTTCCAGCATTTTTGTGTAAATGGTACCAAAATGATAGAAACTGCACCTCGACATTCCTACTACAGTTATTTATTTGCATATATCTATGTACTCCACTGCGGTACCATTTTGTGGTAATAATTTGTCACTGCTTCTTTCCAATTGTCTGATTCCTTACTCATTATGTATGAAACTTCTCATTAAAATTCCATCATATTGCATTATCTTGCAATCCAAAACAATCAGTAACCACAGATTGTGTTGAGTGCTCGCTGCGTGGCAAAAAGCCCATTATACATACTTGCATATGCTCAAGTAACAGGAATGCTTAACGGGTACAGCTTCTTTGTATTTAATCTTTAGATATTATTACATTCTTCTGTATTTTATTCTCTCAATCTTCTCACATCTATCCTGCTCAAAAACATTATTAAATACAGTTTCATACAAATTTCTAACCTTTTCTTTATACTCACTAATATACCTGCCATCTGTGTAACAATGATACGACAAACCTTCCCAGGTGTCAAAAAAATGAAATATGTATTCCCACTCCCTGTTACGATCATTTTCATCCTGAATAGCGTAATATTCCAGGGAATCATAGTCCGCCATATTTTCCCCCATTTGCGCGATAAATGACGCATTTCGAACGCCAACTCGTTCATAGGTGTCATCCTTTATAACTCTGTTCCGCTCTTGGACGCACAAACTACAATATTCTCTCAGCAGCTTGACCAACTCGGAGTAACGTTCACCAGGGTAAGGAAAACCCCGGGGTTTTGCTATTGTAAACCGATACCCCAGGGTTTTACCTGGGTTTTGCGGGTACTGGGGGTTTGGGGGCAAACTGAGTCAGTGTCTCATGTATTAAGTTCAGAAATTAATGAAAAAGATCAGTTTTTCAGTAATTTCGCAACAAAACTGCTAATTAATTATATTTTAATACGTAATTAATTTGTTGAATTACGTGGGTGTTTTATTATTAATTTTCAAAAGGTATGTTCCGCACTGTTTCTGACCAAACTTTTGATGAAATAACAAACTTCAAATACTTTTAGGATGCTGTGATTTTTTTCAGCTCTGTGGGTTAACATTAACACTAGCAATAACTCATTAAAATTTACCTCGAAAATATGCCAAAATTTACGACTTGATTTCATTATCATCCGAAAACCGTTTTCCCCTGATGTTTTTCTTTAAGTTTCGAAACGAATAATAATTACTAAGGGACAAGTCTGGACTGCACGGGGCGTGGTTTGTGCAGGTAAAGCGATTTTCGTCTGCACTAACCCTCGCAAAAAGCCAGGTATTAGGTGGCGCGTTGTCGTCTAAAAAAAGGCCAACTCCTTATTTTGACCCTACGTTTCTTTTCAACCGGAGGACGCAGCTCCTTCGGGGTTCCTGCATACACGGCCCCATTTATTGCAGTATTTCCAGCAATAAATTTTATAAGGAGGGGACCTTTGGTATCCTTGAAAATGGTCATCATCAATTTTTTTGTCAGATTTTTGCACTTTTCAATTCACGGGCGGTGGCAACCCCTCGAGCTTCCAATGAGGGAATTATTATTTGGTCACCGGGTCATAATAGTAAACCCAAGTACCATATGCAGCCAATAAAATATTGAGCAGGTTCCAGTTTTCATTTAATAGGTTAAAATTTGCATTGCAAAAGTCGACTCGATCCTGTTTGTGAGATGCCGAAAGCAATTTTGGTACCCAACGGACGGAAACCATTTTCATACCTAAGTCTTCAGTTAACATGGAACAAATTGCTGGTTTTGGAACACCCATCTCATCTGCTATATAGGACAGTCAATCGCGGATCTCTCATTATTGGTTCCTCTAGTTTCCGGAGCCTTTCTGTGGAAGAAGCGGATTTTGAGCGTCCTTGCGACTTTTTGCCCGAGACCTCGTTTCGCCATAATTAAAAATTATTGACCCAATTGAATTTGTGTTTCGTGTTGGGCAGTTTTCATTGTACATTTTAAGCATTCAACCATAAATCTGCGACACGTATTGCCTATCCAGCATTAAAAATTAAATCACATTACGATATTTAATTTGCAAATCTAGCATTTTTTCCGTCGAGGTAAAGTTTGCCGATTTATTGCTAGTGTTGACGTTAACCTTAAGAACTGAAAAAAATCACAGCCTCCTAAATGTATTTGAAGTTTGTTATTTCATCACAATTTTGGTCAGAAACAGTGCGGAACATACCTTTTGAAAATTAATAATAAAACACCTACGTATGTTGAATTAATTAGCAATGCCCTGTTATCATATTTTGTAAAATTTGATAACCCCGACTACCCGTGGGTATTGCCCAAATTTGCTACCCCAAAACCCACCAAAACCCGCAATACCCCAATACCCCAAAAACCCGGGGTAGCATACCCTGACGTTCACCTTTCTCCGATTCATACTCAGGATCCGATTCCACCAGGAAATCATATATAACCACAACTACTGGGCAACAGCCCAACAATAAAGATGACACTTGGAGACTGTTTCCCTTTAGGTGGGGCTCATTCGTAAAAAAGTCCAAAATTTTGATCACCGAATTTTTCGCACAAATGGCTTCGACAACCTTTGAGTTTCGTTGGAAATTTGGGTTATCTATTTTTTTAACTGCTTACTCAAGTAGACATAATTCGGATTTAGGGTCACTTGGGGTAAGAGTGTTTTTGATGAAATTTTCTTTTGATTTATATCTTTGACGTCATAATAATTGTGCCAACTAGTGCAGCGTACATTGTTAAACAGTTAATTGTTGTAATTTTTCATAAAATTTTTCATATCTATTCGCCCCAGAGCTGCTGCAAAATCAATTTTCCCAAACGCGAATTTAGAAATGCCAAAATAAAACCTGCTGAAATCTTTTGAAATTTTGATTACTTCTTAACCACAAGGTAAAAAAAATTCAAATTTTTAAATACAAATCGTCATATGCTATAGAATTTGTGTACAATATTTTAATTACCGTAGTGGCTTTGAAACTTAATTAAAACAGACTCACTCTTGCCCCTCAGTTGTGCGAAACCTGGGGCAAGTGTGTTTTTCTGTGGGGCAAGTGTGAGTTTGAAATAAATTATAATTTCAGACCTATAATGGTGCGAAATTATATAAGGACGACCAACAGGGGTGTAGGGGGACGGTGGACAAAGGATCAAATGGGTAAAGCTATTATAGATGTCCAAACCAAGAAGTTGACCGTGCGACAATCCGCCAATTGCCATCATGTCCCAGAATCAACACTAACAATGGAGGTCTCCCAACGTATGCTCACAGATTTGGACGAAATTAGTGTCAATCGATCACAAATATAATTAGTATGAAATTTGCAAATGGAACTATCTGCCAATGCGCAGGTTTGGCGGAGATATTTGCATTCAAAGCAGAAAAAATGCGCAGGAAATTTGGAAAATGATAAATATGCCAGCTCTTTGGTGCGTTTTCTCTTCTTTTTATGCAAATATCTCCGGCCAACCTGCGTACAGGGTTTGGCACGTACGTGGATACGAATTTGACCTTGAATAACTCCGGAACGGTTTATCGCAGCTGCTCAAAATTTTGAACAGACGAGCATGTTATCCTCAACAAGTTTTGGGCAAAAATTCAACTCTCTACTTTCAAAAATTCCTCCCCCACTGTCCCCAGAAGTTGAAACACTCATTTTTACTGTTTCCAAACTCGGTCTAAAAAATTTAGTCTCTGCCGCAAATTTTTTGTTTTCAAGTATCCGACCCCAAATAAGTTCATTTGACTTATCGGGGGATTGTACAGGTATTTCACTATTCAAAATGATTTTTATCCCCAATCTAGATTCAAGGTCCTTTGCATTATCTTGGGTTAACTTTGCCGTCTGGGAAGACGCTCCGTCATGATGAAAAATCACCTTAATTATTTTTTTACCGTGCAATTTAGGAAAATGTTATTCTAAAAGTGGTTTCAGTACATGGTCCACATAATACTTCGAAGATTCATCCACTTTTTGGGGGACTTTGATAAGTGGGAGGACACCACGACCCGACATTGAACCCACAACCATAAACTGTTTAAAAAAGTTCTCATTACAAAAAAGCACCAACTTGCGTGAATTGTTTCCGGCATTTGTCGTGTAGTAAGCTCTTCGAACCTAATTAGTAACTTGTAGAGAAATTAGTGCTTCGTCAAATGTCCCTAATAACTCACTCTGATTCCTTCACAGAAAATTCGAATATTTTGTTTTGTAAACACGGGCGCGATTTTTTTCCTGTTTTTCGGTCAGCTGATGCACACGACTTTTCCGACGAAGTCGTTTCTTCAGAGTGTTAATTTCTCTTTTCACTGAACACTTAGACACCCCAACCTTACGGGAAATTTACTTTTGTGTCGGTGGATTGTATTTGGAGGTCAATAGGTCAATTTTCTTAAGCACGGTCGGAATTAACAC